CAAGTTTCAAGATTGTTTTTTTTTCTGCAGTGCTATTAAGCGGAGATGGTAAAGAATTAAGAGGAATGCATTTTAGTTTGATTAAATACTTACATGTATGATGCAGGAAGCTAAAGGAGGCAGATTATAATGAAAGAAAGGGAAGAGGAAAATAAATAAGTCACTTGAGATGGAGTGTTACTTGGTCTATATGGATGACTACTGGTATTTAAGTGAAAATATTTAAATTTCATCACCTGAAAGGTTAAAAATTGTTACTCCCCACTCCATAAATTTCAATTAATTCATTCATTCTAAAATATCTGATAAAAACCTGTAAACATGAAAACAAAATCTGGGGATTTACCAGATAGCCAGCAAAAATAATAAATTTTACTTACAATTAAAAAAATTTAACAAAAAATTCGTTTCCATTCAAAAGGATCGTTACCAAGCTGTTACCAAGCTAGAGCAAAAATTCGCAGTTAATTATAATTTATTCACATTAAAATGGATTTTTTTTATAAATATTATTTCCAAAATTTAAAATTATTGTTAATTTTAATTATTTTGTATGTTAATTATTTTAAGCATTTAACCTTCTTAATATCCTTTAATATCCTTTAACGGTTCTTTTAACAAAGGAAGGATGCACCTGAAATTTAAGTTTTTCAATGTCTTTTGAACCATTCAACATATTGGTGTGTTTGTATTGATTTCAAACGTTACTTTTGTTAGATTTTAGTTGTTTTTAGATCAATTTTGATGACATGAAAATTAAATTTCCAAAATCTTCAAAAAATTCACTACTCCGACAGAAAATTTAGTTTCAAATTAGCCCAAAATTTTGCTTTAAAACCCCGATATTTAGCCAGAAAGTGAAAAATTCTGTCCTTTTTGCAAGTCGTATTTATTTTTACACATGCAAATTGCATCCGCGTGCTCCGCTGCTTAGAAAGGGTGGCATCAGTACAGAAACATAACACCAGCATACGTATATGTAGTATGTGAAATCCCATCTCGTAGCATCAGCATTTTTCCATCACTTTCCATCAAAATGGAAATAATGCATCGCCCTGCCTGCCTTTGGAAGAGAGAGCGAAGTGCGTCTCTCTGACAAAAGGGTCGTGCGTCGTGTCAGCAGTCACGCCGCTGGGGGAGCATGTATGATCTTGGCAGCAGACAGGGATGTATGCGTACACCCAACTAAAACATTGGAGAGCATGGGGGAGAAATTAAAAGCAGCGAGCACATACATAATCCCCCTTGGCTGCGTTTCGGGCGGAGGACGACGACGACGAGGCAGACGGCAAATTAGATTTTCACAACCCCAGCAAGTCTGCGGGGCTCAGCCGGGATAAATATCTCGTTCGCAATAACAGAGAGGAAAAATGAAAAATAACAATAAAAGTCGATGGACCGGACGAGCATCGCCAGAGAGGCTACTTAACTTTGCAAAACGAGTGCAAAAGAGGCACGAGCAGCCCTCGAGGCGACGGAGCCAGTTTTTTGTTTTGGTTTTTGTCTCTCTCTCTTTACTATACAATATTCAGCTGTTAGTTCACGTTTTATCCAAAGTGGAATGCGTTAATGACTAATAAAAAGGACCACTTCCATGAATTGTTAACTGTTAAGAGTTGAGCGATTGCTCATCACTCGGCTGACGCGCGCGTTCAAGTCCCGTGGGTATTGCAAGCAAGAACACTGGCGCCAATTTTTAAGTGCATGCACACGTGAGAATTCCGCAAAATTCATGGAATTTATCCGCAGCCGTGCACTCTGCAAACGAGGTTGTTCTGTTCCCCTGTAATTAAGAATTTTTTTACAGAATTCGATCGTGGTAATAAATTTAAAGAAAAAAAACAATTTCATTCGTAAAAAAAAAAATGCATTGGATTCTCAAATCTAAAAATTTCATGAGAATGCAAAATGATTTTGGCAACGATTTGTTTTGTTAAAAAATAAAATATTTATCTTTTAATAAAAAATCTTTTATTTTCTTTGAAGCAAAGTGTCTTCAAAAAACAAGTTTAGTAACTAAAACTCTAAAATGTATAACATCTAAGACTAAAATAAATGTTTTACTGGCTGTATTGAAATTTGTTTTCAAAACGCTAATTTTTGTGGCTCAATTTCAGGATTTCATTAATTATTTCTGAGAAATTATTTTGCATTAAAATTTCAATGACAGAAAATTTTTATATTATTCCAGGAAGATTTGAGCCTTTATTTAAGTTGAAAAAAAATATTCTAGCTTTAATTTTTTTCTGCAAAATTTTTAAATTGCTTTTATAGAAACAAAGTGCGTCAATGTCCATATGGCGCCGCCGCCGGAGAAGAAAATAACACACAATAATGTAATTATATCTTTCCGCATCGTATTCTTGCAATAATTATCACCGCGCCGAGTCTCCATTTTTATATTTTATGACTTATATTGAATTGCTAACGTCAATTAGTCACTTGCGGAGAAAAAAGAAAGAGAGACGTGAAAGAAAAACGGCTGCATGCGCGCAGAGTTCATGCATGCATTGTACCGGTAATAATTGCACCACAACTCGAGCACTTTTCTCTATGTATGCTTCCCTCGGCTGTTTAATTGATTCCCCGGCCAGAGTATCACTGGCTGCGAATCTCGTAGAACCTAATGCGAAATCTCGCAATTAAAACAATCCATCATAAATAACGCTGCGCTGCGCACTTCCTACATAGTGGCGCTCCGATTTTTACCCTTTGATGTCAAGGATCTAACAATGTAATTATAATATAGAGCGCGATGCGGGTTGCTGGTGATTTAAATCATTGCTAGGAAACTTACTTTTTATTTGAAAAACTTTTTTAATAGTTAAGATATTAAGTAAGCAGAATAGGGAAAAATAAAAAACGATTGACTCTCTGAAATTTTTGGTAGTGGAAATAGCACATTTTAATAACTCAATTTCAGTACATACTAAATTATGCAATTTTAACAAAATTGAGCATTTAAAAATTAATTTCGTTTTATAATTTATCAAAAATAAAAAATATTTCTCACCACATCACTTTTTCTGAAAATTCTGAATGATTAAATTTTATACATTTTTTGTAGACAAATCTTTACCTGTTGTTTACTAAAAAATTTTAAGTAACCCATTCTTCAAAGATTAAAATTTTTAATCATAATAAAAATGATCTAATTTTTAGTAAAAATTTCACTATATTTATACAGTTCATATTTTAAAATTTCATTATTTTCAACACCATTTTTTTTAAATTGAAAAAATTATTTTCAATTCTAAATTAAAAAAATAGCATAATTAAATTTTGGTACCTTGAAAAAGAAGGCTGAATATTGAAAATTAAAAGTTAATAATATGACATCATCTTTCTTGGATTTTTATTCTTATTACTTATTATTAAAAGTTTTGGAATGAATCTGAACACATTAACTTAAAATACAATTTAATCATTTTTATTGTGCGTGGCAAATGTACGGTACATATTCACACGTACGCTTAATTAGCACTTTTGCGCTTCGATTTCCACAATGCTCTGTGTGCGGCAATTAGCTTATATGGCGTCGATTACAACGCTAGCTTCCTCCAAGGTGCACATGACCTGACAGAAGAGAGTAAATGCACCCACTTTGTACGTAAGACGCGCGGAAAACTTGCGGTTTTTGCGGACAAATTTGCCGCGGAATTTCCTGTTGACTTTTCAATTGCTCTCCAGGAAAATTGCATCCCGTCCTGCAATTCCGCCGACACTGGTCACCTTCCAAGGCCAGAAAATTCCAGCAGTACCGTTATTTTCATAACGTTCTCAAGGAAGAAAGAGAGAGATACTGCTCGAAATTTTCCACGCTTGATCTAGTTTCTGTGCCAGAAGAGAATAAACACGTGTCTATCATCTTCGGAGATCTGCTTCCATCGTTAGAATTCTGACACAAAATAAATAATTTGAATAGTTTTTTAAAGGTAAAAATAATATAAATATGAATTAAAATAACACTTGTTAGAAAATAATTTATTTAATTAATCATTTATGGTTTCCAAATTTTTAATTTTACAAAACCATCAAAATATGTTTGTTTCCAAATTTTAATTTTGAGTCAAATCATTTTAATCTGTTTTTCAGAAATAATAATTGAGTGATTTTAAATATTTTGGTTGAGAAGCAATTTTGCATTTAAGCCACGTGGAATTGTTTTTTATTTTTATCAAAATATTATACAGAAAATAAGTGATTGCTAGCGAAATTTAATTTTGTTATAAGAAAATGTAGAGTTAACGCATGAAAATTATAAGTTTTCAGTTCAAAAATCATATTTTTAGAAACTCTGGGAAGATGATATTATTTCTCACAAAATAATAGTTTATTCAAAATCTTCATCTGAACTTAAATCTCAGCTTAATTGTGCAATATGACAGAGCTGAATTAATTAATATAAGGTTTTTTTATTTATTGTAGTATAGCCATATCTGTTTTTCCAACCCTGATGTTAACTGTGAAAAATATTCAATCTAGTCCATCTGTAAGTTAAAAATCATCAAAACAAAATACAATAAATTAAGATTTATTTTTATAAAATGATAATAATATTGTTTTTATTTTATTTTACTGCTCATTCACACTGCCAGCTGATATTTACTAAGCAAATGAATAATAATTTATACGTATATTGAAACTGGATTTGCGAGCACAAATAATTTTCACCGATTGAGCATCTGTGGGATGCGTGCGATTAGTTTTGGCCGGGAAATAATCGCTGTTGGCGGCGACGGCGTCTGGAGTGCTGCAGCCGGTGCGACCGAGTGGAAGAGGGCACCAGCTCTCCTCCAAGGTACAGCGGAGATGGCATCAGCAGCATTGGAGGAAGAAGGTTGTTGGTTCGATCGTCTTGAGGAGAGCCGCGCCGCCGCCAAGTAAGCAGCATATACCGCCCGCAAAACTCGCGCCGCGACCATAGTATATTCACTTCTTGAAGGCACGCCGGCCGAGTGGGGGGTACCGACACGAGCCTATATAGTGCCCTGGCAGACTTTGGCCGGGCATCAGTTAGTTAGAAATTCTCGTGGTGAGAACTACATACGCAATTTGACTCGGGGTGGACGACAGAGAGAGACACTCTGAATTCAATTAGCATCTCTCTCCAATTCTCAACTGACCCTTTCGTGTGCACGGATCGCTCGAGTAGGCCAGCGCTCCCTTCGAAGAACTTTGCACTGCTTCTTGGTGAGTTTCAAAATTTATCTACATCGCATTTTGCGATTTTTCCCCAGGAATTTCTTAATAGACACAAACTCTATAAAGTCAAGGTTGCTAAAATTAATTTGATATGCCCCCAACTAGTCGAGCGGCTATAAACTCGTTCGTTTCTAGCCATTAATTTGGAGATTTGTTTCTTCTTTTCTGCCAAATTACTTTTCGCATAATTTAACGAGTCCGACGAAAAACTTGTTTGAACCTGCTACCTTTGGACTAAGTTGTTGGTGGAAATTCCCGAGAAAAATAACTAAATCAAAGCAAAATCATAAAAACTGAGAAGGAGATAAAATTTAAAAATTTCAAATTTTCCAGAACTACAAATTTTAAACTAAATTTACTTCATTTACAAACCCTCGAAGTTTTTCTAAGTCTAAAAATTAAAAATGTAATCCAAGTGAAGATGCTCATCCTGTCATGAGATTTATTTTAAAGTTGTAGAATGAATTTAATACTTCCATTGTGTTCTTTAATATTAAATTTTGCTTTTGCCAAAATTTCAAATGAATAATTATACTGAATAATAATTTCAAACTTTTTCAACTGAATTGCATACGAAATGAAAAAAACAACAAAGATTTTGCAGTTCTTACCGCATAATTTAATTAAGGCCGTGTACGACAAGAGTAATTCCTGTTTTTCCAACTCGCTCCTCTCGTAAAGCAGATGACTCAATGGCTCTCTATCTATATACCCGCAGCAAATAACAAATGCACTCTTCTTCTTTGCCTCGCGAGTCGATTCGCCCGTGTGAATGCACGCGTCAACCTTGAATTACGTACGGTTGTACAAAAAAAAAACAGCAGCTCTCTTTTGCACTTGGAAATAAATCTAGAATTTCTTTCTTTCTCTCTAAACGATCTGGCGAAGGCAGACAGGATCAATGCACTATCTAGACTATAGATGTTCTTCCGTCTCAAAATTAACATGTCGTGTTTGCACAAGGGGAGGAGGTTCCCCAATTTTCACCCTGTACGTATAAGCAAATAGGCCGTGTGCTAGACAAAAGAGCCCGTCAGTCTTTATTATGTTTGTTCAGTATTTAGAAGAGAGAAGTGACCAAGGCAAGTCAACTTGAGGTTGACCTGTGCAGCGTGCGGCCACAAAAAAAGACTTATTGTTCGAGCGCTCAAATTACCGTGAAACCGCCTGGCCGTTCGTTTTCAGGAGAATATCGCGGCATCTCTGCCCAAAAAGGGTTGACACAAAGAAACGAACGAGTTGGGACGAAAAAAAAACATAAAATACAAAATCCTTGTCTCTTATTCGTGATTTTAATGATGGCATCGCGAATCGATAATTGATGTCCTCCGCGCATTGTTTTTACCTCCGAGTGGTGGATTTTCATTCGTACCCTGCCGATGATGACGCTGACGTAATTTTCAAGATGACCTCAACGCGAATAACATCATCATCTTACGCCTCCACCAAGGCCGCGAAATGACGTGATAAACACGAAAATCTTACCTGTAGAGTGAAATACAAAAAAAAATCCGGCGGTGATGATACCGGAGCCAGTTCCTGGGTCATAATATCGTCATTATATTTTATTTCACAGACAATCTGTCAATTCATTCGCCGTTTTTCCCTGGAGTCCGGAAAAAAGCAGAAAAATTTGAAGAATATAAAAAAATAACCTTAGACTTTAGAGGCATCAATCAAATAATAATTAACTATTAAATTAAAAGTTCTTTTGACTTCCTAGTTGCATATATAAATTTATAATATTATTCATCAGTCTGGCTGATGATGTGTCGAAGAAAGAATGAGCAGAGACACGCGGGATAACTGTTTGATGGCCCATTGGCGAAAATATAGCATAATAAAGGCACTTAGTGTTATATCATCACATATGGGCTGCTGCGCTGCTGCTCGCATAATGCGACCGCCAGAATCAGGTTGGACCGTTTCTTTTGTATGAAAAAATCTAGGTTGTTTCGAATTCACAGCAGGGAATGGCTTCCTTAATGAGATACAGTCGCGCATAATGAAAATTCCCATCATCATCATCGCTCGCATCATCATTACTTATATTTTCTAGCCGCTCCTATTCCAACATTCGCGCATCAATAATTATCGGAGCTCTCTGTCTTGACAGATGCACTCGCCCCGCTCGGCAATTTGCAATTCCCAGCAGCCACTTAATGCTCTCGGGGGCACATCGCGATTATTGCAAGGCGAGATTTACCCCGGGGAAAAGTAGCGACAAAAAGGGAGTGGAAAAGGGAGGAACGATCTCGAAGTTCAGAATCATTGGCTCCGGGCAAATCTAGAAATGGAAACTTATTTACAAAAGCTGAAATCTTCTTGATAAATTTATAAGGAAGAGCAAAATTATATATATCTTTTAAAAAATCAGTAAATTTTATGATTTCCAAATAACTTTCAAAACTTTTCATGCACTTACGGTAAAGATCGCAGCTGTGTAAGTAAATTAATTCAATTTATTATTTAATAAAATTACGGTACTGCCGACGAGGAGTTTTATGGTCTGGTTTGATCAGACACGGATTAATTTTCTTTCGTTCACGCCACTTGCATCCTGAAATCGATACTATACTGCCCGCTAATTGGCCGTGCGCTCAACGTTTTATTTTATGGCTTTTACGTACAAAAGGCTATCGAGTGCATTCGATCTCGCGGAGGCAGATTCCCGGATGATGCATGTTCCGTATGCAAAACCGAAGATGGCAACGTGCCAGCAGGTTGTACGTTTATATTCGACGTACGAATTCAAATGTACCTGGTTGAACGGCAATTCCCGCTACGACTATATGTAAAAGAAAAAAAAAATAACGTGTGTCAACCCGCATTCGGAACTCTTTCTCATTATCTCAAAAGAGAGCTGTGCATTTGCATTTGCTTTTATCCGGCCGGCGGCATCTTTCTTTCCTTCTCGATTTATAAATGGCACGTTTGCATGATTTTATAATCCAGCTGCGTGCGGGCTGCTTTATCGGCGAAGTGCGATTTTCTCATTCAATTAAAAGGTCGCTCGTGCTCGCGTTATTTATTTATTCGCCCTGAACTTGAAGAGCCGCGTTTCGAGGTCAAGAACACAAAGCTCTGTGCTTCATCCTTTTAGGGCAGAGAGATAACCCTTTTGGATGAGATTTCGCGATTGAAATGCTGCGGTTTTCGCATTCCTCGCTTCTCTTTTTCGTCACGGTGTGTGGTGCGACGAAAAAGCTTCAAAACAATCAGACACAGCAGCAGCTTTTCCATTTCGAGTTCAGGCAAGCTTGAAAATGTTGTTCTTCTCTTCGTCGTTTCGAGCGCATGCGAGCGTGCAAAATACTACTACATATAAAGCAGAGGAATGGAGAAGCGAAACACACAGGAAACAGTCGAAAAAACGACGCGAGAGTAATTATGAAAAGCTTGGATTTTTTGCTCTTTTTGCGCAGTTGGTGCTGCTGGAGCAGAAAATTAAGTGACGAGAATGCACACACGTTTCCCTGCCAAAAATCTCTAATTGAAATTTAGATGCTCAATAATTTTTTCAAAGATTTTCTGAACATCCATTTTAAATCAACTAAAAAAATTTAAAATCATCTGCATATACCATAAAAACATTGGAATTTTACTGAAAAAATACTATCGATAGAAATTGCAAATTAATTACAATTATTTTTTAAATTGTTGCAAAATTTTATTTTCACAGTTTTATCAGGTCTTTTGAGCTAATTTAAATTATAACATGGTAGAATAATTATTTCCATTGGAATTATTATCTAAAATTATTCAAATATAAAAACTCTAAAAACTCTTTTCTTTGTATTCAATATTTTTTAGTGTGTATTGAAAACTGCTAATTTTTCTCACTCATAAATTTTTGTTTAAGCGTGAGTGAAAGGGAATTAAAGCACAAAGTAAACTTTGAATTTCCATCAATTTTCCTCACATGAGAGTCATACCAGTGTGAATTACTGAGAATGTCTTTTTTTCATTGAGACGCGCCTTAAAGAGAAACCTACTTGCCAGCGAATGAATTATCGATTGCGACACAGACTTGGCAAAAACCGACCGTTTTCCCTGCCCATTTTTGTGTCATAACAATAACGCGTGCAATTGCAATGCTGGTCATCGCCAACAAAGTCATGCACTATCGTCTTGGCCATCGAGTGCTTTTACCAACCCTGACGCATTGTTCGTAATTTAAATCAGAGTTTGCACAATAATTGCGTGATGTCGAAAAGCGAAGTCCCGGTCCTCGTTTGCAAACCAGTTCCTGCACGGGTGTCGCTGACCAGCCGAAAAGCGTCGCGCACCCGAGCGCACACCGCACTTATTGGCATCTTTTCGCACGCGCTCCGTGAATTCACATACCAGTTTACAGTTATTTACTCACTTTTATATGTGCGGGATATAGGACTTTGGTGCCGATCCGAAAAGAAGAAGAGTCTCATTAAGCAAATTGAACTTGGAGGGGAAAAATTTATCGCCCGTGACGCGCGGTCGTGGCTCCTAACATAAAAAAGCAAAGAACATTATTTCCCCGTGTGTGTTGTGTATTAAATACGAAAAACCAGTTTGTCAAAAATCTTCTGACTTGCTTCATATGCGAGATGATTCTTGAAAAAGCCCAAAGGATGTGCGTGACGGCTCGTTTTCTGAACATTCTCCACGCCATTTTAGATCCACCGTGCTGAAAAAAAAGTTATATAAAATCGAGAGCTCATGCATTTTTTTGATTTCACTATCGATGAAGTCATTATGAAAATTCGCCACATTAAAAATTGATTTTTAAATGCAAGTGAATAAAAAATAAAAAGAGCGATTCGAGCAGGCACAAAAGCAGCTCGCTCGCTCGTGTGTCGTGATCTTCTAAAAGTTGCAAGTTGGCCGCGGCAGTGGGAGATCTGGGAGATCAGACTCTGGGAACAGACCGAATGCACAATGAATGCTCCCGGTCGACGAACTCGCGGCGCAAAATAAATTTATTTTATATACACTCGTGGAGTAAAAACGTATAGCAGCAAGGTGCAATCCTGTCAATTTCTCCGCCGCTTTTTTCTCCCCGCAGACAGACAGGCTTTTGAAGGCCGCGGCAGGTAAATTACAACTTTTTCGGCAGCAGAGGTGCATTCGTCGACAATTTTATGACAGGGATAAAAAAAGACGGGCAAGCAGAAAAGTGGCAGATATTTTTATAATACTTTTTTACAGCATGCAGGGTGACATAATAAACTCTTAGAAAAGATTTTTCCAAGGACAGTTAATTTTCTAATTTTTAAGCACCCTGCTTCTGGAATTTAACCTTAAACAAAATTGTCGTTTGCCCAGATGCGAGGATTTTTTTAAGATAAGAATTTATTTATGGATTGAGATGGTTAAGTCTGAGATTCATGTTTCACAATTTTAGTATAAAAATTTGCAAATGAATTTTTTTCTGTTTTAAAATTTTAAACGCGTAATTAATTATTATTCAACAGTAAAAAACGTTATTATAAATTTTGATAACATTTTATTATATTTATAAAATTATCATAAAAATTTATTGCGTCTAATAATTACCAACAATTTAGGAGATTCATAGTCAATTTATGTAAAGATCACTCCCGAGGCTATTGTTCGTAAAGATTGCTTTTGCCTTCTCTCGCGTTTGTAAAACCTCAAATCAAGGAATTCGGCTGCGATTGATTACATGGTTTTCGGTGAGAAAAATACGCCTTATACCATAACTGGCGGTTCTCCCAAGATTGCATTCCATCGACCTTTGAGGTTCATGACCTAATAAATCCAAACGCACAAAATTGCGCTTGGATTCTGCAAGAAAGGCCCCATCCATCTCGCTGCTAGCTAAAGCATGAATCATTAATTCGCATCCGCGTAATTAAGAGCAGGGTGCACGCGCGCTCTCTCGCGAAATATCATCTCTCTCGCTTGCATGATTTTTTTTATCTCCCCTTCCTCCCTTCCTTCCGCAATCAAGATTGCGAGGGTGCCGAGCTTTTATTCTCTCAATCTCTCGGGGCTGAATCATTCGCGAATGAAAGGGAGAGCGGAGCATCCCTGCGTGCCGTGATGTGCAAGTTCGTGTCATCTCGTCAGTCTCGCCGAATCGATCTTTTTTCCGCGAAACGCGATCGAGAATGAAAAGTTTCGAGGAGGTCAATGCCTTGGCCGCCACGCGGTTGTAGTAAAATTGACCTTATGCAATCTACTTTCACTTCTTCTCTCGCGCTGAAGTTCAAGTTCTGGAGCGCGACCGACAAGAACGAATCCTCTCATTTCTCTCTCTGGAGCAAGTGTGCGTGATTAAAGGAGCAAAAGTGCCGCTGGCTCTTCCGCCATTCTGTAATAAAATCGCTAACATTTTTTCCTTTATTTCAATGTGACATAAAAGTTTTAATTCATTTTTTTTTCTTTTAAATGATTATTATAATTTCAAATTGCAATTATATATTTTAAATAAAATGTTTTTGGGATTAAATTTTTTTAAACAAAAAATAAATGACCGATTATCACTTTTTTACTTCATTCTCTCTCACAAAGTTGCTTATTCTCATGTTCTTATTGTAGTTTTTGACGAGCGAAAATGGGAACTGGGTGTGCGGTGAATGTTTGGAACTGTGTTATCTGCTTGCTTTTGAAAACGTAATCGAGGCGATTCACACGTGAATTTCGCGCGCGTGGCCTAGAAAGGCTGCCATTATTTTAATACACGCTGCTTCCTCGGACGAAAAGTAAACAAAAGGCATTCCATGCAAATCGGTGGCTAGCTTCATTAAATAGACAAACGCCTTCCGATGATAATTTCATTTCTAGCGGTCTTCTTCCTGCTCACCATAAGTAAAGTAAATATTCTAAATAAAATATCTAGGATTAAAAAACAAATGGAAAAATTTTTTAGTGTTCAATATATTTTGGAACAAATTATAAAAAAACCGGAAATCGTGTGAAAAATTGTAATTTTATGTTCTATAAATATGATTATAAATCAATCCAACATTTTTTCTTGAGCTTCTTTCTCAATCAATCTATTCTTTTGTTTGTTTCTTTCTTTTATTCGCGTTGTTAGATTCCGAATGCGCGGCCTTTCCGTGTTGCACGAAATTTCCCACAGTTGAGGTCTCTCTTCTGGCTGGCGGTGTCGTTGATCATAATAATCGGCCGTCGTTGCGCCATTGAATCGGCCAGTGGGAGCCAAAGGCATGCTCGCGGTATAATATAATCTCGCAGGTGTCATAATGTTATTAAACAATGTTCCCACTGAAGGTTACATTCATGTTCGAGCCGTGCTAAACAGGCGGTGTGCATATTTTTAGTGCACGTGATGCGCATTGCTAAAACACTCTCTCCGGCGCGAATAAAAATACCAAACTGCCAACAAAAATTCACGTACACGACAGCAGTGAGTGTCAATAATTTAAAGCGTGTCGGGCAAATATGCATTTTTACAGGATGAATTTATTTGCAATTAAAAAAAGTAACAATAAAATAAAATAAAAATGATTTGATTTTTTTTTTTCAAATGAAAATTGGTCAATTTGATTCATTTTCCTCCAACAGTTCAATGCAATCAAACAAATTGTAATTGGCTTGAAAAAAATCATCAAATTAAAATATTTAAAGCTTAATACTGTATATGTATGTTTCCTTGTGAATGAAATCTTAATTGAAATTGTGAGGCGGAAGTTCAGTGAACTGGATGATGTTGTTCTTGAGCTAGAAAAGGTGCACTGCTGGGCGATCGGGTCGAGTTGTAAAAAACAGAGAGATGTGTTTTGCCGCGGAACATCGAATGACTCTTATACGCGCGGGGAGCAGGAAGCAGCAAAGACAAAACGGAAAAATGATGGAATACGCGAGAGCATAGAAAACCGCAACTCTCAGCTGCTGCCGAGCCGCCGTCGCGCATAAAAAAGCAGCGAGCGCCGCAAGAGTTCATTAATCTGTTCCGCTTTTGCTTCTTTTCGCCGCGTTCACACAATTTTAAGAGTTAAATTCGCTGCACGTGTTAAGTAACTATACTGTTAGCAAATTTAAATTGATCATTTCACTTTAAACATGCGTCATTTTAAAATTTGTTTCCGAGCACTTAATATAAATATATAAAGAATAAAGAAATTAATATTTAACACTAACCAACCAAAGCAGGCCAAAGTAGAAAAACCTCCGACGCTATTTTAATTGATTATTTATTTGTGCAATTCCTGAAGAGAAGCAACTCTTATTATTTCTTAAAATCAATAATTCAAAGTTTATAAGTTTTCTTTTTAATTCATATTTATTAAAATGAAAAAATAATAAAAAAAAAATATTAATTTTGTAAGTAATTGCTAAAAGTTAAAATTAAGCTTTCATGGACTTTATATATTTAAAAAGTATTACAAAAACATAAAATGTTTTCTTAATGTTATATAAGTTCAGTGGCTTTGCTTTTTTTTATTTCGGCCTGTTTACAAGCCGGATAAAATCAAGTTCATTATGTATGTAGTTAAGCTAACTAAGCAGCCTGTTTTGCCGTGTGAGAGGGAAGACACTAAACCTCGTCGAATTTACGGTACTTGCGGCTCGCTCTTTCTCGTCCTCACTCTCAGCATTTGTGCATGGTTTTTTTTCCCACCGCATCTCTTTCGCTCGTTCTCTCCGACTGACTTAATTTCAAGGCGCGCGTAAAAATAATATGATGATATACACACTCGATGTAATTCCAGGTATATAAATTTATCGTTAAAACCGGCCTCCGTTGTGGGAGTTTTATAACCGATCCTCTCTGCAACCTATAACGGAACTTGGAAAAATATCATCATCTTTTAATTGCCCGGCAATTTGCGTCCACTCTCGCGCAATTAACGCCTCGATCTGCCGCTTTCGCGGAAATTCGCTCCATTCATAATACTGGTCCGGACCGTTTTTACTGCTAATTAGTAGACCTGCCAACAGTAATTAACGTTTCCACCTAACAGAATACCAAAATTATAAATTATTAAAATCACCCAATCATAAGAACGTCATTTTTTTTATATATTTCTTCATTTTCATGAATAGAAATGTGTACATAATTTGTTGAAATGAATAAACTTTTTACCAAAATTGAGTTATAGATTAATATAACGTTCATTTTGAGCTAAAATTTTTTAAATCTGTAAGAGAATTTAATAAAAAAAAAAAAAAAACCATAAGAAAATTTGTCGAGCCACAGAGTATGTGGCGAATATTTTTATTTTTATAAATTTACAATGACCACTCAATATTCTCATTCCAGCGATATTTTTTTGTCATTTTCTCACTAAAATTAATTAAAATTAGTCATATATATGTCTCTAATCCATATTTCCTGTTTCTAAATTTGCATTCTTCTTTCTGTTTCTTAGGATCGGAGTCTCGAAGAGGGCCTGTTTGTGCACGATGGCCGTCAGCAGTACGGCCCGCAGCCCCTCGTGGCTGCTGATTGCCGCAGCATTACCATTTTTGTTCATGTTCGTCCTGAAACCCGTTCGATCAGGTGAGATTTTAATTATCGATTGCAGCCGGCACGACTAGCACTCTTCAGTGCAATCAACCCAAATTTTTTGCTGTCCCACCTTGCGCTTTTTCGCGATTTTTGTCGCATTCTAACGGTAGTCTCAAATTGCAAGGTATATTATAATGACCTCTTGCTTGCTCGCTCGCCGCGCGGCCCCGTGATTACAATAATCTTTCTGCGGGCAGACGGGAACGCCGTTACTTTTTAGGACATTGACAAAATGCGAGTCGACTTTTTCGCGTGTTTGCCAAAAAATCTCTCAGACTGATAGCCATCAGCTCGTGTGTCACCTTTTTGCCATTCACGACTCATTGTTCGCGGCTCATTTACCTTGTGCGGTGCCGCAGGTGTGCTCTCCCTCGAGTTTCGCCTCTCAAATTGATCAGTCAGGCATAAAAACTGCCTATATTAAGAAAAATATAATGCGATATTTTTGTTAAATATCAAGGTTCCCGCAATGAATTATGAAAATTTGTACAAATTTTTTCATGCATGTATTTCAAATTATTTAATATTCCCATGCATCATTTAACTTCAGAAGAGCTTGAAATGCGAGATTTTTATTAAAAAATAAAAATAATATTTTCATACAATTTTTTCTATCATTATTTTAAATTTAAAAAAAAAAATAATTATATTAATCAATGTGCAAAAAAAATTATTAAAAATATAGCTATAAATTAAATATCTTATCTTTGTAAATTTTAAATCGTTTAAAAAAAGAAGAAAAACTATTGTTTTATAAAAAAAAAACTCCAATACCGCTACGATAATTTATATAAATTTGTAATAAATTTTTTTATGTAGTCATCAACAATTTAAATGAAGAATATGGATCAAGTTCAAGGTACTCTCTATACAGTGATCAATTAAAAATTCAAATCACTGCGCTTCCGCTACTTATTAATATTGAAGGCGTGCGTGGAATTCTGGAGCGTCGGTCGGTGCAGTATCAAGAATGACAATTATGACACGATACAGTCGACGAGCTCAGTTAAATTTGCTCGAATTAATAACTAGCAATGAACCAGTTTGCGCACCGACTCACTTGCTCGCAATGATATAATTTATAAATAATTTTCATTAGCATGGACGGACAGAGAACTCGTTTCACTGGTTTGTCGTGCGCTTTCTGCCGCTAGCTCTCTTCCACATTTTGTCGCATCGCCGGTGTACGAAGACAAAGAAAGAATGAGGGTCCGATGACCGCGTGGTGGAAACAATTTTTTACGCTCCGGCCGAAGCCCTTTCTTTCTCTCTTGTCTTAGCTTGCTGCTCCTCTGGTTTATAAATAAATATCACAAATAATTAGGAGAGCAGACCCGTGAGGGAGTCGCCGATTAATTGCAAAGATTCCCATCCTTATATCCTGTAACTGTAAAGTCGTCTCGTATTACATATAAAATACGGCAAATTAATTGTTTCACTAAATATATACAGCAGGCGATTTATTAATGAAGTGACATTTAAATTTATTTAAGAACACTGACCTGACCACACCGAGCCTGTGTGCTGGATGCAGCAGCACACCGGCCCAAACAGGTCTCGCAGGTTTAACTTCCTCAATATAAACAGGTGGGACATGAGAGAGCAGCGAAAAATATCAGATTAGTGTCGCGGCTCGAGAGGAGCGAGCGGTCCGCGTCTCGAATTTATGTGTGTGGGAACAAATCTGGCAATTAGGCTGATGGAAGTGGAATGATAAAAATAAGTATATCGAGGCGGATGTTCGACTTTTTAATGCCTTCGTAAAGCGGCCAAATTGACTGGAGATGAAATAAAAATACATAAATATTGGTCGTTTAAAATTTGCAGCTGGTTAAAAAGCTCGTTAAATTTTGAGTTATTTCAAAATATATATGATCTTTTTCAATTGCATGCGCTTAGAATTTAAAGTAATAAAGAGATTTTTTTATCAATTGGGAAAATTAATTTAAAATAATATATTTTTTTATAGTGTATTACTACATTTTTAAATTAAATTTAAATAATTGATATTTCATTTTTTACCTTATCTGCCAAATGTAAATTTAAAACTCTATAAATTTTATTGCTCATACATAACCTCATAGAAATTATTGCTTCTGTATAGACCGATAAATTCTTGAATGGTCAATTTAAGCCACGTGGAACGCATTACTCGGGCGTTTGCCGGCGTCTGCAAGTTTCGTGAATCAGAACGTGGGCATTTGATTATTGGGTCAGTGCTATCTATTTTGTATGCGATTGGCGGGCACGAAAGCAGCTCGTTTCCCATCCAGCGCGAAAATTCCACCGCATGCGTCCAGCCGGAGCGTCGGCCAAGAGCTGCATTTCGTAGACGGACTATCAAATATTTGTCCGCTGGCCGTCAGCCAGAAGTGTCAGAGCTCGGCGGTGGGAAGAAGTGACGACGGCGGCGATTTGAATGCAAATCATCCTATTTCCGTGTTTATGTTAAATGCGTTTTTCTCTCTCGTTAAAACTAATCCCGTTCGGTCTGCAGATTTTTTAGTCGATGATTCACATTTGCTAGCAACTTGCGGTAGACCTTGAGATTTCTCGTCACCGTATGTAATTCTGCCCCGCGAAGAAGTGCAATGAACTGCCGCGGCGCGCAACAATAAAATTCTAGTACTTGTTATATACTCTCTCGCGCAGTGCCACTCGCTCGTCTCGCGAAGAGAGAAAAAAAGTGCCAGTCAGCAGCATCTCTCGGAGGCACTTGCGATTTCAACCACGTTTTGGCCAAAAACAGCCACACTGTAAAGCAATTAGTTTTATTAGCCTCTGCAGTGCGCGGCGAGTGCTGGCCAAATATGATCACCCCTCAACCGCGAATTTATTCATTTTTTTCGTCATGAAAAATAAAACTTTACGGCCGCTATAAATTACATTTGCGAACAGCTAATTTATGTGAATAAATTATCGTTGCTGTCATGCGTTGAAGCGAACGTGCGAGAGCTTGCTCTGAAATTATACGACAGACCGAGTTAGGCAAATTGTCGAGCCCGTCTGCGTGGCGGATTGCCTACCCCGCGAGCTGCAGGCGTTCTGCGAATTGTAATTTTTGTATTCGCTTGCAACTTTTAGTCAATTCAAAATATCCAGAATGATTTTGACTTAAAATAAATTAATTTTAAAATTGCCTTTTCTTCAATAAATTGATTTTTCATTTATCTGTTTGCAGCTCCTACCGAGAGTGAGAACTCAAATGCTTTGGAAGTTTACGATGAATCTGGATGTTACTATAACTACCAGCACTATGGAGAGGGCGACCGAATCATTACGAACGAGCCCTGCCTGAATTGTACCTGCCACAACCGTATGCTCATGTGCTACCTGAAGGTTTGTCCTTTCACAAAGGCCATCGGCCAAGACTGTACGGTCGAAAAGCGACCTGACCAGTGCTGCCCGGTCATCACCTGCCCTGAAGGTACTACTTTAACAAATTGTTTAATTTCAAATCAAATCATTTGCATTTGATTTGAAACTGATTTGAACCTAGTTTAATTTAAATAAAATTTACAATTTTCTTATTAGTTCCAGTGCAGCTTTTGGACAACAACCCTTCTCCCAGCACCACCCTCCGCCCTGTGGCTTCCCATTCCACTGCCCTCGGCCACCCTGACAGTTACGGCTGCTCGATTGACAGCGAGTTCTACGCTGACGGCGCTCAGGTTCCCTCGGACAGGAACAAGCCCTGCGAGCTCTGCTACTGCATCCGCAACCACACTGCTTGCGTCATGCAGGAGTGCACTCTGAACGTCGAGGGTTGCAAGCCTGTCTACCAGGAGGGTGTTTGTTGTCCAGTTAGATATGAATGTGGTGAGTTTTATTTAATAATATTAATATTTTTGTTCCTGTCAAATATGAAAATTTTATTTTATTAAATGGTTTAAATTTTCACTTTAATTATTTATTTTAGAATACCCTGATGAAACCACCACCCTGGGAACAATTGCTGGGTTCTTCTTTACCACCACGACCACAATGGCCCCCAACACAATTTGCAAGCACAATGGCGAGGAGTACGCTGACGGCGCTCTCATCCAAATGGACGACAAACCCTGTGAGCACTGCTACTGCATGAGAGGCGAAATCGTCTGCGCCGTTCAGGAGTGCGGCACTCCACTGGAGAGGGAGGGACACAACTGCACTGCCATGCCCATCCAGCACGGCAAATGCTGCCCCGAGATGTACCAATGTGGTAAGTACCGGCGCGGCATGTTTGAGTGTACATACATAGGCTTAATACAACCGAGTGCAGTCGCACTCGAGTGTTTTAGTTGATTTAGTTTTTTTTTTATAATCGAGTGAAGCTTTTTGTGTACAGTGTTATGGTTGCGGTTTATTTATTTCAAGTGGGATTGACTTTTTCTGATAGGAGGAATATTTGTTCGCTTTTTATGTAAATAATGAATGCGATCATAGTTTGAGAAATCTAAATTTTTAATATTCTAGTTGGATGCATTGGATAATTTTTTTCATTTGACCGATATTCGTAGTTACGCAGGGATATACTAAATTCACAATGGGTGTTGTGAAATAAGTACTAACATTTGTGTCGATGTGACAAAATTTTTTATTGCAGATTCTGGGATTCAATATGTGATGGATACCACGAATAGGATGAACCGCAAACAATATGGTTATACCGTTGATGGTAATTCGCTTAATAATTTTGCTGGCTAATTAAAAATTGTAAAAACAATGAGCTGTATATTATTTTGCTTTTTCGGTGAAGGCAACTGCTTTTTGCTTATTATTTTAAGCATGTGTGAAATGCATGTAAATATTCTGTTTTGTTTACTTTTTATATACACTTTTGCAAAACTTGTTAGCCACAAGTTTTATTTTAGTAATGTTTCCAGACTCCATGCTGCCCGCCTTGTCTGATGCTAGCACCCAACAGAGCGACGATGTCCCTCAGCTTCCCCAGCACGATGACCAAATTTCTGGTGTAGCTCTCAATGCCGACGAAGCAGAGAAGCCCGCAGACACCGCGCACACCGACGCCCCTGACCAAGTTTCTTACACCGAGTCCAAGCCTGCTATGGAATCCGACAGCTTTGTGCATGACGAACATGAAGACCAGCAGGAGGTTACCACCCTTCCTCCTTCTGACATCGAACAAGCTGCTGACGACCACATTCCCAGCGAGGTGCACGACGAACAAAAGCCTTCTTACGGAGATAAGCCTGCTGACCACGAAGTTGAAATCGAGCCTGTGCATCAAGATGCTGTCCATGACGAATTTGATGACCTTTCTGAAATCCACCACGAAGAGCATGAGAGCGTAAAGCCTGCCCAGGAGGAGCACTCCGATGAGGCTGAAAAGGAGCCCGAAGCCGAGTTTGCAAGCCCAACGGACGCTCCCATCGTCCAAGATCATGTTGAGGAAAATAAGGAGCAGGACCACAAGGAACCTGATCAACACGTCCAAGAAGATCACACTGAGGCTGCCGTAGAAGAGGAGATCCAGCACGTAACTGAGCATGTTGAAAGCGAAAAAGATCAACCTGCTGAAATCCAACATGAACCTGTTGAGGAGGTTGCCCAGGAGTTCTCTACTGAGGCCAGTTTGCAAAATGATTTCCCACCTTCAACTGATACACCTGCCGAAATTGTCCACGATTCAGTTGAAGCCCAGTACACCCCTGAGACTGCTGAGGATGAAAATGTTACGGAAAAAGAAGTTGTTCAAAACGAGCCTGTGCAGGAAGTTGTTGACTCTGCTGAGCCAATCACTAAGCCTGAAGAACCGGCCCAGGAGGAACACGAAATTCATCATGAGCCTGCCGAGGAAATTGTTACTGAAGAGCCTGTCCAGCACGAGATTGAAGGAAGTGAAAAGCCTGCTCATCCCGAAGAGGGAATCCAGCACGAACCAATTGATCAGGAAGAGATTCTTCACGAACCTGTCGAGAATGGCGAAATTGAGCACGAACCTGTCCAACCTGAAGTTTCTGAGCCCAAGCCTGCAGAGCATGAGGCGGACGAGCAAGAGAAACCCGTCGAAAGTGAAGTGAGTGACAAAACTGAGGAGCCATCCTTTGAGGTTGTCACTGGTCCAACTTCCGCTGATGCTGAAATTAACCATGACCAAAGCGAAGTTCACCACGAACCTTCAGAGGTAGCACAGGACGTCCCTGAAATTAATACTGAACAAACTAAGCAGCCCAGTGCCCAAGAGGAAAACGTCCTGAGTGACTTTGTTGAGACTGATGACAAAACAGAAGAGCCGGTGAAGGAAACTGAACCTGTTAACACTGAGGCGCCTTTGCAAGAGCCTGTTGCTGATGACCATGCTTCAGAACACAAGCCTGAACAAGTTGATGATCACAGCGAAGTTCATCAGGATGAAGTCCAGACTAACGACGAGGTTGTGAATGAAGAGGCTCCTGCGACTACTGTTGCTTCGGTGGCTGATGAGGTTGGCTCTGAGAAGGAAACTGACGAGAATGCCGTTCAGATGGACAATATTCCCGTTGAAGATATTCCTGAGGCCGTTGAAGAGAAACACCCTGAGCCCAACCAGGACGATTCTGCTGATAACGCTGTAGCATCTGAGGTGTCCACTGAGGAGCCTAAGCCATCTATTGAAAATCAGGATATACCTCAATCTGCTGTCGTAGAAGAACACAAACCCGAGGTTGAAAATTTCGAGACTGCACCTCAACATGAAATTCCTGCTTCTGATGAACAGGAGACTCACGAAACCGAAGAGAACGAAAAGCATCCGGAGCATGAAATTACAAACGACACCGCCGAAGTTCAAACAGAACCTGAAATAGAAGCTGATGTTACTGAGAAGCCTGAAAACTCGCAGCCGATTCCCCAGCAGCCTGCTGATGACCATGTCGAGGAGCACATTGAGGTTGCTACTGATGTACCTGAAAAGACTGATGAAGAACCAGTGCACGACGTCCACGTTGACGAACCAGTTCAAGATGTCCACGAAAATAAGCCAGTTCAAGATGTCCCCGTGGACGAGCCAGTAGAGACTCACGAAGATAACTTCTCAATTATCGAGACCATGACCAAGCCAACAATGGAGTCTGATTCGATGGTGCATGAAGCTGCGGCACCTCTAAATGAAGTGGAGAGTGAGAAGCATGAGGAGAAACATACCACCGAGAAGGCTCCAGAGGCAATCAGTTTAGGTGACATCATTGAGGAGGTCAGCAAGCTGCCTTCGGTCATTAGTTTGACTCCTCAGCACCCATTCCTGCAAGACATGGAAGAGGCTGAACACCATTATGAAACTGACGATGATCACGTTGAAAGCCAGTCGGACAGCAAGGAGCCAGAAACCGAGATTGAAGATGTGAAGGAGACTGTTCCCATCCACTCTGACTCTGCTCAGAGCTCCGAGGAAGTTACAGAAGCTGGAGATGAGATTTCAACTGAATCTTCTGTTGAATTTATTAAGGACCAAATTATTCCTGGCGAAGGTAAATTTCAATTTTTAGTTTTTTTTTTATACAAAATTTTGAATTAATTTTTTCCTAAGACGTTCATTTTTTAAATGGAAATTAATTTATTACCTCATCAAACAATATTTTTCAATTTAATTTTAAGGCATACATTTGTAATTGAAACTTCCAAACTTGATAACAAAAAGTAAAATCAAATAAATATTTTCTTGATTATTTTTCTTTGTATAACTGTTTGATTTTTATTCTGTTTGTATATCTTGATGTGATAACTGTTGAATTGAATAATATTTTTATTGAAAATAAGTTTTAGAAAAAATCAAATCATTTTAACATTTTATTTGAGATTTAAACAAATATTATATTTATGTTTCACATTTATTTTTGAAGAGGAATCTTTTAATTGTTTTTCTTTTTTTCTTGAGGTTATTGCTGCTAAATTTAATCATTTTTTTAAGTGACTCATATTAAAATTTGTTATCAATGAAACATTTTGCCTCTTTTATAAATTGATTAATAAATATTATGCATTATCTCACTTACAAATATTCAAACTATAAATTAAAATGGGAAACAAATTTCTTATTATTTCTCATAAAATTTTTCATTATTTTTTTCTGTTCACCAGGTGACTGCAGAGTTGAAAATACTGTTTTCAAGAGCGGGGAAAAGGTGCCTGTCAGCAATAACTGCCAGAAAGAGTGCGAATGCAAAAACAGCATTGTCCATTGTCAGCTTCAGGAGTGCCCACCACCTCCATCAAACGACCGTGACTGCATGCCTGTGGTGCATGAAGGAAAATGCTGTCCTTCTTATACTTGCGGTATGCTTTCTTTTAAAATTGAATTTTTTTCCTACCTGAGAAAAAATAAATTAGATAAAAAAATTTAAAAATAATAAAAAAGTAAAGTAGAATTTAATATAATATTTTGAATTATTGTTTTACAAATGCAGAAAATTCTTTATACTAAGTTTTGTGTTCATTGTACAAATAAATGCTCAAGAACATGTATTTATACAACTTATAAATTTATATTTTATATGTTTAGTATAATTATTTTAATTAATTAAAGAGTTAGTTTAAAAATTTAATTAATTTAATTAAAATATTAATTTTAAAATAAATTTTTATTAATAAATGTAATGTTTATAATATTAAATTAAAATAATATATGGAAATGAAGAAGTCGGGCTTTTCCTCGTTGCAAAAAATTGTTTTTATTCAAAAACAAACGGCTCAAATAATATAATATTACATTGTACTATAAAATCCTTATTATTTAATATCAGAATATTTAAGTACCAAATTTTTGTTCTCTGTATTTTATTTTTATATTTTAATTTTGTTTTCAGAAAATGCACCCCAGTACGAGATTGTGACTGATCACCCAGCTGGGGTTGCTCTTGATGGATCTCAAGAGGATGGCGAGAATCATGCTGAAGAGTTCGTCACAGAAGGATTTGTCCCTCAAACTGATGCTCCAGCACAAGCCACTCCTGACAGCAAGCCCGCTGATTTTATCCAGGACGAGATCGAACATATCACTGAGGAGATCCCCAAGCCAGTGAATGGTGAACCAACTAGCCACCCTGGACAGGGCTCTCACCCTGCTCAGGTCCCACTCCTTTTCGATGGTGTTGCTCTCGATTCCGGTGATGAGGATGAAAAGCCTGTAGCGCACGAGGACAGTCCCGCTCAAGAGCCTACATATGACCACATTGATCAGCACCATGAGGAGGATCACGAGATTGAAATCGTTACTGCTCCATCCATCACTGAGGGACCTGATGCTGTCGAAGCCAATAAGCCTGCTCAACCTGAGGAGACCCCCGAAGTTCACGCTGACCATGTCCAAAATGTGAGCGAAGACGAAGAGGCCCAGGACTTTGCCACTAACGCTCCTATTGCTGAGGTTTCTGACGTTAGCTCAACTCAGACACCATTAGTTGAAAATGCCCCTGATGTGCAAACCGACGTTAGCTCAACTCAGACACCTGAAGTTGAAAATGCCCCTGATGTGCAAACCGAGGGACTTCAGTACGATGTTCAAACTGACGTGCCATTTAAGCCTATCATTACACACGATGAACCTCAGCAACCCGAAGTGCCTGTTCACCATGATGAAGAACAGCAGCCACAACAGGAGACTGCTCATCCTGAGCATGTTGAAGAGGTTGCTCCTGCTACAGAAGCGCCAGAGGAGGAAAAGGAAGCGGAAGTGACTGTCGCACCCATTCCTGCCGAGATCGTCAAGCCTGAATCTGATGCGGTTCCCCAGGAAGTTGAGTCTCATGAGCCCGAACATGTTGCGGAACAGCACGTTACATTCAAACCTGAAGCCATTCCCGAGCAATCTACAGAAGAAGCCGAAAAAGTTCCTGAGCCTGAGAAGGAAAAGCCTGCGGACGAAAATGACGAAGTTCCTGAATGGGTGAAGCCCCCCACTCCTGTTGGTGTTGGATTCGATGCTGAAGCTCAATATGAAGTACCTGAGCACCATGCCGATGAGGAAGTATCTACAGAAATACCTTTTGTTTCTGATCCTATTCCCGATTTCGTTTCCGAAATTAAGCCGGTCAAGCCTGTAGAAAGCGCAGATCAAGTTAAGCCAGAAGAAAAGCCAGAGAAGCCGTCTGAGATTGCGCAAGAACCAGTTGAGGAGCACCCTTCGGAAATAGCCCACGAGCCAGTTGAACAGCACCCTTCAGAAATTTCTCACAAACCTACTGAAGAACAACCTTTGGAAGTCGAGCAGAAGCCTGTTGTACCAGATTCAGAAATTGCTCATGAGCCCATCGAGGAGCATCCTTCCGAAGTCGAATATGAGCCTGCACAGGAGCATCCCTCTGAGGTGCACCAAGAACCAATTGAGGTGGTCAAGGAACCTGAGCAAACTCCTGGGGAGCCAATTGAAAACGCCCAGGAGCCTGTCACGACCGAGCAACCCGCAGAAATTTCTCAGGATACTGTTGATGAACAACCTAACCAGCCTGCCGAAAAGCCTGCCGACTTTGTGCATGAACCCGTCGAAAGCCAACCTTCTGAGGAGCCTATTACTTCTGTGTCTGTTGAGGACAAACCAGAGCAGCCTTCTCATGAGCCTGAGCCTGCAGAAGAAAAACCCGAACACTCGACTGAAATCGCCCACGAGCCAGTTGAAGAGGTGGCACCTGTTCACGAGCCTGTTGAGGAAGCGGCACCTGTTCACGAACATGCCGAAGTCACACCTGACCATCATTCAGAGGAACCCGCTGAAATTCAGCATGAGCCTATTGAACAACAGCAGCCCGAGGTCGCACCTGAAGAGAATCTGACAACCTTTGCACCAGAGGTACAACAAGAAACTGCAGAAGACGACAAGGGTCAAGAACCTGCTATAACTCATGAGGAGCACAAGCCAGTGGATCATATCCCAGAAACCATTCCTGAAGTTCAACAAGAACCAGAAGAGCACCACGAAGTCAATGTTGAGCTTGTTCCTGAGAAGCCAGTCGAAGAGCATGTTCCTGAAGTTCACCAGGAGCCACCTGTGGAGCACAAGCCTGAAGGTGCTGTTGAGGAGCACAAACCATCAGACGCTGTTGAGGAGCACAAACCTGAGGAGGTCGTCGAGGATCACAAACCCGAGCAGGCCGCCGAGGAGCACAAACCATCAGACGCTGTTGAGGAGCACAAACCTGAGGAGGTCGTCGAGGAGCATAAACCATCAGACGCTGTTGAGGAGCACAAACCTGAGGAGATTACTGAACAGCATAAACCTGTGGAGGTTGAAGAGCAAGTTCCCGAAGTCCATCATGAGCAGCCCGAGCAGAAGCCTGTGGAGCAAGAACCTGAATTACACCACGAACAGACTGAGGAGCCAGCCGAGATCCACGAAGAACCCAAACCTGCAGTCCCTGAAGAGCCCAAACCGGTAGTCCACGAGGAGGAAACTGAGCAAGGAGTGATTGACGAGATGTACAAACCCGAGCACGGCCTTTCTCAGTTCCCCGATATGCCTGGCCTGCCCTATGAGCCGGTTGATGAAATGTTTGGCTTCCCTGAGATGGCTGCCATGGCCGGCTTTGATGACGAGCAAGGTTCCTTTGGTCCTGGCACTTGCAGATACGGTGGAAAGGTGTACCTCTCCGCCCAGCAAATTCCTCGCGATGATCCTTGCGACTTCTGTTTCTGCTTCCGCAGCGACATTATTTGCCTGCAGCAGAGCTGCCCTCCTCCCATCAAGGACTGCCACGAGGAGGCCATCGATGGCTTCTGTTGCCCAAGATACGAGTGCCCCGTCCAAATGGCCATGAGGAAGAACTCAACCACCACAACGACAACCACCACTGCTGCACCTCATCTCTCACAGTACATTTATGAGAAGCAGAACAATGCTGGCTGTCTGGTGCAGGGTGAGCTCTACAAAATTGGAGATGAAATCACGTCCGCCTCTGGTCCTTGCCTTGAATGCAGGTATGTAAAATGAAAAATTAATTGAGTCGACAATTTTGAAAGACATTTTGTTATATGTTTTTTTGTAAGTTTTTGTTGGAAGCCAATTTTTTAATTTTAATCTGTTTGCTTCAGGTGCGGAGGTGATAGCAAAATGAGGTGCGAACCCAAGGAGTGCAGCCCGCAGCCGCTGATTAGGAAAATGATTGAAGCTGTGAGCCTCCGAAGATAAAAGTAATCAGACAGTGCAATTGCTTGACCTCACTCTGAGCTTGGACTTAAAAAGAATCAACACTCACAAGTGTGCTAAAATTCATTAAGAATAGTGCCAAAGGATTTAAAAAATGTAACTTAACTCCAAAATCTAGGAAAAATAATTAGGGATCACAATCAATTCTCAAAATCGCACAAGTGATGTACACCTTTTTGCTCCTCTCGACACATTCAAGTGTGATGCTTTGAACTTTGTGCCAGTTCTACTACAGAACGCAATAATTATGTCAAATGAAATGGAAAAACAGTAATTATTTAATGTCAATTATTAACACGAATTGCTTGACTGACAAATGATATGAAGCAAATGACTCATTGGGAAAGAAAAAAAACAGTGTTCAAGTAGGCGCTTGGCTCCTAAACACTTCAGCAAGATTTTCTTTGGGCACAATTTCTTATTTAATTATTAGTGGTGTTGTTATTTCCAGTGTAAAAATCTTTCAGGGGAATGTACTAACAAATACCCAAATTTTATAATTGAATGAGACATTTCGGAAGGCTTGTGCCCTCGCAAAACTAGCCGGTCCCTTGCCAACCGACACAGCAAGTCGAAACTAATCAAGGAAGACTTCTGTGGTCTCAAAATGAGCATCGAGAGAACCTGAGGACTTGTTTGACAAATAGAAACAAGCATGAAATTTTTCATCTCTACAGTTCGGACATTGATTTCTGTTTCTTGAACACTCAGGTTGTGAATACAAGTTAGTCGCATCCAACATTTTTTTGTACCATATTTCCATTAGACTCTCTAGCGTAAAATTTTACATTGATGTTGGTCGACTACGCGTCTTGAGCCTATTTAGGTATTAGTGTAAGTGAATCGAAATTTGTTGGTATGCCACACAACCTAGCCTTTGTACCAATTAATATAATTTGTTCAAAAATGACCAGGTTAGGATACATTCAAATTAAATTATGTTTGTTTATTTAAGCTGTTAAATAAACTGTAAAATAAAAACAAAGCATTTTATTACACTGCTTGATCCCTTACCCAGATAATATTATGATAAATAAAAAATAATTATTGTTTGTCTTGTCCAGCATATATTTATAAAAACAATAATTGAAAATGAAGCAAATTGAGCTTTTGTTTGCTAGTCCCTTTTATCCTTATTTTTCTTTTTCTTCCCGTGTTTCCTCTCCCGAGAGCGACTCCGCTTCTTTGACTTTTCTTTGTGATGCTTTTTACCATGTTTGTTATGAGATCGAGGGCTCCTGCTTCGTTCACGCTTTTTCTCTGAAGAGCCGAGCGTAGCCACAAATACAGAGGATAGATCCAGTCTGCCTTCATTTTTTGATTTTGTCTCCGCCTGTGAAGTTTGAGCCGTGTTCTTTCCAACTCCACACATTGCCAGCCACTCTTGGTAAACCTCCATTTGATTTTTAATAACCTCAGCCATTACCTGAAATGAGACATATATTCTGTAAAATAAAATTTATTTTAATAAATATAAGTATTTAACCTCAGTATGTGTTTTATTGTGGGTGTGAACTTTTTTGGCCTGCTTGTAATTTATTCTTCTTCTTTTGGCATTCCTTTCTTCATTTAGAACATCAAAACGAGATTTTTCACTTTTGTCTTGTTCCAAACTGGGCCTATTTAAATATAAATTAATCAGAAATTTAAGCTTTAATTAATCAATTTAAAGCCATACTCAAAGACCAGATCTAGCTCAGTCAAAGGCAATTGAGGCACTTTATCTTTGGTCAAGTTGGTTACATGCTCATAAATGGCCAGACGCTGGGCTGGGTTGTAAGTCATCTGCAACTCAAATGCCGATTTTGGTGTTCTCATGTCTTCTGCCACACTTCCACAGCCAGCATGACTGATAACCTTGCTCACTTCATCTGGAGCTGTAGAAAGTCATTAGTTTAAACAATAACATACATATTCAGTAATAAAAAATATATACTTATTAAAAGTGAACAGCCTCTGTTGCTGTCGTAAAATTCAGGAAACAAATCAATTTCCTTTGAATCATCCTTCATAGGCGCAGCATTTCTTTCCTCAACTGCAGTCTTTTCATAATGCTTTTTAATATTTTCCTATAAAAAATTTAATTATTATTAACGAAACAACGAAGCCTTTGCAAACTCACGTTGGACACGGATGGACATTCCCAGCCAACATCATCACAAAATTGTTTTAAGTTATTTCGCATAGTGAGGACAAAATATTTCATATTCTCTCTTTCTTGTTGATCCATGTATTACGATTTTCTTCATTAAACAATTAAACCTACACGAAATTAAATGCAAACTATGATCTATGATAGTTTGTTTGTTTTGTTTTTATAATACCGGCAGGGGCGGCAGCGCGATAGGCAATTAGGCATGATAAAGGGGGTGTGGCAACAGGTGAGTGTTTTTGTCTGTCAACTTGGCAACACTGAATTTGATTCTCTGTCGGAGGAGAAAGGACGTGCCTGCCGTGTGGCACCCGATTATTTCTCTAATTTTTCATCTAGACACTCAAAATGGTAATTATTTGCGAATATAATGTGCATGAAATTTCTGTACTGGTCCATTTGACCTTTTCCCCCGATTTTCGAAACAAGACCGCCTTGGATCACGGGGATGTTTTAGGATTTTCATTAAGCCATGCCAGCCGGTCTTCTGTCAATGCGTGTCATTCACGCCTGAAAAAAAAATACTTTTATTTCGTGAATTTAAAATTTAAACTACTGATATTTTCACGTAATTTTATAACTTGCTGATGCTGTGTAACTGCCAATTTATTTAAATGTAAATATAACCAGTAGTTAACTTGAAAATTAAATATAAACAATAACATGGCTGCACTTCATAATGGCGCATTTTTCTGATGAAATTGGGCCGCCTATTAGGACAGCTACTAAACCTTACTTACCAATTTTACAATTTTGTCTATTAAAACCTTAACAATCTTATTTGAAAGGAAATCCCTACTATGGCACCATATTCAGCTATTATGTATTCAAATTCCAGGGTTTCGTCAAAGTCGTGAAGAACAAGGCGTACTTCAAGCGCTTCCAAGTCAAATTCAAGAGGCGTCGTGAGGGTAAGACAGATTACTACGCGAGAAAGCGTCTCGTTATTCAAGTTAAAAACAAATACAATACACCCAAGTACCGTCTCATCGTCAGATTCTCCAACAAGGACATCACCTGCCAGGTGATTTATCACCAACCAAAATGGGAAGAACAAAATTTTAATGGAAACTAAATCCTCAGGTTGCATATGCCCGCATTGAGGGTGACATGATTTTGTGCGCAGCTTATGCTCACGAGCTGCCCAAGTATGGTATTAAGGTTGGCTTGACCAACTACGCTGCCGCTTACTGTACTGGCCTGCTGTTGGCAAGAAGAGTAAGTTTATTTGACTATTATTTTTGTTAAAATAATTTTTTTATATGATGTCATTCTTATGTATTTGCTACTGTTGAAGACGAGTGTCTAATGAACACAACTTCATTCTGATTCAATTTGAGGAAATAAAAAAATCATGCTATTATTTATAGCCATAACTAAATGAAAATTCATTTCAGCTGCTCAAAAAACTGAGCTTGGACGAATTGTACAAGGGCTGCGAAGAAGTCAATGGAGACGAATACAATGTCGAGCCTAATGATGAAGGCCCAGGTGCCTTCCGTTGCTACCTTGACGTTGGTCTTGTCCGCACGACCACCGGAGCCCGTGTTTTTGGTGCCATGAAGGGTGCCGTTGACGGAGGCCTGAACATCCCTCACAGGTTCATTATTTCTGCGTTTCTATTTTTTTTAATTCCTAATTCTTTTTGTTTTCACTTATAGTTTGAAGAGATTCCCTGGATATAGTGCTGAGAGCAAGGAGCTGAATGCTGAGGTCCACAGAAATCACATTTTCGGACAGCATGTTGCTGACTACATGCGCAGCTTGGCTGAGGAGGATGATGATGCCTTCAAGAGGCAATTCTCTAAATATGTCAAGCTCGGAATCACGGCTGACTCCATCGAGGGCCTGTACAAGAAGGCTCACGCTGCTATCCGTGCTGACCCTTCACCAGCACCTGCGGCCAAAAAGGACGCAAAGAAGCCCGTAAAGAGATGGAACAGGGCAAAGATGACGAGACTCGAACGCAAGAACCGTGTTACACAGAAGAAGGCAGCCTTCATCAAAAAGCTGTCCGAAGGTGCCGAGGGAGGCGATTAATTCGTCGCGCATTTTTTGTGGATTGGTTAATAAATTCACTATATTCAGGACTTTTGCTGTTATAATTTTGACTTATAAAGACATCAAAGCATGTGGATCAGTTCAAGTCGGGGTGAAGTTTTTACAAAATGGATCCCGAAGTCGTGCACCTTGAGGTCACTTTAAAATGGGAGAAATCAAATGGTTGAAAGGGGGCGTTTCCATTATTCTATTTCAATTGAAAATACCACTATTAAATAATATTTGCCTCCAGACAGTTGTGATCTTAACAATAAAATAAACATTGAGATACAAATTTATGTAAACTACAATTTTATTATGATGTCATTTTCTCATAGATATCAAGTTTTTCCTCACTGATATCCTCAAGTTCTTGCAAGTCAAATAATTCCTTATTTTCCTTAGTCAGTTTCCAACAGAGTCTCATATTTTTCAAGATATTTTGTAAATTCAACTCTGGTGTACTTAATGAGTGCTCTACACCAAAATTCCCAATTTGAATGCACTTGATGAATCTGGTCGCAGCTGTACTACGTAGTCTTCTCCCTAGTTCAGTCACAAGGTCAAGAAAATACTCCTCAGTTTCATTCAGTGTGACAAATTCTATTAGAGAGACGTTAACATTAATTGATTTTTTATACACACTTAATCAAATACCAATGGTAAAATCTGGTGGACGAAAGTCAAGAAGTCGAGCGTTGTAAATCACACATCCTTGATCTGTTTTTGGCTTGACTAACCCTTGGGTGGCTAAATCGAAGGCTTCTTGACTGTCAGGCAAAACGCCAGCTAATCTAAATTAACAAATTTTTGTAATATTTTTAATTTTTTTTATATTCAGTTATACTCAAAAGCAGTCCTCATGTGAGATGCTTGGTAAGCAGACAAGACTGTGTTGATGGCCTGTGGAGGAACGTGCTTGAAAGGTGCTCTCGCAACGCCCATGCCTTCGTCATACCAGCCTGTGTTTGTTTCTAAGCCTAATCTCACCCCTATTTGGTAAACTCTGAGCAGCTGGAAGTAATTTTTTTTCCGGACAGCTCTGCATCCTCCATTAATGCCAAGAACTGATTTGTATATTATTAATATTTTTCAAACATAATTATGAAGTTGAAAAAAGGCTTACGCATAACGCCTGAAGATTTGAATCCAAGACCATGCACATAATTGCACTTAATTTCTTCCCGAATATACCGAGGACCAGTCACTAAAACGTTGTCTGAATAACTGGGGATGACTTTCACAGAATCTTCAACGCCAATCGCTTTTTCGAGATTCTTTTGATCCGTGTCTATCAAGACGTATGGTGTGGGAGGCCGAACTTTCATTTTATTTAAATCTGGAATAAAAAAATTTATACGCACATAAAAAATTTTTTTTCCGAATTCTTGTCAGCCTTAATAACCAACCTCTGCTAAGATGAGCTTTCACTGTCTCTTTCAACTGGCTTATAGACTTTCTTGGGGGTTTGTATGCACAAATAATACCACTCAGGTGTCTCCAAGCAAGACTAGCGTCGATGGATGATTTCATCATTTTTTATTATAATTATAGTCCTGCAAAGAATGATTATTAAAATTTCAGACAATTTATAAAAATTAGAACAAAGTTATAATGCCTTGCACAATAAAATAACCTTTAAAAAATAAACAATACAATACAAATAATACAATAATATGTACTTGTGAAATATGAAACTCCGGTTCGTGGGGTTTGTTAAATAGTTTTTTTTTTAGGCCAAGATCATGATCATATGCTGTGACAGTGCTGCCAACGTAACATATCTGGGCACCACACCCCCTTTGCAGGTAGAATGAATTTTTGCCAATTTCCGTTCTCCATCGTAAACTTTCAAACGGAGCATCTGCTTGGCGCCCTTGGCTGTACACCAGCGGCTCCCACCACTTTTAATACCTTTTGCCTCTTCTCATAGGACGTGTTGTGTTTCGTCGTTCCTCTGGCTTGTCAAATTGTGAATGTGAGTGAAGATAGTTCGACCAATCATCAATAGGTGCTGACGGGAGACTGGTGTAAATATCAGCCCAGCAGCAGCCAGCCAGCACCAGGCAGTGGTGATCAGCGTTAAAAAACTACTCGGTCAGTTACAGTTACAAACGGAGACGGCGATCGCCCAGTAGGATGATAAATCAAGGATAGAAATCGGCATTCGGTGGAAAATGGCATCCGGCTCGGGCTCCGGGAGGCCCGGAGCGGCCGATTCGAGCCACTCGGTCGACAGATTGGTCCGAGTCGGCTACTATGAGCTGGAGAAGACCATCGGCAAGGGCAATTTCGCCGTGGTGAAACTCGCCACTCATGTGGTCACCAACACCAAAGTACGTATGAGATAGGACACCCAATTATTGTCGTCGGGCCAAGTCCAGAATTCTTTCAGGGTCCCGTTTCATCTCGGTCAGGCGCTCGCGGATCGAAAGCCTTGAAATTTTGACCGTTCATTAATTGTCAGTTCGGCAAGGTTAACTGCCTCCCAGGAACTGTGCGATTCAGGGCCGAGTCTTTTCGCAGCTCATTGGACCTAATTTATATTTTTATTTTTCATCGAGACGCGCGCTCTCGTCGCGTCGTCTCTAACACAGCAGATTAATTTATTTGTGCACAGCTGGTGTCACCCACCAATTTATTTATTGCGGGACTGTGAATTGCGGCTGTATCTGATTTTCTCTCGACTAATCCGCTCTGTGTATTTGCTTTTCTCGTCAGAATAAAATTATTCGAAAGATAAAGTACATAATGTATTGGAGAGAGTTTTCTGTGTAACAATTTACATTACAACCAGAGAAATTAATTTTGATCCAATCGTTTTTAAGGATATTATATTGTTTAGTTATGTAACGTAAACGCTGGCAAATTTTCTTCGTGCTGAACAAAAATCAAATATTTGCCCAAGCATTTGATAAAAACAACACTGGCTTCTTGTGAAACCCCCTGTGCTGTAAACGAATGTTTTGTGCGTCTCAAAACTGACTGATAACGCGCGCGTTGGAAATATGCCTCAAAAGTATTAGGTGCCGAGCCTCACACTGCTGGTTCTTCAAGATTCCCTGAAGTTTGTTTTTCTCGGGTCTAATGCATTTGCCTTTGTCCGCAGGTTGCCATCAAAATAATTGACAAGACCAAGTTGGACGAGGAGAATCTGAAGAAAATATTCAGAGAAATCCAAATTATGAGCAAACTTCGACACCCTCACATCATACGCTTGTACCAAGTGATGGAAACTGAGAAAATGATATACCTGGTGACCGAGTTTGCAAGTGGAGGCGAAATTTTTGGTATATTTAAAAAAGAAAAAATTTAAATTTTAAATCCAATTTTAATTTCAGACTTTTTGGTAAATCATGGAAAAATGGCTGAACCTGAAGCTAGAAGAATTTTCCACCAAATTGTAGCTGCTGTTCACTATTTGCACGAGAACCACGTTGTGCACCGAGATTTGAAGGCAGAAAATCTTCTGCTGGACTTGAGAAATGATATCAAACTAGCTGGTAATTTCTTTTGTCGTTAAAATATGACCAATGCAAACAAGTGATGTTGTGGTTTTTCTTTAGACTTTGGCTTCAGTAACCACTTCCATCCAGGCCAGATGCTCACTACCTGGTGTGGAAGTCCACCATATGCAGCACCAGAGCTCTTTGAAGGCAAGCAGTATGATGGGCCAAAAGCTGATATTTGGGTTTGTTTACTTAATTACATAAATAAATACACAACATAAAAAATTTTATTACTTACAGAGTTTGGGAGTTGTTTTGTATGTTCTGGTTTGTGGGGCACTTCCTTTTGATGGCGATACTCTACAAAACCTCAAGGCCAGAGTCATCGACGGAAAAGTTCGAATACCCTATTTCATGTCTAGTGGTAACTACCAAGTCCAAAAGTGGCGTTTTTCCATTTTTCAACTTTTCTGATTGGCAGATTGCGAGCTTCTTGTTCTAAATATGTTGTCTGTGGACCCTGAAAGAAGACTGAGCCTCCCTCAGATTTTAGAACACAAATGGATGATCCAGGTTGGAAGAGATTAGTTTTATTTTTTTTTTTTTTATATAATTTTTTCCAGGGAATTCATGATCCGTGGAGAGATAGACTTTTACTCACTTCAGAATGGGCCTGGCAAATGGCTGTAGTTGATAGCCAGGATCCACTGAATTCTCTAGTTGTCGAACACATGCTCCAACTTCCAGGACTCACCTCAGACCTAATTATTCAGGTTATTTAAATAAAACTCTTATTTGCTAAGCTCCAAAAATTTGTTCGAAGGATAGACTTCTATAATTTTTTGCTGCACAAATCTATAAAATTTTTTGTTGATCTCAATTGCAGAGTGTGAAGCAAAAGAATTTTGATCATATTAGTGCCATATACCATTTGCTGGTTGATAAGCTTGAGAAGCAGCAACGCCATCACCTGATGCACCAACAAACATCCTTGTCTTCAATTTCAACTCCAGTGGCACCACAGCCGCAACGCAAAGCCAGTATTACTACAGGTTTGGGACATTTGATTTTACTGTTATTTTTTTTATTGATTAATTTTTCAGGAGTTGTCGATCGAAGTCCTGCAAGCGAGGATGATAGTTCTGGAGGATCTCCCTTGGTTTCAATGCCCCATATTCCTACATCATTACTACTTAACGATTCTCAACTCTTAGAAAAAGTCTGTTGATAAGAAATGCAAATTTAGCACTTACTAATTGTTGTGCAGTTCACAGATATTGCCGAGGTTGACCCAGCAACTGCTGCCAATATTCAAACACAAAGTGCCAACCAAGGCGACAAATACCTGGCAGTACGAAGGCACACTGTTGGACCTGGTGATACTGTGCATGAGCATGTGAGTACTGATTGAGAACAATAAATATTTTTAATATGATTTAAATTGTTTGCTATTCAATGATCTCTATATTGTTCTCTTCAAATGCTTATCGATCAAAAGTTTTGAGTCAAAAAATTATGTCGTAAATTAAAATTAACTTTTGCCTTCTTTATTGATTTTTCAGGTGCTTGAGGCACATCTGAAGTTAGGGGCTATTGACAACATATGCGCACCAACGCTTAGTATGCTACCAAACACAAATTTGCCACAAAACCTTCCCTTGGTGCAAAATCAACCACCACAAAACTTCAGCATTAAAGATCAACATTTACTGAAACCTCCATCTGTCATGGGCGCTTGTACGTATTTAAAAAAAAATCACCTTTCTGGAGATCTAATTCATTATTTATCAGTTGGAAACTTTGGTCGCAGAGCATCTGACGGCGGAGCCAATTTGCAAATTTTCTTCCAGCGTCAAGTTGAAGGAGCGTGGAGTCAGCCAGGAAGCCAAGAACAATTGCCACATGTAAAATGCACCTTAAAATATTTACTGCTCTCACATTGAACTGTCCCTGCAGCCCCTGCAACCAGGAAGTCCAACTGTGTCACAGAGGTCACAACCCTTACCATCCCACAATGGAGCTCAAGTTGAGCCAAGTGATTTATCAGCACCTATTGGATCAGGAGAAGATTCTCCAGATATGTATGCTGTTGCTCGGTAATTTGTTATTTTCCTAATTTAGGATAATTAAATATGACTTATTTACCATTTAAAGATACCTGCAAGTTCGAGGCAATTCCAAGAGGCACACAGTCAACATTCCATTAGATGAAGATGCACAAGAGTCTCAACGCAAAAGTCGAGTGAGACGCACTGGACTTTCGACTGTGGCCGAGAGGCCACCAGGTAAAAACTTGATGTTAACACACTACTTAGAATCGACCCTATGTAAATCTGCATGTTCCTATTGTTAGCATAGAAAAGTATATTTGCACTTTTTGTTCAACTCTTCCTCCCTTAATGTTTTGATATTTTATTATTATACATTGATTTTATTATTTCATTTTTATTTATTTTGCTTGATTGCATGTTTGTTACGCTTTTGTTTTGCATCGACCCACCAGAGATAAGTAGAGAAGTCATTATGGAAGTCGAGGCACGCATGAAAAGGCAGTACACTGTGCCAAACACAATGCTGCCTCCACAAATCCCAGCAACCAGAGTTAAGTCTTACCCAAGGACAAAGTGGAGTGGCCTAGCAACAGTCCAAGAAACCAACCGTACGTTAATTTACCTATTGCCATGTATGAACCCTGCTAGTAGAACACATTTTTCTCATTGAACATTTCTTGTCTTGTACAAAAACTGTGGCTTATGAGAGCATCTCTCATCAATAAATTTTATTAGGCCGAGACAGTTTTAAAGAAGTCAACACACTTCACCTTCCCTTAGAACGCTACAGCCCTGTTCGAAGAGCCAGTGAAGGTTGCACCTCCTCCTTGCAGTACCACCGAGCTACCTCAAGTCCTGGTACCTCGTGCAGCCCCCAGCCATGCTTAGACGCAAGTGTCAAAGCTTTGCAGCTAGAATGCTATCAGCTGCAAGTAAGAATTGGAATTTTGATTGAACTATTTTAATTTTACTAACGATAATCTTATCCACAGAAAAATAGTGGTTTGGCAGATTCACAGAGCCATGCTGAACAGCAAATGCTCCACTTGAAGCACATAGCAGACAAAATGGCCTTGAGTTCACCACCTTCGCTGTCTCCGTCTTCTCCGTCCCCCGGTGCATCTGTTCCCACTTCGCCTTCTCACCACGCTTACAGCCAGTCCTCTGACAATAACGCTTACATCACTCAAACTCTACAACGCCTCCAGCTCCAGCAGCAACAGCAGCCAAGAGGAGCCTCTCCAGGTATTATAAAATTGTATTCATAAAATTCATGAATTCCACAAATTCATATCCCCAGAAAAATTTTATAGAATTTCCTCTCAATTTCAATCCAAACTCTCACTATCACTACTTTTATCATAAAATCTTTCAATAAAATTATAAGAGTTTGAAGAAGTAAATATCTCTTGGTAGGTCTTCCGGAGGACCCTTCAGTTGCGATTTTGTCTCCTCGAATAGCTGCACTCTGTTCAAGCCCCCAACACCATCGAAGCTCCCCACCACCACCTGGCCTTAGTTGCATAAATGAAGATGTGATGGAACATTCTCCTTCCATGTTTCCAGGATCTAGACCTCTCAACAAAATCCTCTGCAACCCTCAAATTTCAATCACTGACGAACTGGGCGAAACGATCCCAGGGAGTGACACCAGCACGCCCGAAGCTGTCGGTTATACTGAATTCTCAACCATCCTTCCATCGGTACTCAGCTCGTGCGACCCACATCGTCCTTCGATCACCCGAGGAATCGGGAAAGTGCAACAGCCGCAGCTGAGCAATAGTGACAGTTCCAACAACAACTCCAACGTTTTCAACAACATGCACCACAAAAATCACCAGGACGCTCGTTACAGACAGGAGGCTTTTGCCAAGACTGACTCCCTGAGACACAGTTTTCCACCTCCAAATTCGCCTGCCCAGTTGTACCACACAGGAAGTGATGACCTGAACACCTTTAGCCACACTTCGCCTATAGATCACCCCATGGTCGAGTTGCAGAAAACCTCTTCGGGGTCTTTCGAGGTGACACTTTCGGAGATTTGGTCGCAAGCCTGCGTGAATGACATTTTAAAAGGTATTCGGGATCAGTTGGTGGCCAGGGGTTCAGTGGTGGGCGAAACCCCGGATAGAAGTGGCCTCGCACTTCAAGGGCCTGGGGGTGTGCAGGTTGAACTCACTGTGTCTGGTGAGGCAGACTCAAGAGGGCTCCGAGTGCGTAGAATTTCTGGTGATCAACTCCAGTACAACCAATTATGCCATGAACTTTTTGCCTGCATCAGGGTTTGAACTTTCAAGTGAGCACTGCTGTATTATTAGTTGTCACTTTCTTTGTTTCACTGTGGAAGTTGTAATCTGGCTGTTTCAAGACATTCCAGCAAATTTAAAGCGTAAAATTGCTTCTGTTTTAAGGAAATTTAAATTTTGACTAAATTTCAGAGTGTAAGGGCATTAATGATAATGTGCCGTTGCTGATATATCATTTGATGTTTATTTTTCTCAATGTTAGTGCGATTATTCTGTGAATGGTGATAACACACTAGTGATTCTTACTCATTCCAACAACTGTCGCTGGAAAATCCAGTTTATTTTTGTTGCTTTATAGGATCAGAAAATCATAATTTGTGCATTGCACCTGAAGTCAATGCATTTAATTTGCAGGCATTTTGCAGATACAGCAAAGTAGATGCCTAGCTTTAATAAATAAGTAATGGGAAAAAGAGTACCTAGAGTTGATGGTAAAATTATTATTTCTAACTAAGTGAATTACTATGCTTATTTTTGAGATTTTATAAATGGACCCGTAATATGTATGCAGAGGAAAATCAAGTTCACGAGCACTAGTCATAATCATATAGGCTCGCTTAGAATTTGCAATTATTCTTTCTATCCACATCCACAAATGCGCGTGAAATGTTTTTCTATTAAGTGTTTTTCAAAGTTTGATGATAAAAACGATTTCATATACTGACTGGGTTTGCCTCTAATACATTCCAAAATTTGTATTAAAATGCAAAAATGAGAATTTTGAAAAGGTTGTGTGGTTTTTCTTTGAGATCAGCTCTAATCAAAAAATAAAATTATATTTTATATTTTGAAGCTTCGTTGCAGGGAATGTTAAATATTGTCGTATGACATAAGAGTGTCTCTTATGTGAGAATGCAGAAATGTACTTCTGGCTACATTTTGTAAAATTTTATGCACAATTCCAAATATATTTTTAACTTGAATCACTAATAAATGAACATGTTTTTCTAACATAAGTTTACTTGACAAATTTGGGGGCGATTTCCCTAGCTTATGAAATATTCGAGATATCCTTCTACTGAGAACAACATAATTTTTATCTGGCTTTTGGCATATGTCCTGCAAGAACTCTTCATTCAGGCCAATACTGATCATCGTCTTTTACGTACGGTGTCTTAGTTTTTGATAAACTCTTCCTTTGTTAGTACAACATTGCGTCCCAGATTCACTTTGCAATATCAGGACTTTGATTGAGATGAAAATCGCCGAGCAAGCAAATTTATAGACCAACTCCAATACAACGGGCTCTCCTGCGTGGTCGGATCCACTTTCCTTTTGCTTGAATATAATTTTTTTTTTTTTTCACTTTTGAGCTACACAGTTAAATTAAATTCGTTCAGAATATACCATCACTTTGATGTGGGAAAAATCATTCTTGTAACTCTGATTCAAAGAATGTTTTGATGGATTCCTCAACATTTGTTCACCGCTATAGAGAAATAAGCTTCCCTCGATAAATAATTTTTTTTTAAATTTTTTGTACAAAATTAATAAAAAATAGGTAAATGATTTAAAACATTAAATTGAGGTTATTAAGAAAATATTATTGTCTTCATGGAAAAAATTATTAGTCAATTTACTTTTAATGTGTACATAAAAAAATAATGACACTTTCAATATTTATGTATAATTATGTTCTGCAATAATAATGTTGAATTTGGAAATACAAATCTCACATCTCACAGCAAAAATTAAAAAAATAATAATAATGCAAGAAAATAACCGCCACTTAATGATATTAATTATTATCTGCTTTTAATTCCAATTCGCAGTTGTTGTTATGCCAATTTTTTAAATTTTTCAAAACAAAATTTGACTGAAAAAAAATGTAAACGAGAGACAATTAGAGGATTTTCGTTTACACCACACGTCTCCTATCCCCTGCTTTCCCCCAGCAATCTCTCTCGCTATTATTGGCGCGCGCCACTCAAGGCACCACTTGTTCAAAATTTACGCATGCGGATTGCACATTTGCACGATCAGCAGTGAAGAAGTAAACAAGTGGGAGCCGTCGGGTCGCTGCGTCGTGTCCAAATTCATGGTACCCACTTTTTGACTCCACAGGATCGTACACGTACTTAATTTTTCCTCGCGGGTCGTCCGCCGTTTCTCCTCTCACTTTTGTGATATAATTTTTACCGTACCAAAGATGAATCCAAATGCAGAAATCTGCACCGTCCGGTGGTCGGACAGAGAGGTGGTCGAGCTGCTCAACATTTGGGGCGACCGGAACGTGCAGAACCACCTGAAGAGAACCTTCCGAAACCACAACATCTTTGAGGACATTGCGGAGGCGCTCAAGGAAAAGGGCATTCGCAAAACGGCCGAGCAGTGTCGACTCAAAATTAAAAAGTTCAAGAGTAAGTACCGTTCGCTAAAAGAACAGTACGAAAATTGTCCAAAGAGTTTCGCACGGAAAGCCTGGCAGTATTACTCGCTCATGGACACCATCATGGGTGAACAGTCATCGCCAGCAAACATCAATGACAATCATAGTGAAATCCTCAGAGGTGAGAAAACACTTATAAATAATAAAATATTTTCATTCCTTTTTTTATATAAACACATACAATTTGAATTTCATATTTTTTTTTAGTTAAATAATATATAATGAATGTCTTTATGAATTTGAGATATTTTGATGAGCCCCAGTAAAATATTTTTGAATATTTAATTATTATTCATTTTCTAAATTAATCTTTTTTAAAATTTTATCAAATTGATATATTATATTTCCAAAAACTTATTTGAAGCCTTGCTATAAAGACAAATTTTTCTTTTTGTTTTAAATTTTAATGTTTTTCAGCTAGTCTTCTAAAACGACCTAATCAGCGACTGGAAGCAGATAACGAGCACTTTCTTTCCGGCCTCCTTTCCAGTAAGTAAAAGCCGCAAATCTCATCATGTTTTTATTTTTCTGATGAAAACCTTATTTCACGAAAATTGAGAATTTATTTCTTGCTTGTTGCTGCGCTCTACACTTCAAATATAATTTTATTCAAATAATATTTTTTTAGCTTATCTCACGTATTTCAAATTTTTAACAAATTAAATTAATAATAAAATCTAATATTACCAATTTTAATTATAACTGTTAAAAAGCAAATTATTTTAATCCGAAAAACTTTCCGTAGAATTAACAAATAAAATTGAAAATTTAATATTTGAATAGTAAATTTTCAAATTTCAACTGACGCATTATTAAAAAAAGAAATCCAAATTCTCTAATTCTCTTAATGAAATGTAACAATTCATTTTAATTTTGAATTTCGACGTAATTTTTCTGCGCACTATATTAAATTTTAAACTTTCACTGTCATACTTTGTTTTCATCTTCAACTTAAATATTTAAATCATGTGAAATGTCTTTTACATAAACAATTAAATTTAAATTGAGTTCTTATTACATAATGTTTGGTTGCAAACCATATTTTGCCATATTTCATATTAAGAAATATTTATTATTATTAAAAAAATATTTCTATAAAATTAAATGATAATCATCTCTAACGTGACGCCTATAAATATTCATTAAATTGAAGCTTTTGCACTTCGCACTTTCCAATTTTTATTTAAAAAATATATTTCTGGAGAAAAATTAAAATAATTAAATTTTTTTTCTTTCGTCATACTATTATATCAGTTACAATATTTTTATTCTGAAATTATATGAATTAATTATTGGTTTTTTTAATTTCGGAATACATAATATTTCTCTGTTATATAATATTTCGTATTATGGAAAAATTAGTGAATAACAAAATTGATTTTTTTTTCTGTTTTTATTAAACGTAATAAATTAAAATCTTAAAATTAATTATATTTTTTCCACTAAAAAGAGGACATGAAATTTATTTAATTCTCATAAATATGTCGCTGATGAAAAAGTGCATTTTTTTCGCATTTTTTTGGCACAGGGCTGTGCGTGTGTGTCAGGCGGTGGAGGGAGGAAAAATGAAATAAATAAGAGGGACCGCGTGCTGGCTGGTTTTTGTGGTGGCAGCGAGAGCAGATCGGGCGGTGGTGGGGGGCGCGAGCGAGTTGAGAGCCGGTATTCGGCGAGAAGGCGGGCCGATGGTCGCCATGTCGGCACTCGGCAGTTTTCGCCGTTCGACTTCGGGTCGATACACCGCGTTGCCGAGCGAGCGACTTGCCGAGAGCGCAGTGTGTCGAAGAAAATGTCGGCCGTCAAGGAGGAAGCGTTCGATTCGTTCGAGCAGTTCGAAGGGCCCGACCAGGAATTCGCAGAGTACGATGCGTCCGACCCGCTCAGCCACGGCCTCTTCGTCCAGAGTGCCCGCGGAGTGATCCGGCTGGTTGACTCGCTCGGCTACATCTACCACAAGGACAGACACTGTCCGGACAACAACAAGACCTACTGGCGGTGCCAGCGGCGCAACCTCAATTGCAAGTGCCGCGCCGTCACCCTCGCCAACTACATAGTCGGCATCAACGGCCTCCACTACCACGGATGTGAGTCTATCCCGTCCCTGACCGTCCGACCCTCGCACACACGTGCCCCTTGCCCGCATTTTTATTCCGTTTGTTTTCGTGCTTCGTACGTAAATTGTCGCGCCGCGGACGCCGCACCACGTCGGACGCGCGCATGTGCCGAAAGTTGATATTATTTTTTCGCATGCCGCTTTATGGTCCGCGACGACCCACAATTCCCAACACCCGTTTGTGTTTTTGTCCGGACGGACGCGTTATTTTGTTAAACGGGAATCGAGCGAATTTTGAGGGGATCAGAAAATAATGTGTTCAGTTGAAAGTAGGTCAAATTCGAGCACATGCCCAATTTTGTGTTTTCGTGGGAATTTTTTAAATTTTTTTTTCTGTCGCAAGAGCTCTTTTAAGATTAAAAATTTGGTTTTGATTTTTTGCATCTTTGGAACCAGTTTTGAAACAAAAATAATTGACCTCTGAATAATCAATCGACAATTTTATTACATTATTAGATCCAAACTACAAAATTAAAATAACACCAAGTATCAACCTTAAGGTTTTAAAAATTAATCCAACCATTGCTTGTAAATCTAAGCATAATCATGAAGATAACAAATAGATCCTTCAGGTCAATGAAAGACTGTAAATTTTAATTTTTTGCAATGATCAAGTGCAGTAAAAAATTGAGTTGATTCGGATTTCTCTTATTTTGCAAAAATTATTGCTTCATCGCTTTTTAAACGTTATGCTTGCCACTTTTGTATTTTAATTTAACACTTTTTTTTTAAATCTAATATGATTTTTCCCGTGACTGTGGAGAAGAAAAATATTTGCTTTTAATATTGCGCTGCAAATTAAGGTTTTAAATCACAATAGGGGATATTTTTATTAATTCATCTGAAAATTATTTATTTTAAACCTTGACATGTGCTTAAGGAGAGAGAATTTGGTGAAGAAGTTATTATGGCAAAAGGTTGAAGGCAGGAAATGCCGGAAATGGCTTTGTGGAAAGGAATGCAGCTGAATTCATGAAATCGCTCCATGCCTTGCCTACTCCAAGCAAACTTATTTCCTCAAAATTTTATTTGATTTGCTGCCACTTGGATTAAGCGGGATTAAGTAAAAAAGATAAGAAATTGAAATTTTCCAAATTTTTGTTAGTGTGCTTACGATTTTCAGTTTTAATTATTGCAGAGTAGATTGTGTCTTGTGAAATTTAAATTTATAGATTTTCATTAATTAATTATAAAGTTGAACCTTTATTAGTTTTTTTTTTTAATTTACTTTATATACTATTGAGTCATTTTAACGAGGCAATAATTCAGGGCCTATAATTTAATTTTTTTTTCTTCTTATTTCTTCCCAAAAATATCACTGCATGCTTTTAGCTTTCTCTTTCTTTCTTCCTCTTTCCAAGGCCAAATCTTTTGTGGTGGTTGTCAATTCTATCCTATAAGATTTCTCCCCCTTGGATTTCGCCCCATGTGGAAGACAGGTATGCCTTTGCCGCTGCATGCCAACGCCAGCTATGCGTTTGTTTGGCAAACTGATGGGCTGCTGCTTTGCCAAACAAAACATCCGAAGCGCACACGTTGCTCGTTTGGCAAAGGCCAGCCTTGTTCTCTCTCGCTGGCCAAAAACAGTCTCTCTTTCTCTCTTGCCGTGGCCTTATTTCAAACTGAAAAGTGCAAAATGGAGTTTTCGCCGACCAAGCACGGCGGCGTCAAACTGAGCTTCAAGGGCTACGAGTATTCCGTGCACAGCGCCAACGCCAACCACATCCGTTGGCGCTGCGTGGTGCGCGGGGTCGCGATTCCATGTCGCGCGCACCTGCGAACCGACCCAGACAGGCAAAGGGTCATCTACGAGCCCAACACTGGGCAAAACTCTCACAACCACCCGCCCTATCAATCCCGGCCAAGTATGCAATTCACTATTTTTAGAAATGTAAATTCTAGCCCCTTTCTTATTTAAAAACAGAATTCGTAAAACAGAATTGTATTAATTGCTTTTGGGATTACAACATAAACTTGCTTTTTATGATTAAAATCAGTTAAAATTTAATTTAATTTTAGTGACCGTTTCTTTCAATGAACTTCCATCGTCCTAAAACATCATTCTTTTTCACTCTTTTTTCTTGCATTGTTCTACAGTGATATTTTTCATTTAAAATTTTCCAATTGCTTATTAAATTATCTTATTAGCGATTTTTTGAAAAAAAATGTGCTTCAGAAATTTTAATATATATAAAAAAAAAAAACAAGTTTTGATGCTTCTAAAAAATTTATTATTTCTGGTGGATTATATGTGATGCTTTAATTTAAAGCTTCTCTCATCATTGTTTTTTTCGTCAGTTTTTTGTTTAAGTTAAAGAAAATATTTATAAATCTACAAAAGACCACATTAAGGAAAATAAACTTAAAATGATTAATTGTGAAAGTCTCTCACTTTTTATCCATGATAAGCGTGCCCAGTTGATAACTAAAAAATATAAAATGATGTTAATATCGAATTTAAATGTCGTGAAATTTTAAAAATTTAAACAAACGATCGTCTTAACATTAGCATAACGCGTTTCGAAAAAGGGTTTATTTATAATTCGCGTAATTTTTTCTGCGTAAATCGCGGGCAGCTGGCTGCCACTTGTTTTGCGATTGACGCCGGCCAGCCGACCGGAACACGCCCGTCCGGTTTAACCGACACAAACCGAGCTGGATTCGTTTCTTTTCGGTTGCGCTTGGCTGGCCCAACTCGCGTCGGATCGCGGTTTGATAGAGACGCGCTGACGTGCCGATTGTGCGGATTGTGCGAATTTCGATAGGACGAGGATGGACAACGAGAGCAAGATGTACGTGAAGCGGATGCTGTTGAGCGGGGATGCGGTGGTCACACAGTTCAAGGGCGGGGGCGGCATGGTCAGCAAGGTGTGGAATAAGTTCGGGCGGATTGCGATGCGCGACTCGGGCGACCTGGTGCTAGGCGTGGTGGCCTGCAGCCTCTGCTTCAAGGTTTACTCGTACAAAGACAGCTCGCAGGGTACCAGCACCCTCCGGCTCCACGTTTGCGACAACGAGGAGTCGCAGGTCAAGCGGACCAAAAGCAAAACAACATCCTCAATAGGTACTTTTATCGCATTCAACCGTAGCCGGAAAAGCGGCCATTTATATTTTTATCGAAGCCAGTCAGTTTTTATCAGTAGAATATTCGTTGCCGGTTACAATTTTATTTTAATCAAATTAATTGTTCTGTTCTATTTTAAGAGAGGTCTAAACTTATCATACATAATTGATTTTGTTTAATTTTTTAATTCTAGCTTTAAATTTAATTTTTCATTTTCTTATTCAGCCGAGTTGTTGTATTTTTCTATATTTTCCTATTTTTTATGTTGCGTAATTATTTTTAAAATTTCTTTTGAATTCATTAAAATCCTGGAATTAATTAATTGGCCGTCAATATCAGGTTTTGCTCCGCGGTTTCGTGTTCTTGATCGCGTGTTTTTGTGTGAGACGCAAGGTTTTCCGCAATGCCACCAACTTGACAGACTCCTTTTCCACTCCGATTCCCCCAACACATTCCGATCAATAGTCCCCGAGCGTTTTTGTGCCGCACACATATGAGTCGGGCCTATTTTGCCTTAGGTGCTGTTGTGATTAGCGCGGGGCATAGACCTTTTTTGCGTATTCGTGCGTGATTCGGTTGGGAAACCTGTTGGCGAACGTGCCAAACATCAGCTGCACATTTTTCGCTCGATCGAAAGGAGACCAGTGCGCGTCGCAACCGAGTTAGACTTGTTTATGTCCGAGCATGTCTCAGCGATTCGTGCAGCCGAAAAAGTCGCGGATGGGCCGTGTCCGCCGCAACTACACACGCCAGGACATGGAGGAGGCTGTCCGGGCCGTGCAGGAGAAACGCATGAACCTGAACTCGGCGGCCAACTACTTTTGCATCCCCAAGTCCACCCTCCATTATGTGGTCACCGGGAAGACCAAAATCGACTTCAACCGGCCGCAGTTTGTCATGTCGAAGGCCCAGGAGAATGAGTTGGTGCGCGTACTCGCGAGCATGGCCTATGAAGGGGTTATTTTAAACTTCAATAATATCGAGGAGGTCGTGGAAAGGCGGCTTTCGGGCAATAAGAACCCCTTTGCCCACGGCAGACCAGGCAGGTCGTGGTGGAACGATTTTCGCAACAGACACCCCGAAATTGAATTCGTGTTCCACGCTTTCGGTAGGAAAATTAAAGAATTATAATTGGTCTGAAATTTTTGAATGAAATTCATTAATTCAAATTTTTTAGTTAAAAATTTACACCAAATTTAAACTGGGGATTCATTTCACATTATTATATAGGTTTAACTGATCTCATATCAAATCATTATTTTGAATGAATTTTCTATTTATCTTCTGTTTTAATTTATGAATTGAAATTTGTTTCAGCTCCTAAAGATACTCCAGGCGCCTCGGAGGCATCATGGCCAGCGGTGAACAGCGCCCAGGTGGTGCAGCGACTCAAGTCGGGCGACCTCTTAAGTGCTCCCCAGTCAATGACCTCACGGGATACCAAACCCATCCTGCCAAAACCCTCAACTTCGGCAATGACCCCTCCGTACCTGGATTCGCCACAGCAAACCCAGCAGCAGCAGCCAAGACCTCAACAGCCGAAGACACCCAAGGCTGCTCCAAAACCAAAAGCGACTGTGTCTCAACAGCCGATTGTGGAAAATGATGACTCAGAGCCGCAGCAAGTGTGTCTGCGCTGGAACTCATTCCACTCCAACATGGAGACCATGTTCCCCACCCTTTTGTATAAGGAAAAGTTTGTCGATGTCACACTTGCCTGCGAAGGTCGCATCATCAAGTGCCACAAGGTAAATAATAGCTTTTGATTTAAAATAAATAAAAAATTATAAAAAAGTTGCTTATTAATTTCATTTTTGCCCTCAGGTGGTGCTGTCCTCGTGTAGTCCCTATCTAGAACGCCTTCTGAGCGACAATCCATGCAAACACCCTATCATCCTGATGCCAAAAGATGTTCCTTACTGGGCTCTCCGAGCCATTGTTGACTTCATGTACAGAGGCGAGGTCAACGTTGAGCACGAGCAGTTAGCTCCACTCTTGGCTGCGGCTGAATCGTTGCAAATCAAAGGTTTGGCTGGATCTCCTGGTGGTACGGGTGGGAAGAAGGATGGAAGGTAGGTTATCCTTAGTATTTTAAATTAACAATTTTTTAATATTATTAAATATCCTAGACCTGCTGTCAAAAGAAAGAAGTCAGATTTGCCTGCCCAAGCTGTCCAGCAAAAGTTCATTCCTCAGCAAAGCCAAGCACCCTCTCAGCCTCAACAATCTACCTCAAGTCAACCAACAACAACCGCTCAGTCAACGAAGAACAAAGAAGATAAAGAATCTCCTGCTCACAAACATCCTCGAATGGACCCTAACATTGCCGAGAGTCTGCGTGGTTTATCACCAGGCATAGAAATTACACCGCTCGTGTCTTTTGAGGTAATCCGAATGGTCTTAAATTTGTGATCAGAAATTAAAATATTATTATCAGGATATCAAATCAGAACCTATGGATAGCAATGATGAAGACGGATCTCTGGAACCAACTGAGGACTATGGAATTGGAAAGGTGAAATGTTTTTTTTTTTTTTTTTTACAAGCTATAATTCTTAACTAAAATACTGATTTATTAGGGCTATGACGATGGAGAAGAATCTTTACCAGTCAGTCATGTGGAAAGTCTCATGGAAGAAGAAGACCTTGGCGATGAAAGCGACACTTTGAATGACCATTCCCAAATACCTGACCCAAATGACCTTCTATCGACTGAAATGGAACCGATTGATGGTAGCTTATTAAATTTACAACTTAATTTTAATTTTTCTAATTTTTTTCACTTATAGAAGACGACTCTGTTAATGTTTATAGTGAAAATGGAATGGACTTCCCTGACTGTGGTCTCTCAGAAGAAGGAACTGATCTTGTGGAATCTTATCCTGAAGTATGCATGCCCAGTGATCCTGGGGAACATGACGGAAGTTAATTTTTCCGTTTATTCACAATCAATGCCATGAACAACACCAGTGCGTCATGAGTTTCGTAATAGAGCAATGATTTTTATTTTCCATTGTGTATATTTCCAAAATATTTTGCAATAAATTTAATTGCTAATAAATTAATGTTTAATTTATCAACTAAAATTGGGCAGCAATAAAATAACAACTTAATTTTCATGTTTACACATTATAATAAAATTACTTTATTTACATTAAATTGCTTGTGTCACAACCTGTGTTAACAAAAAATACAAATCGGGGTAAAATAAATATTTTATTTGTAATAAAAGATAATAGTATTGGCACAATTTGACATCAACTTATTTAATCAGGGTCAACAGACTAATGATGTGATTCTCAATCACAGCTTGGGCTTGCGAACTACTTCTGTTAATTGCAATTCCAAGGGCAGTGTCATTGTTAATGTTTTTCAAAGTAATATCAGCACCTCGAAGAAGCAACTCGTTAACACAGTGCGGATGATCGCTGTGTGCCGAGTACATCAGAGCCGTATTGGAATTCTCATCAATTTCGTCCACTTTAGCTCCTTCGGACAGCAGCACCTTGAGGGTGTCATGATGGCCGCCTGACGCTGCCAAATGGAGGGCAGTTTCTCCTTCTTTGCCCTGCTTGTTAATAGAGGCACCTTTCTGCAAAAGCAGTTGAACGGTGGGCAACTGTCCGTAAGAAGATGCCCAGTGAAGAGGCGTCAATCCAAAGGCATCCTCCTCGTCAACATCGATTTCTTCCACGAAGTCATCCTCCGTCAGTTCTCCCTGGCCAGCCCTGTGGTGGATTGAGACGTCGACGGGCTCAAGGACAGGAGTCAACGTCTGGGTGTTGCCTCGTTGAAGATTGGTTAAAATGGTGGTTTGCTGCCTGTAAGGTTGGAAAGCGCTCTTCCTGTTTCCATCGTGCCATAGGGAACCGGACCATGTTGGCAAGCGAGTTTTCGAAGATCGTCCTTCTTCATCTCCAGATTTTCCTTCGCCTGCAAGACTTTCACAGCCAGATGTTTGGCTTTCCCTGCCACCCTTCGAGTCTGCGGAGGAATCGTCGTCCATCCTATCCTATCGGATGATCATTAAACCACCCAAGGTTGTCCTAAATTTCCATAAGATTAGATGAAAATAGCGATTATGTGTAATATATTTTTTACCAGATGATACAGTTATTTGGGTACCCAAGTTATTTTCCAATTTTTTCTTTAGAATTTAGATTTTTGTTTTGTATTTTGCTTTCCGTCAATTCAGTCTGGCTGTTGCTTAGTCGTTGCTAGGGAAATTGTAAGGGAGATTATCGTATTATGTCACGAGATGACTGTTGAACCAATAGGAAGTTCAAATTACTACAGTAAGAGTCCCTAATACGCTACTCCTTTTGATACTCCTCACTTTAATGGAGTAAAAATATAAACAAACCACGCCCACGTAGTACGTTTTCTGGGCTGTGTTGAACATAACACACCTCAAATTCATCAATTTATAATAATTTGTTTTGTATTAAGAAAGTCAGGGGACGTTGTTTAGGTTTTATTTGAGAAAGTATCAAAATGATCCATTTATTGCACCTAAATGACTTATTGTAAAACGAATCGAAGATGTTAACAAACGCAGAAAACAGTAATGTTGAGGAGCTTTTAATGTAGGTATACATACCACAGAATAACAGTTAGTCTGTGGTACATACATTCATACTTACATAGATTTAGAGATGGTTTTACATTTCATTGAAATTAGATAAGAATGGAAAAAGCAATGGATATTCACATTCATTTCACTTTTACATTCAGTATCAACAAAGATGAGCCTAGTTCAAATAACTGCGAGGCGGGAGCCAGGCTGACTTGGATCTCCAAGGCAGAGGATAATCATGATGAAGACGGTTGCGAGCTTCAGGACCAACAACAACAACTTTTGTGCATCACGTTCACATCTGAGGACGGACAGACACACCACACAGAAACTGCCGAGCCAATATTCATTGATGTATATCATTTAATGAATTTCTTTTTTTTTTCTAATATGTTATATTTTTAGTTTTCTGGGAATCAAAGTGCGGGTGGTAAAATAAATACACAGGATATTTTACCAAGAGTTAGCGATTTCATTGGTATGTAATACCACTGTGAATATAATAATAAACTACAACTCAATTAAATATTGTAAATATCTGTATTACAGGGAGTATTGACAACGTCAGCCTTGCCAGTTTATCAGAGGACATTAATTTTGAAACAAAACTCAAAGTTTTGGACGCTGTCTTGCCTGCACCTTCCAAAGACCGGGCCACAATTTTTAGAACCAATGACAGTATTTTCATCTGCAACATTTGCGAAACACAATTTCTCAGTGTCGAAGACTGCAAAACCCACTGCAAGGAGCATGTCAAAAGAAAAGCATGGTTTTGTGAATTGTGCAAGCTTCCTTTCAAAAGCCACAGTCTGTTAACAAAGCATAATAGAGAAGTATATAATTGAGGACCTGAAATTTAAATCAAGTAAAAAAACTCCTTTTTTATATAAATTTTAGTCTCATCATGAAAGCGAGATCTTCTCTTGTGAGAAATGTGAGCTCATATTTGATCGCCAAGCCCAACTCAAATACCACGAGCGGAGGGTTCATCTTCAGGAGAGGAGTCAAGTTTGCCAGTTTTGTGGGAAGGGATTTTTCAAGAGATGTGACCTGAAAATGCATCTTAACATTCACCTTGGCATCATGAAGAACATCTGCGAGATTTGTGGAAAGCAATTTCATAATAGGTCAAACTTAATTCGACATGCCCGACTTCATTCAGGTTTGGAAAAAATTTAATTACTAATCTAATAAATATGAACTGCGTGTTTATCTCTAGGAGTAAAACCATATGTTTGCTGCACTTGCGGAGTCAGGTTTAACCAAGTGAGCGCCTTGAAAAGCCACAAACTGCAGCGACACCCTGTTGGCAATAAAAAAGATGGTTTCCCTTGCCCCAGCTGTGGCAAAGTTATGACCACAGTTGCTGTGCTGAAGAAGCACTTTAAACTAGTACACAAAAGCAATCTTGATAGCGCTGTTTTCAAGGTGAGTGTTGTTTAAAATTACTCGGCACAAAAATTAATAAACATCTATTAGGATTCGGTTGGAATATCAAGTGATGGTAGAAGCTGCAGGAGAAAATATTATTGCAAAATATGTGGTCTGAATTTCAAAAACGTTCAGAAACTTCAGAGCCATGAAAACGAAAGCCATTCAAATGCAGAAGAATTTTTGTGCAAAAGTTGCAATCAGGCAAGCACAATTAAAATTGGTTATGAAAAGGCTGATTTTCTCTTGTTTTTTTTTTTTTTAATTTAGAAGTTTAATTCCATAGATGAAATTAAAAGTCACTGTTGTGTTAGTCCAATTGGAGATGACACTCGATTAATGCTGAAACAATTGCTTGACATGCAGGAAGACATGTCCGACGAGGAAGATTTCATCGTGAAACCTGACATTGTTGAGCCATCACATAATGTTATTCGTGTGCCTGCAAGCAGGATTTCCTCTCCTACACGCTTGCCAATACCTAACCCTGCCGCCAGTGATGTTCGAGAAATGGTCATCCATGTTCAAGCAGAGGGTCAGAGCGAGCTTATGGCTGTCCACGTCAAATACAACATGAATTACATTTTCTCTTTGGACGACAAGATTCTACCGGACGCCACTGAAGCTGTTCCAGAACCTATAGGGAAAATTTTAAGTGAAGTTTTTGAAGAGCCAGTAAATCCTGTGAACAGACCAAATCCTGAGGCACCTGCTGTGACGAAAAAGTTCAAATGTGAAGACTGCGGAAATACTTTTAACAAAATGCACAATTTCAAGCAGCATTTAGGTAGAATTGAAATTGGTGATATTTATTTATATATTTTGCACTTATTTATTTTCAGCTACACATAATATTGAATTGAAAAAATACACATGCTCTGTGTGCTGCCAAGCGTATGCCTGGAAGTCGTCTCTGAACAAACACATTCAGGCGCATCACACAGAAAAGACTGGAAATGTTCTGTGCAATTTGTGTCCAAAAAGCTTCAATACAAACCAAGCATTCAATGTATTATTTTTTCGCCTAACCAGAAGTTCAAATTTCAAATATTTTAAATCAATATTTGTAGGAACACGTCAGACGTGATCACATTGGCGAAAAATCTCACAAGTGCTCCGAGTGTGGCAAAGCATTTTTCAAGAAAAGTGATCTGATAGTTCATAAGCGGTATTTGATTTCAAAAATTGTTTTTTATTATTATAATTATTAAATTATTTGCAGAATTCATGCAAATGAGAAGCCATATATTTGCGGCAACTGCGGTAAAACGTTTTCCCACATCTCCCACATTATTCGTCATGAGCGCATTCACTCGGGAGTGAAACCATACACCTGTGATGTCTGTGGCAAAACTTTTGTCCAGTCTACAACCATGCATGTGCACAAGTAAATATTTTGTCATATTAGTAGTTTATATAAATAAAAAGTAAATTGTTTACTTCCAGGAAGAAAATGCACAGTTCTACGGCAAACCCTAAACAGCCCACTGAAAGCAAAGACGCTCTACAAAAAATTATGAGTTCTTCTGCTATCTCTGAGAGCGAGCAGATTCTAGAAAATTTGTTTGATAGCTTATAATCTGCTTGTAATCAAAAATTTTTAATAATAAAAGTAATGCAAGGAAGCATATATGTTCAATTAAAAGATTTTAGAGGATTTTAGAATTAGGACAACAATTCAATGATGCATAATTCACAATTTCTTTAAAGGAATAAATTTTTTAATTCTTAATGTGACTCAAATTTGTAATTAATTCAATTAATATCTTTCTTGAGTGGATTGAATAAATACTATTTTACTTCTCATTGCTTATTTGAACAAAGAGACAGAGTGAATTATTTTCAGGTTAGTCATAAATAATCAGATAATTGAATTCATGACAGAATTGAGAAACATCGCAAACGAAACACCAATTAAGTAAATTATTTGCAATTAATGCATTTTTCTCTGCTTTCGTAATCGGACGATCGAGTGTCTATTGAAAGCCTTGCACTTGCACACCATATTGCTTTATTTGTCGCGGAGTAAAAACTCAGTATTGTTAGGTTTTGATGAAATTAAACACCCGCAGTGGATGGAACAATGAGGTAATTCTTTAAAAATAAAAAAAGTCGAAAGTTCTTTCTGGTTTTTATATCTGACACGAGAGATTCTCAAAGTGGTGGCGCCCAGTTTCCCTTTTCCCTTTCTTCCCGTCTCGGCGCGGCCTCTGATTGGCTGCCAATGACGTAAAAAGGCAGCGCTCCGATTGGCTGCTGCCAGGTTGACCTAGACAAATGACGTACAAAATCAGGCACAGAAGATGTAAAAATATTGGAAAGATAGTCTTTTACCTGCGATACTACCTGACAGTGAATTTGGTTCGAAATTAACAGTGAGCATGTCTGCGAAGCACGACGAGTCCAGTCGCCAATCCGAGTGGGTCGTCAGCAGCAGGTTCAAAACAATGCAGGCAACACACCGAGCCTAAGCTGGAATAATCACCGAGGAGTGAGTTCGGAATTGTATTTTCTCTTTGCATTTATTTATTTTTCTGTCTCGCGAATCGCGCCTTTGTTTTGATTTTGTTTTCGCGAGATACCGCGTGCGTCTCATGGACGGTCGTTAGTTTGATCCTTATAAGTGGCTCGCGTTCGCTGTCGAATTTGCGAAACATTTTTGTAAACAGATAAATTTAGCGATGATATGCAAATCGAAGCATGCAGCGGCGCCCACACACCATACTACGTTCTATGTCATATTTCAAAATGCGTGTGTTTTGGCCAGACCTCGAGGTCGCGACGCTCTTTTTCCGCGAACATGCTCCGCAGTTTTGCTTCTACGACAGAACTTGGTCGTCAATGAAATTGCTTTCATTCAGCAAACACTGTTATTTTTTCCCTGCGAGTATAATAGTTTACTAACAAATAGTTATTGTTGTATGCTGGTGTTTTGCTTCAATCATTCATCGCGTCTTTGCAAAGTCCTATTAAATTTTTAATGAGCTGTCGTTGGTTCATTTATGCGAAATTCACTGTTGAAATTTGGAAAGTGGAGAACTCTGCGGCGAGACCGGTACTGCATTGCGCCCAACTACTCCCATACAACCGAGAGTGGAACTCTAGTATTGATTTTCGTGAATATATCGTGAAGGACTTCTACATACATATTTCCTAGAAGAATTTCAGTTTCTTCATAATTATCTCTAATGGTTTCTAGCTTTATTCTTACATTTAATAAACAATGTTTTCAAAACTTTTACGTGATATCAGTTGGATTTTTTCAGGTTTGATTAAATTTGTTTAATTTAAGAATAATTGAAAATAATTTTTTTTTCTTTTGATTATTAAAACAAAAATTTATTACATGACAGTTTCAAATACATTTTGTCATATATTTTCCACTTAATGAACCAAAGAAAATTGCTTATAACATGATTTGATTTTATATTATTTTTTTTATTGCACTTCTATAAATAATTATTATTGCTTTAATAACAGACGAAATCTTATTTTGGATTATTTTTCTTTTATTCCAGAGCCAAATTTTTAATAATTTTGCTGTTAATTCATGTTTTGAGACGCCAGAATAAGAAATCTGCCCTAACGATTTTTTTAAGAAAAAGTTTAAATAATATAAAGGGGGAATCAACTACAGTCCTAGAAAACAACCTACCCTTTAAACAAAACAAAATAAATTTAAACTATTTAAATTTCAACTCTGTGTAATTTTCATAAAGTTCAAAAGAATATTTTTTTACAATTCTCTAGCAATAAACATCTGTAAGATGATTTTGGTTAATTTTTAAATCTCTTTCTTTGATTCAAATCTTTTCTTTGGCACATATTTTAAAAGCCATCAAAAGATATTCAAATCTTATAATTTGCGTAATGTGTACAGTTCACTATATTTTAATCGGTTTTATTTTTTGTGCACTGAATTTTTCAACCCCTTTTCTATAACAAGACGAAAAATTTAATTTAAGAGTGAAATTGATTTAAAACTTAATAATCAGAAAAATTAAGCACATTTAAACGTTACAAATTAGTGAAAAATGTATGATTAAGATTTTTCAAAATTGAAAATGGATATTATTAATGTTACTTTTAAATTTTAATAAAAAAAATCTTGATATCTCCTCTTCTTTAATATGAACAAAAGAATCCCAGATTAGAACCCCTATAAAATTGCAGCTTCTCCATTACTTACCAGCAGATTATTTGCTCCCTTTGGCCGTATAAATAAACCTATACCTATACATGCAAGTCAGTTCTGTGGTGTAATTAATTTGTACGCGAATGTTGCGTGTGTATAAAAAGTCGGATTCTCCGTCGTTTAGAGCTTAATGTTTGTTTTAGTAAAAGTTTTTTGGCTTCTCTGGTGCCGGCGGTCGGCACTTAGATTTTGGCACAAACAGAGCGCGAGCTAAAGAGCGCCACATGCGCCGCTGCCGCACGCTTTGCTGCCGTTTTTCTCTTGCATGACCAATTTTCCACAAGGAAGAAACAAGTCTCAATTTAATGATAATTACAGAACTCTGCGAAAAAAGTTGAGTAGTCCAAACTGAGTCACGATCTGTTCGAATTAGTCCTTAAATGGAATTAAGGGTTGTAAGTTCAACGTTCATATATGAAATTTAAAAAAAATCCCTTCTAGTTTTAATATTTATTGTTTTTGAAAGGAATCGTTTCTATTAATATTTTATAGTTATAGATAAAAATAGCGGTCATGAATAAACAGAAATAATAATTTTCATAAATTAACTATATATATTTATTTTAAAACTATAACTCATTATAACAAACACTTATGGGCTGGGCCATCCAATCTAAAATACAGTTTTGTATTATAATTTATTATTATTATGATTATTGTTATTAATTATTAGAAAGTGAAGAAAAAAAATTAGGAACCTTCTTTCCAGACTGAAAATGTTTTATTGAGCTTCATTTTAATATTTAAATTTGATTAAATTTTGTAATCCAACTTAAATAATAATTTATCCTTATTCTGAAAGTATTCCCAATTTTTGAATACTAATTATTAATCAATGCTTCTTTCTTAAATTTACTTTTAAATGATTAAAATAATTATTATAATAAATTTTAACCATTTTAATCGTTTGCAAATCAAATTGTGCACCTTTGCAAATTGATGATGCATTCCCACGAGTCACTCTCTCGTCTGAGTAAAGATCACTCATATTGCTCAATTAAATGGAGGTCACAAGTGTTACTCATCCGTCTGCTGATGGTTTTGCAGAAATTGCGCCGCCACCCGCTCCGTGGCCTGCGACGGCGGCCCGCTGGCTGCGCCTTAGGAGCCCCGGACGCCCTGCAAGCGCGGGGACTGCTTCAATGTCCGCGCAAGTCTTTGGCCAAAACACAAGGTGAGAAATAATATTTATCTTTTTCCGTGTTTTGCTCGTTTATTGCAACAAACGGCCCCGGCGCGCATAAATTCCGCCTCGATTTGGGCAAAGCCGAAGCGCGCGCCCCACTTATTGGGGTCAATGTTGACCTGCTCTCGGCTTTCAAAAAACAGGCGGGCGTGCTTGACAAGGACGAGACGCAAAAGTTTCGCGCGCTCGCTGCTTTTGTTGCCTCTATTATTCTTGGGCTGTCAACTCGACACACGCGCGCGTGCTGCGGTTTGGGCGAGGGTGGAGTTGCGAAACATTTTGTGATTGTTGACTGCTGAGACGAATCCACTTTTTGCACCTTGTTATATCTTCAAAGTGATGGTGTTTATCAAAATAACATTTGGTTGAGAAAGAATTCCTTTTTTAGAATTAGTAAAAAAAATATTTAAAATCCTTAAATTCAAAGCGTATAAAATTTACATGATATTTTATTTTAATGATGACAAATGTGTAAAATGATTTTTCATTAAAAAAAGAATCAAATCAATAAAAAGGATCCATGAATGTTTTTGATAATTAAGAAATGATAAGACCTTGAAACGCTAGTTTATTCTTTCATTTTTTTAAGGATGAAAGGCGGAAATTGTTACACTTTTCATAAAAATTTAATTATTTTTACTTTTTAAGCTCTTAAAATGAGGAAGAATTTGTATATTTTTTCTTATTTTTCCTCTCTTTATTTCTCCACCTGAAGGATCAATTTTGCTATGGAAAGTTTTAATGTTTGTAAGGTTCAGTTCTTTTTTATTATTTAATATGTAATTTGATAATCAATTTTTCAATTTGTGTAAAAATTTTTTTTTTTTGGTAATTTTCAGGTGTTGAAATAAAATTTAAAACAAATCTGACAGGCTATAGATTTGTTTGTTTTAGTTTAAAAATATACTCATTTATGTTAATAAACTTTAGCGTTGGCCTTATTAAGCTTGTATATTGGCATACATCTTCAATTGAAACAAACTATCTTAAGACTTATGTTGAAATGAAAATTTAATTACTTGAAAACATTCCACTTTTGTAAACTGAGACATCAAGAGATTTATTCCAGGTGGTGTTAACAGTTTCTATGAAAATTTTGAAGTCAAGCTTAGAAATTAAACTAAAAATTGTATACACATAATTCTCCTTTATTAAACTGTGTTCCAAATTTATGCACAGTTATGGATATTGAAAAAATCGGCTGAACCAAATTTTGGCATTTATTGCAATGGATAGTTGAAATTAGCAACAATAAAAAATAAAAATAAAATTCTCCATACATATTTCAAATTTGCATTTATCTATTCTTGTTATGTATTATAATTTATAATCAAAGTGTGCATTTATTCATCTTATATTGCAGCCAGAAAGGAGATGTTTTAATTATTCTGAAAGATTTGTGGAATCGAAAGTTTAAAGGAAGTTTTCTTTAATTAATTTAACGTGTCAGTTTTCTCAAGTCGGCGAGCAGCGAAATTTCCGGCCTCGTGCCGCGCCGCTGGAAGCCGATCAGGCGATTGGAACAATGCAATAATTGATGACCGTGCCGAACCCGTTGAAAGTGACCTAAGCGTTGTGTCGACTGCGTGCATCCGTGTGGTATTTGCTCATACCTGCCTGCGTTCATTAGACGCAAAGCTGTGCAAAATGCGGAGAACGCTGAAAATTTATTGTGGTGGTCGTCAGCACTTTTCAATGCCAACAACAGGCTCTACTATATACCCTCCCAAGGCCTACGCTTGGCGAGAGCAATTTTTATCTCGGGCGGTGCAACCGTTGCTCAAACCACGCCGATGCATCTTTTGCCAATTTTCACAATGCATAGGAAAATACATAATTTAGCGGAGGACGCGAGAGTACTTAGGGTTAAAAAACGCATCAACTAAGCGTCGTTTTCTTTATGCATCACTTGCGCACACTTGCTTTGGTTTGACCATTTTAGAAAAATAGAAGGTGACGAAGAGAAATAAGAAATTTATCACACGGCTAAAATACTCTTTTAACGATTTATGTTTTTTTGTAAATTGTATAATTTTTAATGAATTGCGTTAGACCTTAACACCTATTATATAAAAATTTTCTAGAGCTTGAAATTTATAGAGAAATTGTTTTAATATGCTATTTTTGTTGCTTCATTTTACACAATGAGAGAAAATTGCTTTGTAAAAAGCTGCTTATATAAGCTGGAATTGAAATTAATTTGCACGATTTTGAATATTTTCTGAATTTAGTTTCATTAAAATCCGTTAGTCAACCCACGCGTGCATTAGATCAGATCAAAAGTCACGTTAATTCACGTTCACGTCCCACAATTTCGGCACTAATGAAAATCTATGGACGTGAACTTGACCAGTTTGCCGCTCTCATTTTGCAATAATTGGATTCTCGTCAAGAGGCCAATTAGCTAAGAGAAAATGGTCACAAGATGATCGGCCGCTGCAAAAGTGGGCGCCGAAGAGGCGATATCATTCCGGCTTATTTTTTCTCATTTGGATGCACGAGTAGGAAGCGGAGAGCTAGTTTAGCCGGCTGATTGGTTCTGCCACTGGCAGGAAAAGTCCAAATATCACGTGGGCTACTCTTTGTGGGCAGAGATTCCATAAGGGATGCGTGGGGGACCCTTTTTTTATATAAACACAAAAGTCTCGATTTTTATTGCTCTTTATTTATTCCAAAACGACCACTTTTGTCCAGCCCATTGTTCCTTTACTCGTTGACATTTTTACTGAATAAATTTTGAAACTTCTCAATTTGCTCGTTAACGCGCGATTTTTTTATGAATCAACGCCCGCCGAGTGATAAAACCTGTTTTAATGGACAATGAAATCATTTACGGACGCTGCACGCGTGCAGAAGAGAGACAGACTTTAAGTGGCCTTCTTCTCCAAATGAAGGCAGTCGGTTGAAATAAGCCACGGAGGTGGATAATTATACGCGATAGCTGTTCCGAGGCCTCATCATTTCTATATTTGACGCAGAGGCGGTGAACCCACAAGAGACCAACCGACCTACCCGTTCGATTGCTTGCCATTGCACTTCGTGCTTCTGCTGATGAGATCACGACAAAAAAAATACATAATATACGTTCAGGAAGCGAACAGCCAGCGCTGAAAATCAACAAATAATAATATACATAATCATGCGAGCTATAGAGCTATTCAAACACTGCTCCGGCGCAGAAAGGCCAAGGAAGTGTTAAAAGATTAATTTGGGTCGCTTTTTTAATAAAATTAAATGAAATCAGTGATTAATAACTCGCCCAAGAAATTTATTTCAAGAACACGCTACTGCGGAAAACGGCTCTGGATATAGATGCAGGTCCTTAAATGGGAATATTTAAATAAATTTATAATGACACCTTCAGCAAGATCACGACGAAGGTTGAAGAGCAATGCATAATTTAATTAGACTTGTGACATTGCATCAGTTCAATGAGATCTTTAGATCTCGGATCAGTTTCTCTCCAGCCCAGTTTAGAAGGTCTCCGACCGTCGACGTGCACTTTTATATATACAATAGACTTGTCGCAGAAGTTTATAATATAAAATAATTATCTTAATGAGTGCAATTTTTGAACTCTTGTTTCATTTTAATGAATTCTCATTAAACTGAATTTATTTATTTATTAATTTGAAACGAAAGCTTTTCTAATTGTACAATATTAATGAATGATCCTAATTTTGCTATAAATTTTTCTTGAAAAGCTACATCAAATGCTTTATTTTTCCGTGTTAAATACAATCAATTATAAGTTTTTAATGTACCATTTTCTGAGCTTTGTAAAAGTTTCTATGTACTGTGTCATTCCGATTTAGAAAATTAATGAAAAAATCTCTTAAATCCAAGCATATCATCTCACCCTTGTCTTGAGAACTCACTGATTTGCCATTATATATAAAACTTTTGCCATTGAGGTGATAACGATCCCTTGCTTCTCATATTTACCAAAACGTTTTGAGAATTCAGGCGAGCGTCTGCACGTTCGCGAGGGAAATGTGACGTCACGTGTAAATAAGTAGCGAGACTGTTGTGAAGAAAAGTAGTATGGTTATTATTAGACATTAGATCACCGAACGTTTACTTCCACCTCCCAGCATTACGAAAATTATCTACCGCGCCATCGGCAGCGTGCTCGAAACTGTTCTCGCTGCGCGACTGATAGTGTCTCCCAAAGTCAAGTATGCGTGCGTGGGTATGCAATTGAATTGCAAATGAGGTACACACACTCGTTCATTAACGCCAAATTGGAGAGTTTGCAGACCGGCCAATTCAGGACCATAATATCCATTCTGTATACGTAACGGTGGGCGATTTGAAAGTTGCCACTGCGGTTGTGAAGGTTTTGCCAATTTATGCCAAATCGGTGATTTATGCAAATAACGTACAAAAAATAGCCTTTCGGAGCTATTCAAAATATAGAGATATTAAAAGGAGAGGCGTTTTTACTCTATCATTAGGCTCAAATTGAAAAAGATATTAAGAAAAGTTTATGATTTTAAAAATAATCTTTCAATTGTTTTGCTGCACATGTAATTCTTTGCTTTCAATAATAAGAAGCAAAATAGATGCTGGATTTGAAAATTTTAAAAGTATTTTTTTTTTTTTGTGATAATTTAAAAATTTAATTCACCTTTCGATAAACAAAAACACATTATGTCCCAAAAGTAGCTTAGCTATTAAGACACTTAAACAACATAAGATGTTTCTAACTACCTTTAAATAAATGCAACACTATTCTTACCTTTTTTTATTTAAAATCTCTTTTATATTTTTAGATACTCAAGTATTTTTGTTTGAACTTAAAATAAATTGTAGAAGTTTAAACTAATTTTTAATGAAAAAAATACAACTGTGTTGTTTTATTTTCACCAGCTTAACTAATGCGCTTCTATGAAGTTGATTTGGTAAACGTTTAAGTGTTCAGCAGAAGTAGTAAGAAGGAAAGAAATTCCAATCAATGTTAACATTTCATGAGAATTATCAAAGCTTCCTTATGATACCCTAAGCAATTGACCTCTATACAAAAGATAGTAAAAAATTTAACAATAATTCATCATCTCGGACTATGCATTTTAGCTGCTGAGAATAATTAAGTGCGCATCTCTCTTCCAAATCTCAAGTTTGAATGAAGCGTTGAAAGTACATTTAAATCTTCCCATGGGCGAATTTTTCATCTTTCCTTCGGTGAGGATGCTGGGATGGCCATGTAGGGAACTTCGACCGTCTCCGTTGCCTTCCTACGCGAGCAAAAGGTATACGCAGCAGAGAAGTGTTTCCTTTGAATACGCCTGGCCCGATGACATCATGCGCGCCGTCGTGTTTATGTATGTGATTATTATTTTATATACCTTTCTACGCTGGCGAGCGAGACCGCTGAACCGCACGTTTCTTTCTGCCCGGTCTTTTCAACATATTTTCTCAATAATCATGCATGCCCACTCTCTCTTTCTCTTTGTCCGTCGGTTCAGTGCTTGTGGAAAAATTGTACTTACAAGATTGCACAAAGATTAATGGTGCTGATAATTTCACTCAAGAGATAACGCGCGTTCAAATTTCGGTAATTAATCAATATGTCGTCAAAAGTTGGATCGAAGTTGGTCATGAAAATAACCCGACCACATAGATGATGCATTTTTCTGTGTACAAGATCAGGAAAATATTATTTTTTAGTTCCGGAAAGCCGCAAGTCACCCTCCGATCTTTGATAATTATTTAATCACTTATGACGCTTATTTCCTTATCCTAGACTATTTTAATTTTTTCCTCCTTGAAGTTAACACAAAACTTATACCAGAATTCACTTCTGAAATTAAAAGTTAAAGTTTTGCAAGATACTCTGCGTCGGTTTTGCAGTTTAAGGCGTAGGTTTTGCGTGCAGAAAGTCTTCTTTTTTATTAATACGACACGACAAAAATATCTGAAACCGTTTTCAAGGCGTTGGTGACGTCATGTTTCCGTCCCGCAGCCAGAAAGAGCAGCTCTCCAGCCGTGCAGGTTGCATAACTGTGTAAAAATTCGCGCGTCCGACTTCTACGCAACAATGGGATTTTTTCTTTCGCACTCGCAAAAAGTTAAAATGTTTCGTTCGCTTTTTCCCAATAGTCCTCGACGCGGAGCGAGAGAGAGGTCGTCGAGCTAATTCTGTATCAAAGGCACGCTGCCTCTTTGCTATCGCATCAGCAAACCAATCTATCTATCCCATCCACTTTCAGAGCATCAAGTCACCAGCTTAATAATGGCTATGGCATCATGGGCCATGGCAAAATCATCGCAGATAATACAATTATGACTGCGGAGGAGAAAGATGCATCAAAGCCGCGCGCGCGTGACATCATCCTAAAATAGCGTCTCTTTTTGTGCTCACAAACTTCTTACATTAGTCGCGCATCTGTTTGTACAAGTAGAAAATTACGCGCTGTTTGTAGATTGGATTTTGTTTAACACATTCCGCTGATAGGATAATGATGATAAACACTTTTCAGATGGATAATAATGTGCATCTTTATGCATGATTGGGGACGCGACCCGTAGATCAATTCAATGACAAGATTCGTCTCTCTGCAGGGATGAAATTATATTACGTCGCACTTTGATTGAGTTGTCGTTAATAATTTAGGCAATCAACCCATTAAAACGGAAACTGGTTTTGTCTCGAAAACAAGCGTCGCCGCGCCCACGCACGTCCGTACGCCACCGCATGCAGTGGCGTGGGCACGAGCAGATAAATGGGAAATAAGCGGGCTGTAATTGCTTTTTAAACGCCTCGGCTCCGAAATCTCGTTTAGCCGATACATTATTACTAACGTGGAAATGCCTTTTTGTTTCAGAAAAGTGTACTCGGTGTGGTATGGCCGAGTGGGCACAACCAACTCCATCACGTCGGACCAGGTTCAGCAGGTCTTCAACGATATGGATCTCTACCCTTCCAAGTCGCAGGGTAATTACGCAGATTTATGTACTTGTCACATCCAAAATAATGCTCCAATTATTTCACACGAAAACTTCCCATGAAAAGAAATTAAATTTATTGTGCTGATATGTGCTGATAGATACTGAATTGAATTACAATTAAAAAAAAAAGATTTTCAAAAGAAATTAAAACCAATGTGTTTATTTTATTTATTTTTGAGGAAAGCCGTTATGAAATTTCAAATGTAATTAAAATTTAAAAAAAAAAACAATATAAAAGAAAATAAATTTTTCCGCAAGATTTAAAAAAAAAATCTTTATGAGATAGGCAAATTTATTAAGTCCTTGAATTATAAATTTTCCGACAGGTGGAATTTTTTTGTTGTTTTGGAATATCTGCCAATATATAAATATACAGCTCAAAAATTAAGCAAAAATAAATATTAGGACATACACAATGGAATTTTGATTTTCTAAATAGAATTTTAAGAAGAGGGATTATTTCACCTTAACATTGCAATAAATTTTGCAACGACACCTGTATCTTGGATAACATTTCTGATCATGCAATCATTTTTGTAATCACAACAACCCCCCACGTGTAACTCATGCAAGCAATTAATTTTCACACGCATGACCAGCCACCCACAGACAATCTGTGTTAAAAAGTGTCTCCTTCTTTGCCAAGCAGACAGGTGGGCGACTCGAAAAAAAAACAAGTCGCAAAGAGAGTGGCGTTTCGTTATTTACACGAGACAGGTATTTAGGAGCGAGGCGTTTTGTGTTTCTCTGCCTGCTGATTTGTGTTCGTCTCGCACCAACACTCATATGAAAATCGGAGAGCGGAGGAGACGTACCGCGCGATGATGATGTTTGCTCGCTTGCTTTTTTATTTGTGACCAGCCACGGTACAGTTTTCTAGTTTGGAGGGAGGGCTGCCTGGCCTGCCACTCGCGATTTGTCATTCATCTATTTCGCAAAGACTCGCTCGCTTTCTCAGTCAACAAATCTCCTTTTGGTCTTGATCATTTGACGCGGCTCGTGGATTTCCGATTAATAATAGAAGCCGTTTCTGGCCTGTTGCAGTTTATGAGATGCTGCAGTGCGCGAAGGAGTGCGCGAACCGCAGCACGGCAGCCTACCTCACGTTTGGCGAATTCTGCGTGTTTGCCACGGAGCTCAAGCGCTGCTATGAAAAAGGGTGAGTTTTATATCGTCAGTTTGGTGGTTTTGACTAAGTGCCCATCTCCAACAGCATATCACGCCCAATGCAAGTGTCCAAAAAGAATGGCGACGTCGAGGAGAAAAACAACAAAAAGAGAAATAACAAAAACTTAAGTGAGTGTCATTATTGATTGTTATTGAAAGCTCTTCATTTTAATTTATCCTTGATACGCTTACATTAAAGGCGGCAATGAAAGTGATGATGGTAAGGGTGAATACAATTTTTTTCATTTTGAACATCTGTATATATATTTTATATTTATATTAAATTTTATTTTGTAATTATTTTAATTCATTTTTAGTCAGTTCATAAGATTTATTTTTCGTAAATTCTATTTTAATTAATTAAAATTTGTAAAGCTCATTTATTTATTTTATTTTTGAAATTTTAAACATTTTTTTTTAATATTTTACATTATTCATTGTAATTAATTATTTGTAATTTAATAAATTAGCTCTTAAAAGGTTCTTTATAGTTTTTAAATTAATTTCAGAAAATGTGCCCAAATACGAAGTGTTTCTGGGTGGCTCGTGCAACCCGACTACATGGAGACAGGATACGGCGATACCCGTACTAAAGAAGCTTGGCATCACATTTTACAACCCGCAAGTGTCCCACTGGGGCCCGGAGTTGGTTGAGCTCGAGTGGAAGGCCAAGCAGCACGCCACGGTGCTCTTCTTTGTGATGGACAACGAGACCCGGTCGGTTGCCTCCCTCATTGAAACAGCCCACAGTGCAGGCAAACAACGCAAATTGATTCTTGTCATCAACCCTTACAAAGGACCAGGCCAGGAGATCTGTGGAGAGTTTTTGTCCCAGCAGTAAGCCCTTTTATGATTTTTTATGCAAAATTGTATTGAATAAATTCAATGCAGAGAGTACGCAGACTTGAGTGCAGGGCAAACAATTTTACAAGACTTGGTTGAGAGGCAAGGGATTCCTGTTTTTGACAGCATTCCTGTGGCGCTGAACTGCACGGCTAAGGTATTATTTTCTTCAGTCTATCGCAAGCAATTTTAAATATTTCTTGCTTCAGATTCTGAGAGAAAATCTTAGTGTGCAAGACTTGAGCCTAAAAGATTTTGCGCAACCAGTGAAAATGGCGCATGTACAGCTAGGTGATAAACTAATGTAAGGAATATTTCCATTTTGCCTTTGGTACCCGAAAGTAAAACTAAATTTTGCAGAAAATTAAGAGAAACCTTTGATGCTTTGGACCACAACGGATGTGGGCAGCTGAACTTGGCCGATGTAAGAGTCTAACTTCAAAACGGGATTTATTTCTATATTTTTATTTCTTCAGGTTTGCATGGCGTTTAGAATTTTAACTGGGAAAAACTTGTCGATGAAGGACCTGCGGAGTATTGTGGCAAGTCAAAGAGGTAATATCTGTTTTCATTTTTTGATTTAATTATATATAAATTATAACTATTTTCTTAATTTAAAGGTGTCTTGGGCAAAGATGTGACGGACGTGCCTCTCGAGCAGCAGTCTGTTTCGTTTGAGCAGTTTTGCTCGATCATGGCAGAGTTCAAGATGAGAGAAAGTGAGATTCATAATTCAGGTTCAAATTTGTTTCTGCGCCGCACGCAGACCTCTACTTCCTCCTCTACAGGCTTTCATAACCAGGGAGGCAATTCCACCCCTACCACCAACAGCAGCACGGCAATCGTGCCTGTCAGCTCGGGAATGTGGGGGTGGATGAATTCGCTTGCAAATCAAACAGCTATGGTTCTGTCCGAATCTTTTTCTGGGCTCATAGGTACCTTTAAGTAATGTAGAATAGATAGCCGTCTCCAGCATCCCACTACCACGCATGAAGTTTAAATTAAGCCCCTGGTACTTTTTGTTTTTCTTATCTTTTATTTCTTTGGGTGAACATTTCCTTTTGCTATTAATAGTTTTTACTCTTTCACCTAGATATTGGTCGCTTTTGCATTTTTTCCTGTGACATTTTCATTTAGTTATGATTTTATATCGCTTTATAAACCACACTCTGCTTTATTGGTTTTATTAATATTTTATGCTATTTGGAAAAAAAATATCATATAATATGTTTTGGCAAATGCCTAAGCTGAACCTGAAATATTTTTTAGAATGGGTTACTGGGCCTTCGTCAAGGTCTCCACTCTCTCGATCTCCAACATCTACAAACAATGTGTCCATCAGCCAATTACCCTCCTGCTTGCGAGACGTTTATTTAGGTGGTTCCGCAAGCAACTCCAACTGGCGAGATGAAATTGCCATTCCTATTCTTAAGTATACGATTTGACTCCAGATTGAATTCAATGTTTCATTAAAATAATTTTCCAGGAAAAACGGGCTAAGCTATGTGAACCCGCAACGCAACTCTGGCAGCTGGGGTAGTCGGCTAGTTCCTATCGAAGCTGCTGCCATGGATGCTAGTTGGCTTCTTCTTTTTGTAATTACAAACACATGTCGAGCTGTGGCACCAATGGCAATGGTAACCAAAACGTCCTTTGGACCTAATTTATTCTCAATTCTTTTTGTTCCGAAGGCATCTCATTACATCGGCTTGGGTTGCAACATAATTCTTTGTGTACAATATCTACCTGATGACTGTGTAATAGACGGAGAGAAAGTACATAATGTTAATTTAATTGATGATTAGTATTAATTACAATCATGCTTCAGTTGTCCAAGCAAGCGATAAAGGACTACAATCGAGGTCGGATGTATTTGTCAGACTTGGCGAATAGAGATGGAGTGCCTGTTTTTGAAAACGTCACGGAGGCTGTTCAGTGTGCTGTGACTAAGTGCCTGAACCGATGAGGACCATGAGTTACGAGTCTGGCATTTCTTCGTTGCCGCGTTCCAAGCCCTAGTATTTCAACCACCATGCCATCCATCAGAGAGAACTTGGGTTATTCACCTAATTTGTTTTGAAATTATTGATTTTTATCTATTGAAAGGGACTTTGACAGCTATTAGACTAATGAACTTGAAAAGTCAAAATTTTTTACATAATTATGATGCCATATTTTTCATTGTGTTTTAAGAAAACTTGAATTTTTGATTTTTAACTGTACCTGACAGCATCGTAAAATTTTCACAAATCATTTTGAACTGCTAACCAATATGCAGCTCATTCATTAATACATTTATTTGGGATACATTTTTTTTCTGCAATTTAGCATAAATTACAATTTGAAAGTCTTCTGCAAACCTTTACAATTTTAAACATTCCATAGTAATTGATTATTCATGTTAAATAACTCTCCCTCAGAAAATAATAGATGATGTAGATGTACAACAAAAATGGGAGTTTTATCCAAATTAACTTCAATTCATGTACTTATACCTCAACTTAGTTTGCCACACACAGACACACACACATACAAAAAAAAACTAAATAATTTATTAGCACTTCGCCTGACTTTTAGTGCTGATTTCAAATGCTGCAATTAGTTTCGCTTTAAACTTATTAATTCATGCAAGCTTGAACAGCAAAAGTTAGATGAAACCTTAGCACTTATTTAGTTTAGGGTAGCTGGCCGAAAGTAACTTAATAATTCTCTTAGTCGGGGGCATACTATTTTAGTGTGAAGATTGCGTTTAAGCATGTACGACGTATTTAAAAAAAGCATTGCTTTGCAGGGCCAAAGATTGTGGGCCAATATAGAGAGGAGAATTGAGCTATTAATCTTTCACGCCCGACAGCTAAGCCACATATATGCAGTTTTATGCATTTTGGCAACTTTTAATGGATTGATTTTAAGACCGAAGTTTGTTGTTCTTACAAAATAACCCAGAAAGTGCATTTTTATGATTTAAAGTGTGTTACTCGGAAGTCTTATTTTTCACTGTTACTACTAGAAGTACTAGATTATTTGCAACTAAATGTCATTTCTGGTAATTTTATATGTATAATATTATTATTTGGCTCACACCTTATGCATTGCTAATTTAACCCTAACACACACTTGATAAGCATTTTCAATTATTATTGGCTGCGGCTCATCAACTGCCCATAATAATAATAATAAAATTGATGCTTAATCTGGAGAAAGATTGTAATTTGTCAACAAATTCATTCATAGCGGCGCAAGTATTTTTAATTGATAGAAAATTTAGAGCAGAGAAAATCCCGTGAGTAGCTGACATGAAAATGAAAGAGGGAAAATTATGTCCATTTTTATTCCCTGATATAATATTGTGGATTTTTATTTTAAATTTATTTCTGTGTAAATTGTGACTTCTAACCACTGAAAGAAGATGCGTGACTTTTATTCTCAATACAAAACAGCTGGAGAGATTTATGTATTTTGACAAACCATTTATTGTTTCATTATTTAGAATTGTCTACTATTTTTCGTATAATAAAATTAACTTTGTTTACATAATGAATTCATATGCTTGTCTTTATTCATTTTACCCACCAGCGTCAAAAAAGCTTTTATTTCATAAGTTTTTCAATTTATAGCTTTTTGTTACTTGTGCAAAAATTTAAATAAGATCGTGAATATTGAAAATGTGCTTATAAGCAAAATTTTAATATTTATGTCGATTTATGTAATAAAATTAAATTTTAACTATTAAACTTGAACTTGACCATTATTTTTCGCATTATTTCATACCATCTCATCTTCTGAAATAATAAGAATTAAAAATAAATAATTTTAAAAATGATGACAAATTTATCATGAAGATTTTACTATTAACGCACATAATAGTTAAAAGCGATAATGTGAAAGAATAAGAATAACACGGAGATAATAACTTTTGAACTTTGGTGTGTTGTGTTGTGTTAATTTGTCACTTGTTTTGTGCTGGATTTATAATGACGCATTGATTTTCTGCCTCACATGAAACAAAATAGGAATTCTCTCGAATGGGGAAGATTAGGGTAGAAAGTGGCTGAACAATCTAGCAGCATCTACCGACTTCGGTGGTCACGTGACCGGTGAGGGCCAATCAGAGCGCTGGGAAGTTACTAGAAACAGGGAGAACGTTCTTCAAACATCGAGAGCGGCAACTTTTACTATATAGACGCCGGCCGGCAGCGCTCCCCTCATAACCGAGCTGAAAAGCGAAGTGAACGGAGAGTGCACTCCTATTGTTACCACTGCAGTTTAGTGCATACGTGAGACGCTCATAAACTATCATGGCTCCTGCTATTGGAATCGACTTGGGAACCACCTATTCGTGCGTTGGTGTCTGGCAGAACGGCAAGGTCGAGATCATCGCCAATGACCAGGGCAACCGCACGACCCCCAGCTATGTGGCTTTTACGGACACGGAGAGACTTGTGGGCGACGCCGCCAAAAATCAGGTATGTGATCAGATAGAAATTACTTGTGTACAAATAATTTATAAATAATTTTTTTTTTAAATCTTATTTCGTAGGTAAATGACTTTTTATTTTATTTTTTTTATTTTATTTGACGATTATTTTATTTTTGATCAAACTTTTGAACACATTAATTTTTTAACTTGAACTTAATTTTTTTTTCATTTCTTTTAGGTGGCCATGAACCCGAAGAATTCCGTGTTTGACGCCAAACGTTTGATCGGCCGTCGCTTCGACGACCCCAAGATCCAGGAAGACATGAAACATTGGTCCTTCACCGTGGTCAACGACTGCGGCAAGCCGAAGATCGACGTCGAGTTCAAGGGCGAGCACAAGCGTTTTTCGCCGGAGGAGATCAGTTCGATGGTGCTCGTCAAGATGAGGGAAACTGCCGAGGCCTACCTGGGCAGCAAGGTGCGCGACGCCGTCATCACGGTGCCGGCCTATTTCAACGACAGCCAGCGCCAGGCCACCAAGGACGCCGGGGTCATTGCCGGCCTCAACGTCCTGCGCATCATCAACGAGCCAACTGCGGCCGCCCTAGCCTATGGCCTTGACAAAAACCTCAAGGGTGAGAAGAACGTGCTCATTTTCGATTTGGGCGGCGGCACCTTTGACGTCAGCATCCTGACCATCGATGAAGGGTCCTTGTTCGAGGTCAAGTCAACCGCCGGCGACACCCACCTGGGCGGTGAGGACTTCGACAACCGGATGGTCAAGCACTTTGCGGACGAGTTCAAACGCAAATACAAAAAGGACCTGACTTCCAACCCTAGGGCCCTCCGCCGCCTCCGTACGGCCTGCGAGCGCGCCAAGAGAACCCTGAGCAGCAGCACCGAGGCCAAGGTCGAGATTGACGCCCTGTTCGAGGGTATTGACTTCTACACCAAGATCTCAAGGGCGCGTTTCGAAGAGCTCTGCATGGACCTGTTCCGAGGCACCCTGCAACCCGTCGAGCAAGCCCTGAAGGACGCCAAAATGGACAAGTCGCAGATTCATGACGTGGTTCTCGTTGGTGGCTCGACCCGCATTCCGAAGGTCCAGAAGCTCCTGCAGGACTTCTTCAATGGCAAGAACCTCAACCTGTCCATCAACCCTGACGAGGCCGTCGCCTACGGAGCTGCCGTACAGGCCGCCATCCTCAGCGGCGACACCAGCAGCGCCATCCAGGACGTCCTGCTCGTCGACGTGGCCCCCCTGTCTCTGGGTATCGAGACTGCCGGAGGAGTAATGAGCAAGATCGTGGAGCGCAATGCCCGAATCCCCTGCAAGCAGCAGCAGACCTTCACCACCTACGCCGACAACCAGCCGGCCGTCACCATCCAGGTGTACGAGGGTGAGCGTGCTATGACCAAGGACAACAACCTCTTGGGCACCTTTAACCTCACCGGCATTCCTCCTGCCCCGAGGGGCATCCCGAAGATTGAGGTCACCTTTGACCTGGACGCCAACGGCATTCTGAACGTCTCGGCCAAGGACGAGAGCTCCGGACGCAGCCAGCAGATCACCATTCGAAATGACAAGGGCCGCCTGTCCAAGGAAGAAATTGACCGGATGCTCAATGATGCGGAGAAGTACAAAGATGAGGACGAGCGACAGCGCCAAAGGGTGGCTTCCCGCAACCAGTTTGAAGGCTACATCTTCCAGGTGCGTCAGGCCGTGGACGACGCCGGTGACCGTTTGAGTCAGACTGACAAGGACGAGACCAAGGCCAAGTGTGAAGAGGCTCTCAAGTGGCTGGACGACAACCAGCTGGCCGAGAAGGACGAATACGAACATCGACTGAAGGACTTGCAGAAGGCCTGCGCTCCCATCATGACCAAGATCCATCAGGGTCCTGCTGGTGGTGCCGCTGGTGCTGGACAGCCTACCGGTGGTGCTGCCCATGGTGGAGCTGGAGGTCCTACTGTGGAGGAGGTTGATTAAACTTCAAGCGCTGTTCCTACGAGGCAAGACTGAGGCAGCGGATTTTACTAAGAATTAAAATCTAAATGTGGATCTGTCTCCAAAATAATACTATACGGGTTAAATATCTCATAAAGCATGTAACAATATTTGTAATTGCATCAATTCCACAACCCACTAGCAATAAAATCTATGTATCAGAGATTGATCATTAATAATAAAAATGAATGTCTCGTTAAAAAATGTAACTTTTTTAAATTCCTATCCAATTTTTTATAGCACTAAATTTTGAACACAAAAATATAGCAGAAGTTAGATTGAAGAGAAGCTAAATTATTATTATAATTAATTATAACGAATTATAATATTACTTTAATTTACTAAAACAATAAGTAAAAATTTTTTTATCATAATTACAAAAATTTATGCGCTAACTATAAAAGATAATTACAAATTGAAGAAGGGAAAAAAATTTTATGTCAAAATTTCACGACTATTCAATTTATTTTGAAAATTATGTGCAATGTGCAATACATTTTAAATTTCCCTCCCACTTACTAACAGTTCGGCCTTGGGCCAATCACGAACGACGTTTGGCTTCTGTTTCTCTGCAGCTGATTTCATATTTTTCACAGGCAGTAGTCCTTTTTGGAAGGTAAATTGGGATTATATTTTAATTTTCCGTCTCTAATTTAAAATTATAAAATAAAAACCATAAACATTCGGAATCTTAATTTTTCAAGAAATATAATCTACAGTAAACTAATGACTTCCTCACTTTCGCAGCCGAATCCCAATCTCTCAAACATAATGGCCGGTGCAGCAGCTGAAGAGTCCCAATTCAAGGGTTTGAGCAAGATTTTCAACTCCACTACCGTCAAGGGCAGAGCAAACGTAGGTTTAATCGGCGCTCTAAACACTCAAGTCTATCAAAAACCTTTCAAATTACAAAATTTATATCTTTTAGCTTCAAAATCATCAAATTAAATGAACCTCTATCACGCCTTTCTGCCTTGTTAAAGAGCAAAATTGATGGATTTTCTTTGTCGCAGGTTGGAAAGGCAACGTACGCAGCCATCGGACTTATTATTTTATACAACGTGGTCAAGCCCAAGAAGCAGCCTGCTGCTGCTAAGTAGATTCAATAATCTTGTTGATATAAATACATAATTCATGTTTCCAAAAATAAAAATGTATAAAGTGTAGCACCTTATAACAAATTATTATTATTTACATAGGTTGTAAGATTTATTTAAAAGCTTTTATTAACGTTTCTTTTATTTTTATTATCAGGTTTTAAAATTTTTGGGGATTACATGCAGTTTTAAGCTATAATTTTTTAACTACGTCAAAAAAGTAAAAATAATTCAATTTATGTCAAATAATTAAAATTTCCCAATTTATCGGCTGTACAGCCTAGTCTTAAAAACTAAAAAATTGCATTTTCACCCAAGAAAACAGAAAACTCTTGAGCATCCAACATTTAAAATCTAAAACAACTCCTCCCATCTAGAGTTTACACTAACACTTAAATTTTGGCAGGATAAAAGCAGGATGTTATCAAGACCAGAATTAAAATCGTAAAATATTCCCTTAAAGTCGTCAATCGCTTGTGAGGAACGGATGCTGCAATGCTAGCTCGGCAGTGATTCGAGTTGCAGGATTGGGGTCGAGCATCTTCGTCAGGAGATCAAATGCCTCAGCAGGGAACTCTTCCTTTTTGGAGTTATTCCCCGATGGGCAGAAGCAGGGCACCTCTATGGATTGTGTGGTCATGGAAGGACTGCAAACTCTGCAGAGGACGCTGCTTGTTTTGGAATGCATTGAGTCAGCTTTTGCGTTGAGCCTGTTGGTGCGCAGGGTGGTGCACAACTTTTGAAGGTCAAGTGGAGGGCAGGACTTGTCACACACAAACACGCGATCTTATATTAAAAAAGATTGGAATTAATACATTAGAAAGAAATTTAAATTTATAATTCTAATTTAAAAAAATGTATGCGATACAAGTTTTTTCCATTTCAAAAGTATAAGATTGATAAAAAAAAATTTAAAAAGAAAAAAATGCCTCATTGTATTCAATTATCATAATTGAATTTGTTCTCCTAAAAAATTATCATCTCATCTTTTGTGTGTTGCTACAACAAGACATCTGAATTTCCTTTTCCACACCTTTGTGATATTATAAGATAAATTCAATTAGAATAATTTAATGTGTCATTTTTATACCTTTTTTAACAATTTTTATCACTGAAGTAAAAAAAGATTATTTATAATTTTCAAATGAATTTTTGTTAAGTCTTAAGTCTAAATTTACCTAATTTCATGGCAACTTCCGAGATGACCTTTGTGCCGAACATGGTCGTTATTTCAGACAAGGCAGTCATGTCGTCAGGAGATCGGAAGAATGGGTACGAACCACTCAAGATGGACAAGAACATCACTCCAGCAGCCCAAATGTCAACAGCTGTGCATCAAATAATTAATAAAAATGTAATTTAGGAATTTATTTAACTCTTACCAGGTGTTTGTTGGATCGATTTGAGCAAAACCTCAGGTGGTCGGAAGCCAGGTGTTCCAGCCCTTGGGGCAACTAACTTTTTTGTCCTGCTCAGACAAATTTCACACAGTTGACTTTTTTTGAAGCATGGGCACTTTGGCTTAATTGGAGCTGCTGCCTTGTTGATACTGGAGGAAGAGGGCATTGGAGCGTTGAGCATTTTGACCTGCGAGTTCTTGACTCGCACAAAACTGGTCTTGTTGGGGTTGCTGATGGTCTGCGTTGACAACTTGGGTAGTTGCGAAGGTGCCAGCATTTGGAAGAGGGGACCGGTTGTCTTTGACTCTGGCTTTTTATTTGGAATGATGTTCTTTTCGTTATTGTGTGCCTGCAGAACCACTCGGCCAGACGGAATGCAAGCAATCTTTTTTTGGGGCTAAATTTAGAATTGATCAGTTTTAAAACGTCTATTTTATTTTTATAAAATAATTACTGATAGGGCATTTTCGATATCTGCCTTCCTCTTCCTTCCGTTTTCTAAAGCAGTTTCTGGCAAGGTGTTGGGTGGTTTTTTCACCTCAACAGTCTCACTAGGTTTAAGCCACTGAGCAAGCCCGAAGTCAACAAGCAAAAACCTGAAGATAAATGATTTAATTTTCATATATTACATTACAACTTCTTATTTACTTTTTCAACTGTCTATCGTAGAGGAAATTTCCTGGTTTTACATCTCTATGGATGACATTGAACTGGTGCACTCTTCTAAGAGCAATCAACAAGTTTTTAATGTAAAGTCTTGCCTCTGAAGCGTCCATGTCCAAAATATAGTCCTAAATATGAAAATACATTTTAAAAACCAATGAGACAAGATTTTTAAAAAACTTACCTGGAATTTATCATGTCTAATATATGGCAGTATGAAGGCAACATTGCCTTTGTTTCGAACACAACTTAGAATTCCACAAACATTATCAGTCCCGCTGAAAATTAACAATGATTTCCTTATTATATTTAATTTCAAACTAAAATTACCCAATATCTTTCAAAGCTTGCATTTCCTTTTTTATTCTGGAAGGGTGGCAAGTAGGAGTTACGTGTTTTATGGCAAATTTCATATCGGAGTTTTTCTTTGCAGTTGCGAGATAAACAGATGCAAAGGTTCCTTCTCCGACTTTGCACTGCAGTTCGAAATGTTTTGCCAGATCGGGCAGTAGAATTTTAATCTGACTTGCTGCGACGTCTTCATCTACAAATTTTTAATTATTAAATCTCACTGGATTGATTCAGGAATATTACCATCGCAAGATGAACTGCCGTCCTTTTTGCTAGGACTAGAAAATTCTAACTTGTGAAACGATCGAGCTTTGGAGAAGGACGTTTCTAAAAGTGATGACTCTAGGGCGATCGAAGTGTCTGCCAAGGTGGTGTTGGCGGACAATGTCTTGAAACTCAGATCGATGGCATCATCTTTATCTTGATCCCTGTAGAGGATCGACGAAACTGCTGCGGCCGCGATTTGGTAACGCAATCGGTGGTGGAAAGGCAGCACCTCCATTTCACTTCAAAATTTTCCTCACACATAAATTCAGCTGGAGAAAATTAAAAAACACAATTAATTAATGTATTTTATGTATAGAAATGAGTGTGAATTTGAACCTTGAGAATGTAATATGTATAAAATTATTCAAACAACCACATCACTGCAGACGCGGCGCAGACTACAATTATGTAAACAAAAATTAGCGCCAATAATTATCAAAAAGTAAAAATCACTTTATTCTACCTAAAATTTGGGCGAAATTAAATTTTTACAAAAATTATGAGTTCACTAGCTATGTAAAGTTTTGAATATAGCACGGAATAATGAGGTAATTGATAAATAAAGGGGTTAATAATGTTTTTAATGATTGGTACTGCAAACAATAAATTAGCGCCAACTCAGAGCGCCAAAGTTAAGAGTTAAATTTTTATCTAAATTAAAAATAAACAATCAAAAAGTTTTGCTCATTCCTTACCATCACCTAATGAAGGTGTGCCCTGCGCGAGCTTGGGTTGAAAAACCCACAGTTTCAGGGCGATTTTCCTAAAAATTCTGGCAGTGTCCAAAGGGCGCTGACGCTATCCTATTCCCGCTCAGCAGTCGGCATTGCCGCTTTTTTGCGATGCCATCCGGTTGGCAGCGTTGTTTGTAGAGAGTGTACAAAGGAGTTACGAGTAATTCCTAGAATACATATTTTTAAATTAAACATAATACATTATGATATTTAAGATAAAAGAACACCTATAAATTTTAATTTTTTTCTTTTAACCTTGATTGAGAGTCATAAATACAATGATCTCCAAATTCACCTAATCACTTAATTTTTCTTGTGTCTCTTTTGTTTCACTCTACCGGCAGCCCTGCTGACATAAGGGGGAGTGGTCTTGTTATTCCAGTTTTATTAGAACATCTTGAATGTTGCAAGTGTATTGTGGAAAGTGGTGTGATTTTTGCTGTAACATTGTGCGCTGGTTTGGATTTTTGTCCGTAAAATCCAATACCGAAAACTGTCTCTCGCTAGTTAACGCTGTTAAGCTTCAATTTGAATTCTCAAGCTCCGAAATTCGGCCCGAAATGAAGACTTTGACGTTTTTGTTCCTGGTCTGCCTTGCTGCAGCTTCTCACGCTGAGTTGCTTTCTAACAACGACGAGTCGCTCTACGTAGTCGAAGGTCGCATCTTTCCTGCTGAAGGGGAGTCGGCTAGCACTTGGCAGAGGGAAGCCAGGATTTTGGTCAACGGAGGGGAGTACTTGGGATTCTTAAAGTGAGAAATCCTTACATATGAACATTCATCAATGATCAATGGCACTAACCAAATTTAAATAATTTCCAGACACGATGGCTCGTTCATCATCAGCAACCTACCTTCAGGATCCTATATTGTCGAGGTAGCGCATCCCAACTACTATTACGAGCCTGTCAGAATTGAGATCAACACCAAGGGAAAATTCCGAGCTCGCAAACTGAACCACCTTCAACCCTCAGTAGTGGTTCAGGTGCCTTATCCGTTGAAGCTTAAGTCCCTCGGTAGAATGAGATACTTCCAGCAGCGAGAACAGTGGAGGATTACAGACTTCCTGTTCAGCCCCATGGTAGAATATCTAATAAGAAAATTACAATAAAAATAAATTAAAAATTTTCATTCCCAGGTCCTGATGATGGTTCTGCCTCTTGTTTTGATCATGGTCCTCCCCAAGATGATGAATGACCCTGAAACGAAAAAGGTAGGACACAATTTTTCTTTATTTTTATTTTTCTAATCTCGGTTTATATTTTGCTCTTTTTTAACAATTTGGTTGGCTTAAGAAGTTTATTCGCAATTGGTTTAGCGTTTTTTTTTTTTTTTTTGCTTTTTTTTTGTAGAAATAAATACATGAGAATAATGACGCGTCTCTGAAACAGGAAATGGAGCAACTGAATAACATGACCAAGTACGACATGCCCGAGATGTCTGAAATGATTACATCATTCTTTTCTGGTCGCGAAAAACCCAAGCCCGTCAAAGCTTCTAAAGCCAACAAGAAGAGACAATGAAGAAATCGAACTAACTTTCTCTGTTAAATTATTATCATTATATTCTGAACTTCAAAACGTGTGATCAAATAAATAATCGAATTCATGCGTTACCTCGTTAGTAAGTTTCTTCGTTTAAATTGTGGAAAGAAAACAAGCAAGGGGTTTAGTATAGAAGTATTTATTTAAAAACTTTTCAAGCAACATCCTGACACTAAATATAAATACTACAGTTGGGAAATTATTTCCAATATTTTGTTTGATCTATAGATATATTTATAATTTTTTTTTAACTTTTATACCTTTTGTAAATCTTTAGTTTCACAGGTGTGATGAGAGAAAGAATGAGTTTCCATACAATTATTTTTAAAGCTGCAACAATATTTCCATTTTGTTCATATATTCCAAGATACTGCAGTCAAACACACATTGCAGTAATTATGATATGATTTTTTATTTTATATATCCTAATCGATTTCACTGTTAGTTTTACCGGAAATGAGTAAAAAAGCGTGTGCAAGTAAGAATGTGTTGCTTCTCATCCATTCCTTAGAACGGAACCGAAAAATGCAGCAAATCAACACCACCGTGAATTCTCTTTTTGTATATTATTTTTTTCATACACTTGGAGGATTACTCTTCATACAATTTGCGTTTTAATACCGCGGAAAGTCCAAACTCATACACATCTCTTTGAATAGAGAGTAATTTCCAAAGTACAAGTTAGTATATAATTTTTAATTTAATTATTTCGTTTCAACTCTCTTGCCATCAGACTGCTATTAGGGGAGCAAAAAGCAACAAATGGCGCGACCGAAAATTTGATTTTTGTGTGTGTTTATGTGTGTGTTATGTGCAGTAACATTTGAGATTGAGAGATAGAGAAGAGAGTTTATTACAAAGCTATAGTTGTGTTACCAGTTTGAAGTTGCAAGGGGCAAGTTAGATAAACTCATACCAATGAGAATTTGAAAGTTTTGGGCTGATAAGCGCGTCATTAAACTCGTCTGCCATTGCTGATACATAAATTTCAAGCATTGGGGAAATCATAAATATTTGTATAACGCATATTGGTATATAAATTTACTCAAATTTCCAACGATTCCGTAAATTTTTATGTCCTTTTGGTATCTATTGTTATAAGATTTTAAAGTTTGATATCGATTATTGCACCCTATAAACAATTTTTTTCATCAATCAAAGTGAACATTGCTAAGAATTGTGTTCCATAAATCATTCTATTGAGGAATCGTTAGGCAACCAGTCGGTCTCGCGTGTGCCGCCGGTGGTGGCAGGCAAGAAAATCGTTAACATCTCTGTGTGTTCGGTGAGAGTGAATTTAATAAATCGAATAATATTGTGCAAAAGTTATGTTCGAAATGGTTCTCTTCAAAAGAGGACATACATATCGTGTGTTGTATTTGGCAGTTGACTCAGTTAGTAATAGTTTGACGGCTTGTTTTTCGTAGGTTATTTATTTTGAGAGTCCAATATACGATCAATGGCGCTTCGTTTGATTCTCATAATGTAACAAATGGTTCACAAGCACACCATTTCGATAGATATATTTTTTTGAAAAATGGGAGGTTTTGTGCCGAAAATCATTTTAGTGAGATGCGCTACAGGAAAGAGGAGATTCCTAACAACTGCCGGCGCCGTTTATCATTTCACAATCAAAGATTTACACGTTCTGCGGGAGTTGTTCAAGAGGGAATGCAGTTGTGATGAGTTTTCTTTCTTTTTTCAATGCTCTGTCAATATTTCAAGGATACCAACATGAAAATTGTCTTTTAATATCACAGACGAAAAAAATTTATATCATTTATTTACACACATGATGAATATTTCGTAAGCAGTAAATATTTTTGCAATTTCTTGTTCAATATTAAAAGCACTTATCAGGAGAGATTTAGGGTGTGTACAGCAATTATCATCGATCGATATACGCCTTGTAACTTTTCATTTAATGCATTAGAAACAATTACAGAAAATGGGGACAAGAAGTTTTAATTTGTTATATATTTTCTTTCTTTGTATAAGAAACATATATAGTCAGCATTTCATAGAAGTGGCAGAAGAATTAAGAATTTGTGAAAAATCAGTGGTGGTTCCATGAGAGTAACTCATCATCCCTGCGTCGAAAAGTTTTCGTCAATTTATGAAGCATTTTGATTTAGAATTTCGCATTCCCAGCGAGTGTCCAATCATTCAACAGCTATAATATTTTTAGAAAGAGAGCGAGAGATGCGCTTTGATAATTAATTTCATTCTGTACAGCAAACACAACTCAACATTAAATATAGATATACTCTTGAATGAAAACAACTACCGATAGAAATCCACTGCTTATTTGATTATCGAGGTTGATAAAAGAATCGCCAACACTTTGTTTAATAGACTCTGCGTAAATATGTAAACTCAATTCGTCGTAAAACAACAATTATTATAACAGAGAAAGAGAGATTTTATTCCGCGCTTGGGTCATTGTGCTTCTCGAATTCACGTAGATTGGAAAGGGAGGAGATGTCACAGCTCATCAAAACCATCAGAGACAGAAGTAGTTTTGAACGGAAAAATGCTTCATTATACAAACGCTATTCGATAATTTAATGATTTATCATGAAGTAAGTTTTCCGATACAAATGTATCTCCTTCTTCGTCGATAAGAGTTTCGATTTGTAGTATATACAGCGGCACGCACCCTTTCCGATTAAGGATAATTAGTATGTATGAAAAACCGTTTCTTACTTCTATTTTTTTTTATATACTCGTTACACTCGGAAAGTACAGTGGTTCTTGTTCGACGCAACTTGCTCTCACACGCGCACTGTCTTTGGTTTTTTTTCTCAATATTCTGACATTCATCACCGTCATAATATTTGTATGGGATATTCACAGAATGATGCCGAAGAATTTTACCCACTTCTTGAAGTGGGCCGCTTGTTTTGAACAGACGTACATTTTGGTTCTTAAGTTTGGAACGCTTAATTTGTTTCAAGTCTCTTTGGATTTAATAATATACTATTTACACTGTTTCTCGCGGTTCTTTCTTGGGTTCTTGGCGGGGGTTGGGGGGACAATAAATGCTATAAGAATCATCGCACTACGCATGGACTTGCAATGCAATATCGTACAGGCAGCCAATGAATCGGAGGTTTCGTACGAGTGAATCGTGTGTGAGTGTGAATTCTATATCGTTAAAAGGTATTCGCAGGAGCTGCATGTTTTTCTGAGTTTTTAGTAGTAAGTAGTAATAATATAAATGTATTTAATAATGTTTCTATACAATTAGCATTCGTGATTAATTCGTCATATATCCATATTATATCTTTATGCAAAGTTTCCTCGTATATTTTCCTTCTGTAATTAATAAGGTATGAAATATTATTCAGCATATATGTGGCAGTTATTTTTTGAAGAGACAAGAGATTTTCAATCTCTCTTCTTTATAATCTGTTCGCTTCCTTCAATAGTTTCAGTTTCACTCCTCAATTTCTGGCCAACGTGCAGCTTGTGTGTGTCGTGGTTCGTGGTACCTTTTACTTAATTATTCTCAAACGAATCGTTATCGCAGAGTCTTATACGGTTTACTCTAGTAAATGGTCGAGTTCGAGCAGTGTACGTGTGTATATGGTGAATTTGGTAGGATTCTCGTTACATTAAATATGAAATTCAGTAATAATGTGGCAAAATTCACGTGTCATTTCGGAAATTTTCATCAAAGGGGCTGCAAACTGAAGGAAAATTTAGATAATTTTCTTTTTGATTAGAAAAAATTTGATTAATGATGATTCCAACAGTTTGTGGTAAATCGTTTTTACGCCAAAATTTAATACAGCTTTTACGATTTCTCAAGTAAAAACCTGCTTTTTTAAACCAATTTTCTCTTTCAAAATTGTGCTCGACTGATAGATTCCTTTCACGGATTTTGAGTTTCCAGCTCCTTTAATCGATCACAATCCAATGGCGCAAGACACACTAAATTTTTATGCTTATGATTGCATGTGTTTCCGACGCCTGGAGGGGCATACAAAATCAAATCGACGAGCTCAAATCACTCTATAATAATGTAACAAGTGAAGTAACAATTAAATCGTGGTGGTCAACTACAGTATTAAGTACGCAATTAGTGTGTGTGTGTGTGTTGTTGATCCCATGTCGTTGAAATTCACCTCGAATGTCAAAAACCGAATCGATTCATTTCGCCGTGTGTGAGTGTGTGTGTCATTTAGTGATTCAGACAGAGGAGGGTTAATTTGCGGGGGTCGGGGGGTTCGCTCAGATTCGTCTTTAGTCCTACGCAGATTCGATGGGTTTGTTAGCTGGGGGGTGCGGGCAGGGCGTCGGGAGAGGGCGGAATGAGCGGCGCGAAGTCGGAGCAGCTCACTGCGGCGGCTCCCGTCGCGTAAAACGAGTCTCTTCCCTGCCCGCCGGCCATTGGCTAGCACCAGTCATCCTCGTCTGAATCACTGTGGCGCGCGGCGCCGCCGCCGGCGCCGCCCCGACGTTGCTCGCGTGGCGTCGTGTTCGGCGGGCGTCGCTCCGACGAGCCGGGCTTGAAGCCGTTGGGCACCGGTGACGGCAACTGGCGGCCGCTGCCGCTCAACAGGCCGCCGCGGCCCATGGCCATGGCCTGCTCAAAGCTGAGGGGCTCCTCGTAGCGGCCCATGGTTGCCGACACGATTCGGCGGCCGGTGCTGCCGATGCCAATGTAGGGCAGCTCGCCCTTGGGCCCGTGCGTCGGCGACGCGTTCAGCTTGGGAAAGTTGATGTTTGAGTTGGGTGGCGCCGCGCCCGGCTTGACGGCGCCTGGCACCGGCAGGCTGCTGCTGGCCGTCGTTGGCGACCGGTTCAGGTGCGGGAACTGCTGCTGCTGCGGCGAAAGGTGCAGTGTTGACGGCTTGTTGGGTGTGGCCGGCAGCCGTCGGCCGGCGCCGCGTCGTCCACCGCCGGGCGTCAACACCGGGTACGAGTGGCCCGTGTGCGAGTGCGGGTGCGGCGCCTGGCTGCCGTGGCGCCGATGCGAAGTCGGCGACGGACTGCGCGAACGCTGCTCCAGACTTGTGGTGCCGTACTGGTGTCTCGCTGGGGAAGCACCCATCCTGCAAATTTGAACAAATATTCACACATTGTTTGGTTTATCTAACAAGGAAACATAATGAAATTTTAAGACAGAAATTTCAAAAAAATTTACAGAAATCGATCAAAATTAAAAATGAGTTTCTTATGTTTCTTGTGAATAATTCAGTAAGGCCAGGCTCTCCTCGTCTATTATACTCGTTTTAAAAATTTCCGCGTGTCTGAATCTTCTGACTTGTAATTTTGAATTTTGAAGCAATTATGTTGCCCCTTTTCTATTAAGTTCAAAAGTAACAAACCCCAGTTTGAGTTCCGCATGTTATACAAAGATGCATAAAAATCTTGTTTTCAAAAGACTAGGAAGAACCTTGCCGAATTGTCATTAAATAGTTTTACTTTGAGGATGTTTGAGGATTTCCAAAAAAAAAAATCCATACCTCAACCTTGCAGGGTACACAAGCGGCCTATGGTGATGGAGATGTGGTCCTGGTGCCCTGTGTCCCGTAACCATGTGCGAATGTCCGTGCACGTAGCGGTTTCCGTGACCCTGTGGGCTCGGGCTTCTGGAGTGCATTCCGTAGTGCTCTGGGCTGTTTGACAACGACCAAGATCCTGCTCGGGAAAAGATAAAATTCAGTTATCATTTTTTGGCAAATACAGAAACGTGAATAATATTTTAATATTACTATCTCAGCAATCTAAACATTTTATCTCGCGCTTAGCGTCTAATTCTCTGGCTGACTGATGCGTTTCCAATGATAGGTTTATAATTTTTGCAATCATTTTGTGTTGTTTGATGAAGGAACACGTTCAGATTATGAAGGAGAATGACGAGAAAATACGTGAAAAAAATCGGCTCACTACGGCGGATGGGGTCTTTTTGGCCTCGGAAGTTTTAGCAAAATTCTTGCTAGTGGTGATGCCGTTTTGTCCAACAATTTCTTTTTTCCAAAATAATTTATGTTTTTCAACAATTTGTTTGTTAACAATGTGATGTAACAATTTGGACAAATAAACAACAATAATAATCGCGCGGAAGGGATTTATTTGAAATTTATCAAATTTATGATAACTCACCGTGGCCTCTTGCGTGTCTGATGTCGTGCTTGACCAGGTCGACCACGTTGGACACGGTGTCACTGAAACCAGGATGGTGGTGTGGATGGTGATGACCCCTTGAGGATGGCGAACGGTGCATACCGTGCCTGTAGGCCAGACCACACATTGCGAGTCACACGTGCAAAAGTGCCGAAAAATAAGCGATTGGTTAAAAAAATGTTTATTTTTCATTCGGGACAAGAAGTATCAAAATGAGCACATTTTTTTTTTTGGGGATGAATCCAAACAGGGAGAAAGAAACATGCTCCATGAGCTGCAGCAAAATCTTGAGAGTAGGTTTCGTGCGAGCTAAAGTTTGATAATTTTTTTATAAAATTTAAATTGCTCAGACACGTTTTTATTTTTTGGCGGTTTCTGGCATGCTAGGATCATTCTGTTGATCTCTCATTGGCTCTTCGAATTTTCTATTTTGATTTTTTTTTTAATTTATTATTTTTAAAACACTTAACATGATTCATCGTTTCATTTCGCATGCGTTTAAAAAATAATGCATTTTTGAAATTTGGAGATTGGAATTCCATAATGTGAGGGGTGTTGAATGGAATAATGCTTTTCCAGGTATTTCACTAACAAGGGAACGTTTGAACTGTTAATTTTTCATATGCGTAAATTATTTTTAAAAAAGCGTCGAATTCTCACAAAACGTAGGTGAATGGATTCCAAATTTTTTTATTCAATTTATTAATTTGAGTTTCCCTTGTGAGTTGGATTAATGATCATGGTTGTCTGTATGTTCATATGAGTTGTGCTTTTTTAGTGTGCGTTTTTGTGTTTGTTGTGTATGTGTGTGTGTGGAAAGCATGCTATTATTTATGAATTGAGCCTCAAGTCAGTTGTTTTATGGCGGACACATTAACACTGATCACATTCCACTGCTGATGCTGACAAGCATTTTGCCTCGCGTCTGCACGCTCAAAGTTTCAAGCTGTATATAATTATTATCGTTTCCAAGCAGATGCGAAAATGACACACGGAGACGTGTTTGTGGTGATCATTTTTTTTAAATTCATAATGAGAGGCTCATAGCTTTTCAATACAATGAAGGAGAAAAGAAGTGACGGATTTGATGGAGCACTAATATTTTGCAGTGCATGCCATTGCCAGCTCCGCTCACCTTACGTGGTGACCATCAACTTGTGTTGGGGAATGATAGCCACCTTGTTGGGGATGTGGAGGGCTTCCCGCACAAGAGTGCGGAGGCGATCCATACCTTTGTCCAGCACAATTTGTGTGTGTGTTAGTTTTAAAGGTTTTGCTCAGAAGGTTTTGGACTTTTTGGTTATGTTTTTCAATTTATAATTTCTTCAAGTTCCGGAGGTTTAGTTCGCAGGAATTTAATCGGGGCAATCGCTTTTTTAACAAGATAAAAATGAAAACGCACCTTCCATGTCCGTAGTCAGGCTGGAGGTGACCGTGGTCGCCGAGACTTTCCATTGAGGGGTGCGCCGAGAGTCCTCCGGCAACCGCTCCTGCTGTCGTTCCAGCTCCCACAACTACATCAGTCAGTTCCATTGTCTGCAAGGCCAAATTTATCGCTTCAGAATTTTGAAAATGAATCGAAATTGCGAATTGGTCTGTTGTGTTTTGTAATCGAGTGGATGAGAGAAAGTCTGCCACTGAGATTGTTGAGAAAGAATGAGTTTGAATTTTGTTAACACTTATTCAAAATACTCACCAGCTGGAAATGGGATTTTGTTTCAGGGATGCTTTGATGGAACCGTTTTTCAATTTTATTGATATAATTTTATACAGTGCATACCAAAGTGAGTGGAGATGGTCAAAAGAGATATTTGAGTATGCAAAGAGCGTGCAACATGCATAGTAGTAGAGTTCAAGAAACTACAAACTTTTGTTTATATGCATAAATTATTACTTTGGATTTTTTAGTAAGTAAAATGCTAATTTTTCAAGTGAAATTCTACCCACCGTTTGCCTAAAATTAATGCAAGTAGAAATTAATAGTCATTTAACACATTGTATCAAACTGCTGATCAGAAGTAATGAATTGCTAATCAGAAATTCTAAATAATTTAGATATTTTGAATTCGTCTAATCATCTGAGCTTGTCTCATCACTTCTGTACAAAAAGACGCCTAGAAAAATCTACCCTTTTGTGACCAGAAGCATAAAAATAAAATCTAAATCACAAAATACCAAACTTTTCTAATTTTCATTTCTATTTTATGCTTCCAGTCTTGCTAAGTTATTATTTTTTCTGTATTAAAAAAATCTACACAGTATTATCACTACTCAAAAATTGTTTAGAGCTCTAAATAGCCCATGTTGAAAAAATCTATCGACTATGTCTGTATTTTCTTTTCTTTCATATAGACAAAAATATTAATCCAACTATAATAGCTTGAAATGAGCAGTATGCTCACTGTACACGAATTGAGTTGGGAAAAACTGAATCTATCAAAAATATTATCAAAACGGTTTTCAGAACTATCAGTGGGGTGTAGTCAGTAGAACCTTCACCTTATTTTTGTTCCCCCTGGAAAAACAGGCAAAATTTATGAGTCGATGTTCTCCAAATTCGCCTTTCAAAAAATCCCGTCGTTACTGAATTTACCTGAAGCTCGCGTTTCTCTCTACATTGGAGGTGAGGCCGACCTTCTCCTCGTCCGTCCCGTCCTCATGCTTATTCCAAGCCATGTCCATGAGGCAGTTGAAGAACGATGACTTCTGCAGAGGAACAAGGTTTTGCAGTTTTCCTGGTATAAACAGCTCAACCCAGACGATAGCCTCTACTTCACAGACTGACCAATTACAGAGCGTGCAGACCAAACAGATTTAAGCATGCAACGTGCAACACACGATTAAACATCTACGGAAGTGGCTATTTGAGTTTTTGTATTCAAAGTTATTTCAATTTGCAGGCTACTAAATATTTGAGAAAGTGAGGATATTAAGATTAAAAAATTAGTAGATTTTTAGAAAGATATCAGGCAAAAATGCATCGGCAATGACTTTTTTTTATCTTGAACATATTCAAAATTTTATCTATTAAAAGAGCAATATAAGATTGCCGTGTCTACTTTGTTACTAAACTACGATTCATTATTAAAAAGCTTTTCTGTGCTCTAGGTAAGTTTGATTAAGAAGCATTATATGTTGATTACTCATGAGGCTAAGTGATTTAACTTTATATTTTAAAACTACCACCTTGCAAGTTACGCCTTCTACTGAAGTTGTACCAGAGGAATTGATAAATATTATCAAACAACCACTAGAAATGAGAGAGATTTACACATATATTCTAAGTAAGGGAAAATGTCTCTAATTGGTTCTTTTGGACATTTCCCCTTTATCCGAAGAGACAACACCGGAATACATATTTTTTTTTGTATAGGAAAAAATTATAATCACTGGCAAAAGTACACAACAAATATAACCAATAAAGAGAGAGTTGAGGAGCATTTTTGGACGCAAAACTTCTTAGCAACTAACCAACAAAGCCCATCTTTTCAATTTTGAAAACTCTTGTATGATCTGTCCACGTGTTTTATCAAAAGTGTGATTAAAAAAGGGGATTTAACTTAATAGAAATTTGGGAAATCTACAAATCTAGTGGATAGAGATTGAAAAGAAACGCTTTGATTTGATAGCACGGTGTCTCCAAAGGCAGAAGTCTTTCAGCTTTTGGAAACTCCGTTGGAAGAGAATGCACCAAGAATTAAAGAAGAGAGAGTGCTGATGTAAGAGAATGAGAGCAAGCTGAAATGTATAATATAAAGTTCTCGGATTTAGCTCATCACGCAGGATTACAGTTTAGGCATGAAGATGCTTTTTTAATGCTAGCGAAATACGATAGCCTGGCAAAAGGCAGTTTTTTTACTGGGAATTGAACAAATTTTGACCACAGTTAGCATCTCCATACGCAAAAATATCTTAGAGAGAGAGGGTGATGTATAATGAAATTTTACCCCTGGAGGCGAGGGTGTTTGCTCCCCACTCTCATCCTGTTGGAAACACAAAACACCATCACTTAGTATACACACTCAAAGTAAAGTCAGTGGCGAGAGTCTCTTAAAACGACCCAAGACTCGCAAGTACTGCTTTCCCCGCAAGAATGGAAAAAAAACTTTTTCCGATGGAGAGAAAGAGATTGCGCAAATAATACGGATGGCTTGCTTGATTATTGAACTGAGAAACTAGTAATTGTCATGTATATATATTTTCGTGACCTGGCGCTCTCTGAACTTATATGTTAATCATTAGTCTACTGTGGTTCATGCATACAATGACATTTGAAAAGTAGTGTCTGCATCTTGGAAAAAAGAAATTTAAAGAATCTAACAGGTGTGTGAATCACTGAAATTATAAAGATCGTCATATAAAGACGTTCAATCAAAGAAATTGTGTCTTATGTGTGTATTAATTAACAGCGCTAAGTCTACCCAAGATATATATGATATCGTTTATCTGTTAAATATATAATATATTCTATCACACGGAAACTATGACACATAGTCAAGTTTATATAAAGAACAGATATATATATATATTTCAAAATATAAGTTTGACTGACTGCTGAGAGCCTGCCCATTTGGCTTTCTTAGCCCAAATAAGAAGGCTCGGTTTGAAATTCAATAGGAAAGAAATTTCACTCACAGGCACGGCAGCTCCTTCGATTTGGCCAAATCTGGTTGTCTTCCAATTCTCAAGGATGAGCAGTCCGGCGTACACCTTCCCCACCGTCAGCTTCCCTTTGTTTAGCTCTGTTTGAAAAAATTTAGAAATTGATTTTTAATTCTAATTATTGTCACCGTCTGGTTTCGGAATGAGGCAATCTAGCATCTTCTTTGCTTGAAGTGGCCAAATGTTTTGCACGGTTTCGCGCAGTTCTTCGTCTGCTTGGTCCATTTCGTCGGCTGAATTTTAATCGTTATTTAAATTGGTGCTAAATTTGTGTGTCTATCTACTCACCACAACGAACTTTGATACTCAAATTTTCTCTAATCAGGGCGAATAATGTGGTCGTAAAATGCACTTTCATATCTTTGTCTAAAGGCATGTTCATTCTTATCAGTTTCTTGTACGCTAATCTGTTTGGACATTTTCCTCCGAAGCCGAGCGGCGGATCCATGTTTTTCAGCATATCATACATCTCCGTGTACAATATTTTACCCCTGAAATTAGCAAGTGAGACTGACAATGTTAACTAGGATAATATTTCATTTACGTTGCGTTTGGATCGTATTCTGCCCATATTCTCACAAATTCATCCAAGTGATGAGCTCCGAGAATGGACGAGTCTCTTGTTAAATAATCAAAATTGTCCATAATGACTGCGACGAACAAGTTCAACATCTAAAACACGAGTCGGTTAGTAATCTGGAAGGTTCATTCGGTCGCGGCCGGGTACCAAAAAGGAACAGAAAAAGATGAAAGAGACAAAATAGGCGTAAGCAAGGTTGGAGCCACATCCCTCGCCTTCTGGCTTTTGTGCCCGTGGATCACAGGGTCTGCCTTTTATGCAAGACAGCATAATTGATGGCCACGCTTCTCCTGTTGCACACCTACAAATTCAAAACCTTAAATTATTACCTGAAATTTCCTTAGTGTTAAAGTGGGAAAGTTAAACTGACTATGCAAGTCGGAAAGCAATTATGAGATATACGAGTTCGAAAGATTTTTTTAATTCTAAAAATGGAAAAAATCTAAAATTAATAAATTTGCTAACAGTTTTATTAAACTATTTGGACTATTTTATGTTTTTAAATGAGGATTATTTTATGACTTGAAGGGACTTGTTTTTAAAGGAAAGCTAAATTTTACTTAATTGCTTACCAAGAGAAATATGATGTTATGACCTCTAAATAATTACTCAATAACAAAAGCAGCGCGTGTGAGTGTGGCGTGTTTAATGAAATTTATGTCAAAATACGCAACAAAATGCAAAACTACCAAAGTACAAGAAAAACCAATAGTACAGACCTCAAATCTGTGGTAATGAATTACGTGAGTTAGTATTGTGGATGAAGTACCAAAACTACTCTTGTAAAAACATCTCTAAATACACATTGAAAGCATCTACATTAAACGACTAAAGACGTCTGAATAAATTTAACTGTGTTTTATCATTAAAGTATCGCAAATTTTTGAGAGTATAATGGGAACAATTACTCCACACAACAAGGTGAAAGTGATTTTTTCAGTGATTTTTTTGTTTTAGATTGATAATAAAATTCACCCACTTTTAAAATTTTATTATGCGGTCAATCGAAATAAAATAAAATTAGGTATTAAAAGCAGAGAGGTAAATTGAAACAATAACTTTGCTGGAAATCATACATGATTTAAGCGAAGGAATAATTAAATTGAAAAAACAAAAATTTAATTTTTTGATCAAGTTTAAAATCTGTTTTGGATTTTTTCTCTGATTTTACCCACGACACACTTACCTGAACAACAACATAAGACCCTGCACGAAGCTTCTGAAGTTGTTATGCCTTGTGATTGAGGTCTCAGGGTCGAGGGCTATGTTACCAAACACCTGTGACAGTGGCAAATACGCACCCAAATGCTTATCAATCTACTGCATTGCGGCCAAATAATGTTTTTTTTTTTCAAATTAAGATATTCTGCATAAATCCCCGTTTTTTTTCTAACATACGTTCTTTGTTTTGTTTATGTACACACAGAGAAATAAGAAAATGTAATAACTTTGAGCGTGAGTTAGTAAGTAGTGTGTTCACATAATTAATTGCATAAGTTGAGAAACATGTACAGCATTAGTGTCAACGAACGTTAAATAAATATTGTGTTCAGCGGTGATGAACAATTTTAGTGAATGGACAGGAAGTAGCAAGATAATTGTCTAAATGTACCGTATTGGAAACTATATAGATCTGCTCTAATATGTATTTGGCACATTTAATTAAGGATCGGTTAAGTTAACTAAGATTATTTGGAATCAACTACCATTAAACACAGAGTAATTATAGTATCAAATACAGCGAGCTGACGTACTCTAATTATAAGTAATTATCCAACAAAATGTATAATTTTCTGAAAAGTAGCAGGCACATTTTTACAAACTAATAATATATACTGCTGCAGTTTTACCACTAATGGCTAAGCTGCTGACTCCACAAGGATATCCAATTGATTAAGGCGGCTGGAACATGTGAATAATTTTGGCGTGGTCCGCGAGTGGAATGAGCACCTTACGAGATATAATTGCTTAATGTTTACAGTAAGTAATTTTGACTGCAACACAGTGTCTAAAGATGTGTCGGCGATCGTATACGGCTTCGTCAGGTCAACTAATCAGTGAATCAAATTAAGACACTGGCAGAGCGCTAAGAGTCATGCCTCATCTCAAAAAGGTTAGTGGGCGAGCATCTTATTTCCCTTTCTATATATTACACAAGAATTGGTGAGTAAAGAAGATGTGCATTGATTTTAATTGAGTCTCCGATTATATAGTCTTATAAGAAGCTAAGTAAGAGAAATAAGAAGCAAGGGAGTCTACTATAGACATTGATACAAGACACCAATTAACTAACAATGAAACTCTGTTTCAAATTACTGCTCAAAAAGCAACCACATATAGAATCACCTTGTTTTTCGTCATTGATCGCCCGATACCTGAGCTGCAAAATTGGCTAATTGTGAACTGACAGAGAGAATTGCGGGGGCTTGATTTGCTCAACAAATTTACACCGGAGACCGAGCTACTGCTTTTGCTTTTAAACGAGGGCCGACTCGGACTCACCGAAACAGAAGCAATAGTGCCCCAAAGAAGGTCTGAAAGTTGTTATGGCGATTCAGAGCTGTATCGGGATCAAACTTCATGTTGCCAAAAACCTTTAGTGCAACCAAGAAGAATAAAAAGAGAACATGAAACAAGACATTAAACTAGATTAATCAAAACTGTTGATGAAATTCTTAAGATTATGCTAACCTATAACAATAAGGATGTGTAGTTATTTAATTAATATAGATAGACGGAGTCTACTCCTGGAACTAAATTATTGACTATTCTTGCTCTAAAGTGAGAACTTGCGGCCGAGTCGTAAAAAATTTTAATTTTAATTAATCAAACGACCAGTTGGCAATTTCTCACAGCTAAAGTCATTTATCCAAGGGCATGCACTTGTTCTGCTTGAATATCTGCCTCTTTCAGCTACTTAATATCTCGTCTAGATTTATCTGCTAGGAGAGAACAAATGTGTATGTCTATTGGATAGAACGGGTCCGTTATTTTTGCTCTCGCGCAACTTCAAAAGTTCTCGCATTGCGCTCTGCCGTTTAATCAACGGTTAATTCTGCGTGTAAAATATAAGCCCCCAATAGTTTTCTTAATTAAAATAAATAAATCGTTTTCATTTTAATTTCTGAGTTTGTTCTTACCTGCATTCCAATGATGGCATAGATGAAGAACAGCATGGCAATGAGCAAACATACATAAGGCAAAGCCTGGAAGTATAAGCGAAAAAATTAGCATTTTATTTTAATTTATTTATTTTTCACTTAGGCGTACCTTGAAAGACTGTACAAAGGTCCACAATAAAATTCTAATGGTGTAGCCTTGGCGGAGAAGTTTGATGAGACGAGCAGCTCGGAACAGTCGCAAGAATCCGACGTTGATTGAGTTTTCCTGATTAGGAATGTTTTTTTTATCATGCCCAAATAAATTCCATTAATTGTTTCTTACCCCAAACTCTACTACTAACGCGTCAACTATGCTTCCTATCACAGTGATGAAATCGAATGTGTTCCACGGGTCTTTAAAGAAATTCTGCGGAAGGGAGGAAAACGTTAGTAGGCGAAGGGTTTTTATTTGAAGTCAATAAGGAACTCGCAAAATCAGTTGAAACTTTGCGGGCCCATTATCGAGAGGCTTAAAAATGCTTATGTTATCGTGAAATATATCGAAAAAATATTATAGTTATGCAAAAATTTGCGCAAAACATAGAAATTCAGGAAAATTATTCCAGAAATTGTGAGCTCTATTGAAAAAATTGAACGAATGCTTGACTATGAAAAATAATATACTCACACAAATTCACATAATTAAAAGTAGATTTAGTTTATGAAAGCGATTTTTCAGCCTCTTACTTAAGTCTAACAACTTTTACAGTGATTCACTCAAAATCGATTGCGTGTTGCTCTCAAGATTTTGCTTTGCATGTTGGTTGAATTGTATATCACTGTGAAAGTTACATACGGCATGCAGATTTGTGCATTTCAAACCATCACGAATGCGAGTACTTGAAAAATAATCCGAAACTTCTCTTTTTTTTATTTTTTGTTAATCAAAAATCATCTTGGAAGCAGAAAGCTCAATCAAAAATCAATTAGAATAAATTGCTTTATTCGCTATCAAAGTTTGGCGTCTGCGTTTAAAAAGCCCTTGAATCTTAAAAAATGTTGATTATGATCTCAGCGAATAGATTGAATAAGGGGTGGATATATTGCTCAAAACTACTGAATTATTAAGCATGCATTAATACTTTAGGCAAGTCCAAAGATTTATTCAATAATTACCCAGCAGCAATAATTAGATAATGAGTAAGCATGCAAGTCCTCCACTATACGATTTAAATTTAGCTGATTAATGGAGGAGGAGGCAGGTTTGCGTGTGAATAATTAATTGATAATGTGTATGATAGAGAAGAGAACGTGAACTGAAGTGCGTCATTGCAGAAAACAAAAGAGGTATATAATATATATCAAATATGTATATTTAAAAAGATAAAAACGAGTGGAAATTCACCTTTAACCCATAGGCTAATATTTTTAGTATAGTTTCTAACAGGAAGAACATTGTAAAGATGTTATTGGTCATTCCTAGTACATCGGTGAGCATCCCAGGAGCATCATGATACTAGGATATGTCCGCGCACCGGCAGATAAAATAATGAAAAAAGAGAACAAGCAGCAAAATAATTAATCGTGCACACAGTACTAGTATTAAATATGATAAGTAACAATATATATGTTGTATGATTATCTTTTTATGTCAGTTATAATCAACAACTAGTAACATCTGGCATGATTAAATAGCAACTTAGCGATAGGTTTAATGACAATTAAGAACGAGACTAGGGGACAACAGCCTAAATCTGGCTCTCTACAATTACAGCGGCGTGATCGTTCATTAATTCGCGTCACGCCGCAAACATTAATTGACTTTTTACACTCGTCAGTTCTTAATTCTCACACGGACGCTGTGTTCGTTTAGTCGGTTTAGACACTAAATTAAAAATATAGAGGAGAGGGCGAATATAATTAACTGTGGTCTGTGTGTAAATATTAATTAATGACGACGGGGGCCGTTGCGTCGAGCGTTTTTCAGCGCGCCAAAACGGACACCCCGTCGCCGTTCTAAATGTATACTCGAGTATGTTCTTTAAGAGAGGGCATACTTTTCTAAAATCAGAAAACATTCAACTGCAATATATTGGTATATATGTAATGAATGGAAATATTAAGATGCGATATAGAGAGTATCAAATATATATATATAATAGGTATGTAATACAATGAACTCAGCAGGTCAGCTGCCTGTAAAGGAAATAATTATGTTAAGTATGTACATACCAAAAGAGACAAACAGACAAAACAGTCAAAGCGATGCACAGAATTAATGTGCCAAATAAATAGTATGCTAATTTGCCGCGATGCAACATTACATACACATCCAAGTTGTGAAAACATGCCGACGACTAATTAGCGAGCGCCGTTCTACACAGAAATAATTAATTCCACTTGCGTGCCACATCACAATTAGCAGCTTTTCAAACGCATGCGGCAAGCAGTTTGAGAGGTCAATTTTTTCCAAACGGGAGATGATGGCACAGGACTCTAGGATCATGGATTCAATAGCTTCTTCTTTTCTTTTTAATTCACCTTTACATATATCCTTTTGCTTCACGAATTGAAAATTAATTAATTAATTAGTAGCTAACCCCGGTTTTATTTTAATTGGTTTGAGAATTTTTTCTGTTTTTTCGTTATTATAGAGACGAGACAGTCGAGTCCAGATTGCGAGTTGCAGGTTGATTATTACCTTTACTCCAAAGGCCAACACCTTAAGTGAACACTCTACGGTAAACATGGCGGTAAACCCTGTATTCATGTAGTGGAGCGTCTCCCTTTGAATTTTGCCTTGATTGTAAAACTAGAAAGTTGAAGAAGACATACCAAGAGAATTATCACAACATATTCCTCCACAGTTACATTTCACAAGAAGACATCACAAGTTTTTTTTTCAGTTGGAAAATTGATCAGAGTATATATTACGTGTGTGTTAAAATCTGGTTAGTAAAAAAAGTGTCAAATGGATTGTGTTTGAAAAACATGATTTTTTTTTTAGCAAAAATAGTGAGTAGGCATGCGATATATTTGAACGTGTGTGGTATATATTTAGCGAGAGATTTAGTAATAAATTTTAAGCAGCGAGTGTTATGTTTTGTTTCCAAAGAGTTTTTGTGCAACAAAGAAGTAGTGTAAGTTCGAACCGCAAAGTCATAAGAGGACATTCCATATAAAATGAACAATCAGATAGACAGAGTGAAAGGCTTGAGATGGTCACACGCCATTGGTAAGCCAAAAGTAAGAGTTAATAAATCAGATATATAAGAAACTGGAACACCATGCACCAGATTCAATGCATTTCCAAGAGATTTATGAGACAGCAGGTGGGACAAAACAAGAAATGGTTATTTATGGCCAAGTTTAACAGAAAATAAAAATTGCAAGCAAGATTTTATCAAGAGCAAACCATTGAAAGAACCGAGGTTTTATTTATAAAAAAGTACATTCGGGATAAAAATCAATGGTTAAAATTTAAAAACAAAGAAATGGGGGAGATTCCGTTGCAAATTCAATCAAATTTAAATGCATGCAAAAATGGTATTTAAAATTTGTGTTCATGTTTAGGAAATTGCGGAAGATTTTTTTGTGTCTTAAATTTTAAAAGGGTTTGCATGTATATATTCAAAGGGCATGCATTTTAAATTTCAAGATGATTTTTCAAAATTATTCTCAAGGTTAGTTTGTTCAATGCGGGATGTTTTTGTTTTCTTTTGGAAATGCATTTCAACAAGATGCAAAGCATGCAAGTGAAGAATATATAGGTCGTAATGATAAAATTTGTAGTTTGGAAAAGCGTTTTAAGAAAAGTTAAAGTCGATTAAATATATAAGTTGTGTCTTGCAATATAAGTAACGATTAAATCGGCAACGATTCAGCAATCCTGAAAGTTGTAATTAGTTTTGTGGAGAGGAATGTTTCTTGTGTCATATACAGCCAATTTTTGTGTCTGGTGGATGAATTTCGTTCTGCCTTGAAATGAGATTACACACGAGAAGAGCGAAACTGAATTCGCACTCCTTATGTGTTTTTCTGGTAATTTTTCAACATTAATTTTGGGTTGATGATTTGCGTTGGAAGTGTGTTTGAAAAAGATTACCTTCATCATCAGGAGTAGCGTGTTTAAGACGATCAACAGCATGATGAAATATTCAAACGGCGAGGACACAACCACTCGCCAGATTTTGTATTTGAAACTGTTTCGTCTGTTGGGCATGTATCTCTCCAAAGGTCTGGCACTGATCGTGAAATCAATGCAGGATTTCTGAACAAACAGTTTTAGGCGAATTAAAACAAAATAATAATATTCAAATTCAAACCTGGTTTTTGTCTATTTCTCCATCCTGCAGTTCGGCCTCGCCCTGCTCTTGGAAGGTGATAATAATCAAGGCTACGAAGATGTTCACGAAGAAGAACGGGAACACTACAAAGTAGACCACGTAGAAAATCGACATTTCAATGCGAAAATTCTGAATGGGTCCCTCGTCCTCGTATGTAGCCGCCATCGAGTTTTGCAGCACTCTGAAAAACAGATATATTGCAAAATTTTAAATTTGGCAAAAAAATATTTGATGGAGATGCGTCATCAAATATTTACTCCCACTTAAAATGAAAGAATTTATTTTAGGATCGCGTGCAAGTATTAAAACCAACATAATTTTGCTTAAAACTGCATCATTTGGCCTTAAATAATAAAAAGTTTATTATTTAAAAATTATTTTGGTTTTTTAAAACCTCCCTTCATTATTTCGAGATAATTTAGTTATTTTTATCCTTACTGAGGCCATCCTTCGCCGGTCTGCACGGCGAACAGGGTTAGCATGGCAGCCATAACATTGTCATAGTGGAAGCTCTGCTGTCTCCACTCCCTAGGGGCGGCCGACGGCAACTGGTTTTCAGAGTCGAACTTGAAGTACTGGCCCTGGCAGTCCTCGGCAGTGTGTTTGCTCTCGTCCGTGCAGTAGAAAAACTTGCCGTTGAACAGTTGCACCGCGATCACAGCGAAGATGAAGTGGAACAAAATGTAGACGATCAAGATGTTGATGACGTTCTTCAGCGAGTTGATCACGCAGTCAAACACGGCCTTGAGCTTCGGCACTCGTTTAATAGTTTTCAGGGGTCGCAGCACGCGCAACACCCTCAGTGATTTGATTGTACTTAGGTTCTGACCCGCAGAGCTTCCTCTGTAATATTATTTTTATTAAATTAATAACATTCAATAAAAAAAAAAATTTAAATGTTACGTCATGTCAAAGCCGAATGACACGGCGGCGCATATCACGACCACTGCATCCATGATATTCCAAAATTCTCTCAGGTATGAACCGGGATGTAATATTACGCCTAAATCTACAATCTGCAAAAAATTAAGGTGTAATAAAATAAGTTAATTAAGAATTTAGAAAAACGCATATTTTTCTAATTTAAAAATAAAATTTAATTGAAATTTTAATTTTTGGTTTACCTTTAAAAGCATCTCTATCGTGAACACACCAGTGAAGGCGTAATCAAAGTAATTGAGAATGCGATTTCTGGTGCTCTCTTCGACCACAGGGTCCTCGGCAGCCAGAGCGATGGAGCTCAAACTGATGACCACCATGATGAAGAAGTCGAAGTAGCGCAGATTTACGACCCAATGGGCTGCTTTTCTCAACCTTTAAATCAATTAAGTTTAAACAAAAATCGTAAAGTTTTTATATGATTTTTTTTTACGGATTTGTGGAGGTGAGGACGAACATGGACGAGTAGGGCAGCATAGGTTTTGGGCCCTGCTGGTCGTCGTCGCCCATCTTTTTATCCTCATCCTTTTTGGCAGGCTTTTTGGCTCCCCCTTTGCCACCCCCGCCGCCTTCCCCTACCATAGGGGTGCCGTCGGGGTTCATTTGCAGAGCGTCGATCTCCTTTTCCAGCTCCATTAGTTGTTTCTTAAAAATTTAAAAAGTATTAAAATAACAATAAATTAAAGACTTTTTTGATACAAAATTTAAACTCAATTTTTTCTACTTCCAACTCTCAAAAATTTTGTCAATCTAATCTAATTTAAATTCTTATATAAAGGTTATTGGAAAATCTAAATAATAATTGTTTTAATTTACAAGAATAAAAAATTTATGCTTTGTTTTAATTTATAATATATATTGTTTTTAATTTAATAATTAATAAAGTATAAAATCATTAACATTCTTTATGATTAATTATCAACTATCAATCAGTAAGAAAAAAATGGAATTTTTAAAATTATCTATAAATTAGATTGATCAATGTCACGCAGGTTGCATACTCATGAAAAAAAATAGAAAGTATTACCTCTTTGTCTTCTTCCTCTTGCTCCTCTTCAGCAGCAGTCAGTTCTTGAGCGTTCGCCAAGTTGTCGACAGCGATAGCCAAGAAGACGTTCAGCAGGGTGTAGTTACCGAAGAGCACCAGAATGATGAAGTACAGCGAGTAGATCATGCCCTTTTTGTGACCTCCTTGCGACAAAATTCCTTGGTACATCACCTCGTTCCAATCCTCGCCAGTCAAGATCTGACGAAATTGACAAATAAATTAATTTAAAAAATTTCAAACCAAAATTTCGTACTTGGAAGACCGTAAGCAGTGCAATGGGGAATGTGTTGAAGTTGGTGGGCGGTGTTCCATCGTCAAAGTTGAATGCTCCCCCGAACAATTGCATGCCAAGCAGTGCAAAGATCAGGATGAACAAGAACAGCAGGAACAACAGAGAAATGATGGATCGCATCGAGTTGAGCAATGATATTACGAGGTTCCTCAGCGAAGACCAGTACTTGGTCACTTTGAAAATGCGCAGCAGTCGCAAGGCTCTTAGCACTGAGAGACCGAACGATCCAGATTTCAGTTCTGACCAAACAACTTCAAAAATAGAGCCACTGATGACTACACAATCGAATCTATTGAATGAAGACTCGAAGTATATTCTTGGTCCTAGTGCGTACATTTTTATAAACATCTCCATCATGAATAGTCCTAAAAAAACATATTCTGCTATATCTGTAATCAAACGTGGCGTGCGTTAGGATCCGAAACGGAAATTTCTCATTCACTGAATTTCTCACATAAAAACGATGTCAGCCACGGCGGCTGTCCATAGTGTTCTACTGCTACACAGGCTGTGTTGAAAAACACAAGTACAATGACGAACCAGTAAAACCACTGCTGTTTTACTGTGTGTCGTATCCAAAATCTGTAAAAAAGGGAGGTTTGATTATTTTTTCAAAAAAAATTGTAAATTGGTTTTGTGCTCACCTTAATCTCTTCTCTTGTCTCCAGAATTCTACACAGGCTCCTTGGTTTTTTACTGTTGTCAGAGACCCTGAAAGCGTGTAGCGAATCAGGTGAACAAAGCCAGAGCTGGCACTTAAATTTACGGACTAGAGCTACCAGCAAAGTACTTTTGAGATAATGTATATGGAAACTTGAAATTGGTACAAAATATGAGCCAGGCACTCCAATTCAAATTTCTAGAGAAATTGCGAGTGCCTGTTGATGCGTCACAAATCACAAAATTCTATAGATCAAATTACTTTACAAAAGCATCAACATTATTATAAAAATGGATAATATTTTTTTAGGAAACTAATTTTCCTTATTAGCTACGGGCCTGAATTACGGACCATTTTTTTTCAATATAATTTTTTTTATAATATGAATAATTATAAAATTTTGACAAATACTGCAAACCAACAAGCATCACACAACTCATGTTAGTCAGCCTAAGTATCTTAAAAATATGCTAATAATATAGTTTTAAGTTAAATGTGAGTGAATGCTACAATGCAAGGTAATTTCTAACTCTAGCGCATTTGAAAGAAATCTATCCTTGATAAGTAAGTAATGAAGGGGTTCTCTGAATGATTTGTGGAGCTATTCATGGAAACTATTACACTTTGCAATGTACACACTCCACAAATATTGCCTTTGAATGAAAATGAAACTTGCTAAAAATATATTATGTAAATAAAATTTAAACAGAGGCAAGAACAGTAGTTAAATTTTGAAATATTTTCTCGGCCAATGGTATTATTGGTATAATGTTTTTGCCCCTTTTGAAAAGAGAAAAGGTGATGTACAAAAACTGTTGAGAAACAGTTGACATTATGCACCAGGACTGTTAACCATGCTCTTCATATGTATAGAAACAGGGGGCATATATATGTATAAAAAAACTAGCGACACAGCCAGAAAAATTAATCGTGAAGCAGAACGAAAATAAAAAACCTGTTGATGCTTTGTTTCAAAACGTACAAAATGTATATTATATATGTATGAAAAATTGTTTCAGGGCCTACGAGGAAGGGTTGAAAAGTTTACAGCAGAATAAATACATAGCAAATAATGCCATTTTCACAGTAAAAAAATCATCAGAGGAATAAACATGAATGGATATATGAAAAGTTGCTGTCGAAATGCGTGAACAAAGGATAAGGACGAACAAAGGAAGACTTTCAGCACTTTGCTCGGCGCAAATTTGTATCGCAATTTGTCGAGAGGGAGGTTTATTATGAGAGAGTAAAAGGGATTTTTTTTAATAATAAATTGTATTATATAAATGAGAGATAATGTTGCACTACGAATTACAAAACTACTCAAATCAGTCGGCATACTGATAAAAATTGCAAAATTGGGGAGCTTCAGCTAAGTTACCCTTCCATACCTTTACTTTTTTTCTTATTAGGCACTGAAACAAAAAGCGAAATAATAACTTTAGAAAAATGATTCTGACTTGAGAACCTCTCTTTTTCTATTTTATTATAGTTATTTTTCCTATAGGCACAGTTATATTATCATTTTCAATATGACTGCAGAGCAGAGTATAATTATTTAGAGTATCTAAGTTCTAATTTATCAAAAAACCACATTTAGTTCGAATAGAAATAAATCATTGCAACAATATGTTGTACGGCAACAAAATCTTTCTATGTCTGTATATAAGGAAACACCAATCACATTAAATTAGTCCTCTAATCGGCGGCTGATCAAAAAACCAACCGATTTTGACCAAAAATGAAAATCCAACATTAATCAAATTCTACCAGATCACAGAGAATAATATAAAATCATCGAGAAATCATAAGAGATTGATTTAAATGAGCCTCACCAACACCAAAAAAATTATTTATGAGCACCACTTTTGCTGCAACGAGAAAGCTCCATTTAATATTTCGCCTGGTCTTGATTTATTTAATGGGCAATTTTAGTAGTTTAGTGCATTAAATTCTGAGTCTGCATTCACAAATTTTGAAATTTAATTACTTAAAAAAAAAAATCAAAATTATCGACTATCCGCATGTGGGTAGAGAAGAATTTTGACTTTAGGGTCCGATAGCCCTGTCAGCTAATTGCATAATTTTGTCGCTCCTTGCACTTTTTTGGTAAAATGTGCGGGGAGGGCAAATCACTCACCATCGTCTCCTTCCTCTTCATTCTCCTCTTCCTCGGTGTCTGTGCTTTTGCTTTTGCCCAGGTTTTTCAATTTTTTGCGCTTAGCGGCTGCTCTTCTCCTCGCTGAAAATATTCACAGGTGAACTTCCGAATTTATTAAAATTATTGAATCCAAACCTTCTATTATATGCATTTTCTCTTCGTCTGTCGTTCTCTCTTCTGCTAATATCACTTCCTCTGAAATTGCACCAAAATTAGCGTCCGCTCGGTCCGTTTCGTGTTTCTCTGGCTAAAGAATTTTAGTGCCGATATAATTACCTGCTCTACATATCCACTCTACGTATCCATTCAACTCTCGCTCTAACTGTTGCGCTCTTCTAAGCTTCAAAAATGTTTGTCTGTTTTCTACTTTTTCTCTCTCTTTTGCAAATTCACTGTGGACAACAAGCACAAAATTGCAAAGCGTTGAGCTTACTTGTACTTACAGAGTGTGAATGTAGCTGTACGTTTTTCAGAATATAATAAATTAACTAACCAAAAATTACTTCAAACTATATATAAATGTACAAGAATAAATTTAGGACGGGGAATTTACAACGGATTTAACAAATTTTTTAATTTTTCAAAGAGAAAGTGGCGTCCACGTAAAAAATGAGAAAAAGCTTTAATGAAATCATACAATGTAATGATATCTATTGCAAAACAAGTTTGGGGCCCAAAAATTTGTAATTAACCAAAGAAAATATTTATGTTAAAATTAAAAAAGGGAAAAGATCTTAGTATAATATATTCATTTATTTATGTATATAACTTTTCCCCTAAATAAAGGGCTGAAACTTTTTTTGCAATAAAAAGATAAGATTTTATTATTAAAATTAAGTGTCAGATTATTTGAACGCCATTTTCAATACTTGTATTGTGTGCGATATAACCTTGATACAAAATTAATATGATATTACGGCCAGAGGCGTTTTTAGCTTACAGTAGATACCTGCTTGGCATATCCACTCGAGATATGCTGCATACGCATCCACGAAATGCTTTTTTTCACGCGCCCTTAGAAATTGCGACTGCCGCTCAACTTTTTTTCTTTGATTTGAGAACTCTCTTTTTGGGGAGAACAAATTTTTAGAAATAAACAAACAAAAAGAACTCAAGAAAGTAGAAATTGTTTTAGAAAAATATTTTCAAGTTTTTCCAACTTACCCGCTAAGAACACCGAGAACTAAATTGAGCATAAAAAAGGAACCTATGACGATAAGTGGTACAAAATATATCCAATTGAATGTGCTCCCTAAAGCATCATTTGTCTGGAAGCAAAAAATTCAATTAGTTCCGATTTTTTTTTTTTTTTTTTTTTTAATTTTTTCACCCACCCAATACAACACCTGGGTCCACCCCTCCATGGTAATACATTGGAACACAGTTAACATAGCGAATCCTATGTTATCAAAGGACGTTATCCCAAAATTGGGGCCTTCCCAGTCTTCTAGGCACGTGGAGACGGACGAGTTACACACGTAACTGCCCGCAGGCGCTTCTGTCTTGTTGTCCGTGTTACATGGCGTTGCCCATTCACCCTCTTTGTACACTCGAGCTGCGGAAAAGGTGAAAAACGTGCGTGAATTTTACTGCCACACCGGCTGTCGAAATTGTTAGCAGGGCAATTTAAATTTTATATAAATTTATTTTGAAGTGCTAGACGCGTTTAATTTTTAACTCACTGAGTTCCTCGAGACTGTAACACGTTTTGTGCAAGGCCCCGCAGTAAAACTCGAGCCCAATGATGGCGAATATAACAATGGCGAATAACACGAGCAGGCCTATCTGCAGCAAGGGTGCCATGGCTTTGATGATGGACTTCAACACCACTTGCAGACCTGTAGGGCGGAGTGTTTGTTAGAAGAGAATTTTGCGACACAAAATCTGGATGAGAATTTTGAGGGGAGAACGTGAAAAAAATTTGAGTTGTCTTTTGTTCTAACAAAAAGCAGAAAAGAGGACTAAGCTAAAGAAAAACACTAGACTATAGTTTTAATATTGAGAAGTAAAGTGACATTAAGTTAAGCGCCAATTACATTGTTCCTAAAGTACTTACTGGGAATCCCCGATACTAATTTGAGAGGTCTAAGCACTCTGATGGCTCTTAAAGTCCTCAGATCAACATCTAAGTCATTCTGAGGAAAAAGTGTGATGAACCTGCAAGCAACTCAACTACATCACTACCTATTGCATTACAGATCAAAAATGTATGTAGTCTTTTGCAAAAGATAGTCTTAAAAATGATATATATTTGGCCTAAAATATAGATAGGACTAGTACAGTAATTTACAACATTATATAAATCTCTGATATAAAACTAGCCGCATGCCTGCTCTGAAATACAGAAGTAATTTAATATCGATAGTCTAACTCATCTAAAATTCTAAAACTCAAACTATGTAAGAGTTTCTAGCCTTGACCTGACTAAAAAAACTAACGTTTCTAGTGACTAATTTCCTCAATAATTCCTTCTGAAACTTTAAAAGTTCTGACAGAACTGTAGATTCTAACAATTATTGCAGTATATTTTTTCTTTTTTCTAGTAAGGTCTATCACAGATTAATCCTGTTAGTATACAAAGCAGAATTAGAAATAGGCAGTAGTATTAGCACTATACACAGGAAGATTTTTGGGCAGATTTCTGAGCTTATTGAATGTGTCTTTGAAAAAGAATTTAAAATATATTTATTTTCAATTAAATTTTTGACAACTTGCAAATCTGCATAACTTCAAAATAGATGAAGATAAAATCAAACTTGGAGTAATTTGATTTGAATTTTTAAATAAACATTATGTTTGAAGAGTGACATTTTACATGTAGAGCAAAAACCTTCCATGGACTATTGACGATCAACACACACACGCTTTTTGAAAGAAAACTGACAGACTGGATACAGCTAGAGAGTTGGTAATTAATTTGGCAATAATTATGTATGTATGTGTACGAGTAAACTAGCCACACGAGAGACAGATAGCGCCAACAAACCAAGAGCTACAATTCTGCGCCACGACTTATTTAATTTGACTTCTGCACACGCCACACAAAATAATATATGTATACGTATGTAAGTGACAAAAAGAGAGCGGTTCAGACGTGATGTTGCGAGAGTTGTGTGAGCGAGTCCTTACTTGGTATTCGAGAGACCAATTTGAGGGGACGCAATACTCGAAAGGACCTCAACATACGTAGATCCATATCTACATTTGTCTCTGCGAATATTGTCATGGACCTACGCAGGAAAATTTATACATAATTTACATTGGATTTATACAACGGTTTCCACAAAAAAGACAATGCATCAATTACTTTGGGTCCGATTATTTTATGTATTTCTTGGACATTAATATGATTTTGGGTGGAATGAGTGTGGTGGCCAAATAATGACATGAATTATTGAAGCTTCACTTTCTGAACGTGAAATATATATTACTACTCATTATTTTGCCCAAAAAATGCACACCAAAGTTTTGTACAATGTTCAATAATTACAAAAAGTATAGCAAGACATTTTTTTATATTACAAATTCTCTTGAGCCACACGGGAATTTTTTTTCAGGACCCTGTTTGAATTCCAAGACTTAAAAGATTTTAACGATTTAATTTCTTATTTAGTATCTTCCTCTGTTGGAAAAAAATTGTTCAAAAAAATAAATAATTGAAAGCTACTGCTTATTTTTATTCAAATATATCAAAAACCAAGAGCGGAAACCAGTCTATTCAATTTAGGGTTGGTCACCCTCAACTTTTTGTGGGATAAAATGTCATGTTTTTCAATAATTTTAACTTTTAACCACACTCTTTCCACCTTCGATCAATATAATACTTTTTTGTTGATGCACAGCCCAATTAAATTGAAAAGAATAAATAATTAATCAGCTGAAAACATTTGTGCAATTATGTACAAAAGAAGAAAATTGCGTATTATTCAAAAATACAAACAGCGGCAAGAGAATGACGATCCCTCGAGTGCGATCAATAAAACAAAACGCGCCGCGACGAGCGCTGTAGAAACTCTGCAATACAACATAAGCTGAAATATACTGAAAATATGAATTCGATGCGCTGCTTCACTCCGTCCTCCTTTTTGCTAAATATGGCCTTTTTTTAAGTTATTTAAAGTAAAAGATTGAAAGTGACACTCACCCTGTGACCACTACAACGAAATCCATCATGTTCCAGATATTACGAAGATAGGAACGAGGATGAAGAACAAATCCTAACGCTAGTATTTTTAATGACGCTTCAACACAAAAAATTCCTAAAAAGTAAGGTTCAGTCAGCTCCTGCAAAATGAAAACGGAAATCAGTTCATGTCCAGATAATGGTTTTGATTCAAATTACCAATTTCTGGGCGAGGATGGTGCGGTCCCCATTTGGCAGATGTTCCTCCAGTGCGAGAACAATGCAGTTTGCAATAATTGTCAGCAAGACAGCGTACTCGAAAGGAGTGCTTAGGAATCAAGGAAAACTCTGACGTACATATTTTTCACAAAAGGTTCACATAAATATGAAGAAAACAATAATTAAAAATAAAACAATTATTTTTTGCTGAACTTTACCTAATTAATTTGATTTTTATATATTTGTTTGTAATTTTGATAATAATTTCATGTATCATTATTTATTTATTCATGTTTTTTGTCTTTATCAAATAAAATTTTTTAATGGGTGTTTATATAAAGTGAATAAATTATTGTTAAATAAAAATTTCTAACTAACTGCCCCTTAACGAGAATAATAAGCTATAAAAATACAAATAGTATCTTGGGATGTATGACTTCGAATGTGACATAGGAAAAAACGATATTTATCTTGCAAATAATTTAAAATTCTAAAGTTTGAGACCTTTGACGATTTTCACAAGAGCGGATTTGAAGCCAAATTCCAGTGGGGAAGTTGATGTCAGCAATAAAAATATAAAGGGCGGCGGGCAGAGGCATTACATTTTACGACGGGGATGAAACCAAGTAAAGCTTTTATGCATATTTTTATTGTGTGCGGAAAACACGCTCTCCATGTGTGGCGAGCGAGCGAGTCACTGGAAAATCAAGACTGCGTGTGCATTGCAGCAGCATTGATCTGTCTCTCCGCATCTCCGTGATGTGTGTACATTTTGCGGGGGGCGATTCGTTTTTTTTTTATATCGCAGCACATATATTGCAAAACTGGCTGTGTATTTATAAAAAAAAGAAGTCACGATGGCACAAAATGCGCGCGCAGCTCTTTTGAATAAAGAATAAGTGGCGTGTCTTGCAAATCGGGAGACATGTCAATGTATGCTCCCCTGAATGAGCAATGTAATTTTCCAGTCGCGACTTTAAGAGAGAGCAGAATGTAAAAAAAAAATCAAGAATCGGCTGCCGGGCCCACCTTTGAGCGAGCGTATGAAATCGCGAGAGCGAGTGCAGCTCTCTCTCCCTCTCTCAAGGACCATTCATGCAATCTAGGTCAACGTGCCATGTATCTCTGCTGAATATCGCAACTTTTTTTGCAGCGGGACATTGTAAGTGGACAACAAACTATAGATATCAACCGTTCGTCACAAGTTGTTGATTTTTTTTAAATTTAGTTTTTTAATCTAAATTGGAAATTAACGTTGCAGGGTTGAAAACTGGACTGAGATAAAAAGCTGATTTTTTGGATTTATATTTCTTGTTTATAATTTTATCGCCTAATAAGAAAATTTAACTGTGAATTTTATTGAGACTTACAAATTATTTTTATTGAAAATTATAATTGTGTTTACTTTTTATTTTTATTTCACGAAGCCATAAAACTGAAACAATATCGATGGTCCCTTATTAATGAATCTGCCTTGATGTTTTTTTTCGGCCAATGTGTGATCAAAGTTGGATTTTATCGGGGAGCTGGAAATAAAGCCGCGTATTTATAGCTCCCTTTTGCCTCGGAAAGGTGTTCTATTTTTAATCAGCTAGACAGGGTGGTCGGTGGTTAGCTGGGGTGCGACGTGCACGGGGTGCAATTTGCATTTCGTTTATGGGCATCGGGCGCGTTGGTTAAAAAATATCAGAAGAGAAAGTTGTACCGCTTCTTTCCGCAGCCCCTGCCGCCGCTCGACTTAGGCTTTTTGTTGAGCATTCGTACTCAGTCGGCTGCATAACTGGCAGGGGCTGCGGCATTTAACTCTTATTAGCATCGGCTGGAATGGAGGGAGGGGGAAGAACGGGCCGACGCCGTTTCCACGCAAATAAACGGCTTGTGGCGCTTTCCCACTGGAGTAATTTTCAATCCGAGCCCTTTTATTTTTACCACATGACAAAAGCAACGGGTTTCTGAATTGATTATGATTGCCAAGAGTTCCTTGAACTCTTTTGTTCCCCTTAGAATGAACAAAAATCATTATATTTGTGATGTAAAATAATTCATTTTTCAAAATTTTTGATTATGTAACCAATAAATTCAAAATTTCTTTTGGTATTATTTCTATATTAACAAAGTAACAAAAGGTATTTGATAATCGATGTAATTTTATTGAAAAATTTGAAGTTTAAACTGATAATTTTTTTAATTTTTTTTTTTATTTTTTTTTAAATATTGGTGGGTTTAAAATTATCCTTTCTTTCTTATTTAAAATTCAAAACTGGTTTAGATTATATCTATTAACAGTAAATCAAATATTTAACAGCATGTAATGCATATTCCTTTGAACATTTTAAATGATAAACCCATTTCAACCATTTAATAATTCTTGAATAGAAGAATAAAGGTAACACAGCTAGAAGACTGAAAGATTCAAATAAATTAAGAATCTTTAGTGAGCAACAAATTAATACTTCTGTGCACTATAAATCAAATAAGCCCATTTGATAAAATTGGATTTTTATATAAATCTATTGCCATGATTTATTATTTCAAAATAAATGATTTTATCCAAAGATTTCATTAGAAATGTTTAAATAAAAAAATCAGAATTCAAAATGAGTTTAAAAAATAAAAGCATGAATAATATTGATTTTTTTCCTCTCAAAGTATTTCAAAGTTAATTTTCTTTAATTTAATATTTATACGGTGAAATTAAATAATAGAATTTGCCTGAAAATGTAAAAAAAAAGATTTTTGGTGCAGAAAAGGATATGGCCACTCGATGATGAAACGAGTGTATCTCCTGAGGGGGTTTTCTTCGCTGAGGATGAAGAGCGAGCTCGGTCCTTTGGCGCCTGGGTCGGCCCCTGCACCTCCGCGCCGACCGCCCATACCTGCGGAAAAGGGCCGCAATCAGAAGTGTTGAGAGCCTCGGGGACCCCTAGGAGCCCGTGGGGGCCCCGGGGGCCTCGGCGGTACTCACCCGTGCCTGCGGCGGCCCCGAGATCACGAACCTCGCCGTCTCGCTGCTGCTGCGCCGCAGCCTCTTGGGCTGCCGCAAGCCTGCAACATTCGAATCAACAAATAAATTATTTGCTCTGCTCATTTTCGCAGACTTTGGCAATCGTGCGCTTGCTTGCTTCTTGCGAAATGGATATTAAGAGTAGGAAGGAAAAAAAGTCAGTGCCACATTCTGCTGCTGCTGTGTTTGGCGCGCCTCGTATTATATCACAGAGCGAAATAATAAATGCGTGTAATGCAGAGAGGGAGCGCGATCTATTTTATTGTTTTTGACGCGCAACACGAATAAATCGTCGTCGCTTCACGTTTTATGGCAAAGTTGGAAGCGTGTTTTTATTCAATGCCGTCCTAATTTTATGTTCAAAAGCGATAAAATACAGAAGTGGAATCAGGGCTTATTTTCTTTTAAAATTATTTATGTACTCATTATTTCCAGTTGTTTAAATTCTTTTTTAACACGGTTCATAATTATTTTTTCTTTTAGTTTCTAAAAATTTCATTCTTTGTGACTTCAAATAATTATGATATCTAAAGCTTGTTTTTAAAAATGATTAACTTTAATGCCAGATAGCAAATTGTTCATGAATGAATACTTTTTACTGACTCGCCCCTATATCAAAACTTTTAATCCCCAGTAATAAAATACAAAACAGTAAAATAATATTCTCACTTTATTAAATCATTGTTGTTTACTTTTTCCAACTGTATATAAAAAAAGATAAATTCTTTTTGTGTCTCCAGCACGCTTCTCTTGCAATATTTAACTTCATAATTTGTTTCTGTCAAATCTGGCGTCAAAAATTTGAAAATTTCGTCGCGCGAGTTGCGCGAGATGAGCAAGTAGCCATGGCATAGCAATGCCATAGCCATGCAGCTCACTCGAGTAACACAAATAAAATTGAATAAAAAAAATGTTAAAATATTTTTATATTTTAAAATACATAAACCAATTTGTCAAAATTAAAAAATAATCTAATTAAAATTATTAATAATAATTTACACTGATCCAAATCTCTCGAGTCACGCGAGTCGGGCGAGTCGCGCGAGTCGAGAAAGTAGCCATGCCATGCCATGGCCATGGCTATGGCGTGGCTATGGCATTGCCATGGCCATGGCATGGCTATGGCATGGCTATGGCATGGCTATGACATGGCTATGGCATGGCTATGGCATGGCATGGCCATGGCATGGCCATGGCATGGCCATGGCATGGCCATGCCATCGCTCTGCCAGTGGAATGATTAGGTACATTTTTTACAATATAACAAAGAAAAGCTCATTTAAATTATTGTTTTTAATAGGAAAATAATATAAGTCATTTTGTTTATTCTTTGAAAAATCGGATTAGAAAAAGATTGTCTTTTAACAATTGTGATTTTACTTGGATTTATGGTAGTCTTCTTTGACGCGCGGCTTATTGTTTGTTGATCTTATAAAAATAGTGCTTTTCATAAACCTACAATTTTCAACGTTTCTGTGCTCTTTTGTAAGGGTAATCATTTTGTGATGACAATCATGAAGTATAAAGTAAAAAATACTACTATCCCCACACCTCCTGTATGTTCAATCATAAACAGTGAAGCAAAAATTTAATACATGGGTTTGTTGAATTTAAGTACAATATTTTTTAATTTAAATTTTCGCAAATTCTGTGCGCTGACCGTGTGACCTAAAAATTTCGAACAGGTTTATATCTTAACAGAGTGATGTTCATTTTGCCGCATATGACTCCAACAATCAAATAACCCATATAAAATACGATTACTCATTTGTAGGAAAAAGTTCAAGTAATAGTTCCAGTTTCGCTACCTCGTTTTTCTTTTATTCGTGCAATAAACAATTTGTGCACTTTCATTTGCGGCAAAACTTTGCGGCGAGCAAATGTAGGTTTGCAACATGCAGCCAGAGAGTGGCTGCAGCTACAGCTATAGCTGGAAATGAAAAGTCAACCGGGCAAATGCCGTGACTGGCGCAGCAAAGCATGAAAGCAGTCCTGTGTGACGTGCAGTTTGAATCGCTTGCAGAAAAGCAATATCCACTGCAATATGCATCAAGCGCGACGCACCACCCCTTATTTCTTTCTTTCTTTTTTTGCGTCAGCTGGACTAGTTTTATCGAGCGCGGGGCGAAATGCAGTGGAGGCGGCGGGGGCGGCACGTGTCGCGGCCCCCGGCCCGGTGACGTTTGGCCATGTGCAGAGTCGGTTCGAGTCGGGCTTTGCTTTCGAGCAGGCCCCACCCCGAACGAAGCAACCGCGTGACGTCACGGATCAATGACGTAGCGCGCAGGCAGCGAGAGTAATTCTATTGCAGCAGGAAACGACCCTCTGCTGCTCTTTGGCCCTCTCGAATTCCCTCTCGCCGCTGCTCTGCCTCCACGCGCACACCACCAGTCAATCTTCCTCGTTCGCACACCACTTCGCCCTCTCTTCAGCCCCCTTTCGCTAATTCGCGCACCGACTAATTTTTGCCGTCTCGCGAGGTCGCGCCCCATCAAAACCACATAACTAACGCGCTGCTCCTTTCCAAAGTTTAAGTTGAGAGAAGAAGTGGCACTCCGAGTGAATAATTTGTTTATTTGGAGTTTTTCCTATATTTATAATAAAGTGATTTTTCTTGCTCAATAAAAAAAGGACCGTGATCTTTACTGATCCATTGTTCCGACAACTAGAAATCCAATTTTCATTAAATATATGATAAGTTTTATTTTTTATTTTTGGTTTCAAGTTTTAATAAGGCAGAAGAGACATAGTTGTTTAATCTTTTTGTCATTATTTCTGTTTGAAATAAAATAATGTGGCAATGTAAGAATTTAGAAGTAAAGTATGTTAGATTAAAATTAACTTCAACGATTTTGCTGAGTTGGTGGTGATGGAATAAAGATATTAATGTTTAATTAAAAAAAATCAAAATTTTCAGTATTTAAAGTCAATTTCTTTGATTTCCTCTCTAGAACTCGTCACATTTTTCCAAATATCATTCTCCCGCACATGCAGCAGAAAAGATATCATCAATCACATGACAGAATTTAATCGAAACTATCAATTACTCTAAAAAACCTTCTCATCTATCATGATTTTTGTCATACTCAACTTAAGATTTTGCTAGATTCATGATTTAATAATTATCAATATTGCCAACCTAAACTTCACTACAACGCATTAATCTAATTTTAAAATTCTTATTAACACTGACATTCCTATTAATAAAATTTTGCTGGAGGAACGCAACCAAATAACCAATAAAAAAGTGTGTTTTCATTCTATCATTTCATAAAAAAAAACCATAATATATATGAATTTTATCAATATACATAACAAAAGAAATATAAAAACATAATATTTAAAATAAACATATTCATGCGAAGGATATTTTTATTTATTTTTTTTTTTGATTGGTTAAATTAAAATTAAAATTTTTTGGTTTTATTCAAACACGACAGGATTTTTGAGCATTTTTCTCCAATAGAAAAAAAAACACACCAGCAATTAAAGTTTGAATCTACGCTTGAAATAATATATTATATTCTACTCATTTATCCTCCCACAATAGATAAATAATATTTTGGGAAGAAATCACACTGAAGAGGGAGTTGGTTGCCAGCTCTAGTAAACAATTTACAAAACTCATAAGCTTAATTTGAAAGCAAAAGTGTTTCCAAATTAAACCTGCTTGCCGAGCTGGAGCCGAAAAGGAGAAAAATGTTATATAATTATTTCATGTATATTTTAAATTTAAATATAATTCAAGAATTGCGGTGGCCGATCTCTTTTTTGTTTTAGCAGCCCTCTGCTAGTTGTGATACCCTTTCTGCTCATTTTTTCTAATTCAATTTTATTTATATATGACTTGAGTAGAAGAAACAATAACAACAAACAACAACAAGGATATTGAATTGATTTAAATAATGAAGGTAATTTGTATTGTTTCTTGTTCCATTTTTAATGCATTTATTTTTACATATTTCTCACAGGTTATTTTGAAATAGTGTAAAGTATTTGCCAGTTTCTTGTTTAGAATTCTTCCAAAATATAGATAGATCTTTTCCTGGCGTTTTTTTTCTTTGCTTGACAAAACAATTGGTGTAAAATTTCAATTAGGTTCAAATCTACATCGAATATTAAGAATTGAGTTATAATCAAAGACTGATTAATTAAAGAATAATTAACATTTATTCACAAAGCTGTGCTATTAGTATTGCAGTTTAAATGAATTGAATTGACTATAATCATAGAAAATCATAGCTCTAATAATGATAAGCAGCGATGAAACTAAAATAGCCCTATTATAATGAAAAAACAGTGTCGATTAAATATAGGACGTAAATTATTATTAATATTTGAGTAATAAACTTAATTACTGTCAATATTTTCATTTTCTGCCCACTAAGGATTATCAAACAAAATTGAAAAAAATGAATTAATAAGTTTTATACTCGTGTTTATTTTTAAAATTTTGCAATCTTTGAATATATTAATCTTGAGGAGAAATTTGCTGATAATGATGATACATCAATAAAGAAAACTTTGTAACCAGATATTTTAAAAATCTGTAGAAGCCGCTATGGGCGGCAGCATGATATTTTATTTTGTGAGGCAAAAGCTGGTCGGACCATGTTGCATTTACATACAGTTTGTTTTGCCTGCTCTGTGTGTCGCTCTCTCTCGTTCTTGCTTACTTTTTAAAGGTCGACGTGCTCAGTCATTTGATCTTTATCTCTTATTCAACTCAAAACAATGGGCTAAATTCATTGTCACATGCAGTTTACAAAACGAGAGCCGCTCCAATGATTCGCCTTTGACATTAGGTAATGAATTACGACTGCTGTAATCGTCAAAGAAAGAACGAAAAAAATACGTCTGAAAGATTGTAAACGTCCTGATTTAATTTGCACATTTGAAAGAAAGTCCCGAGGGCTCGTTGGAGGCGAAAAAAATTCGTTACATACAAGAGAGGGAGAAAAGTTTGCGCTGTTTTCATAACGATAATCATCGGGGACAATTTCCAGCGGCATATTAAAAGGCCCCGTGGTTACTTGGCATA